GAAGATATGACAGCAATTTAATCTTTATAAGAGTCCAAGTTGAAAGAAAACTTATTTAGAGTTGAATTAGGAAAGTATCCAATAAATAAAAGATTTGACACGTCTTCAGTATTTTGGTAATAACTTTTGAATCTGATATCCGATTTACTTGATTTTTAAGGGTTAAAAAGAAGATTTCAAGGGTTACAAAAGTATATTTTGCAAAATTTTCGTGATTCAACCTCTAAATATGAGAAATTCAAGCTCGAAATTTGGACAAGTTTTGTACTCGCGTTCCAAAGATTTTATGCACGGGATTTAACCTTACAAGACTTTTTTTTGGGAAAGGAATTCCTTCCAAGCCAACCTTAGATGTCCTAGCTGTATCTAGGATTTATTATTAGTATAAATAGGGGTTCTCATTTAGAGATTAAGATTCTATTCCTTTTTTCATCTTTTTATTTTTTATTTTAGTTCGTTATGTTTGGCTAGAAGGTTAAACTAGGACTAAGAGATAACCTCTCAATGAAGTACGATACTGTTATTGACTCTGTGTTTAATGATTTATGATGTTTTGTTAATTTAACTTCTAATTTCTTAGCAAAGTTTTTATTCTGTAAAAATCCTTGAGTCGTTGTGTCATGTACATCGATTGCTTGAATTTTTCTGCGAATAAATAATTGATTATTCCACGCTTGAGGTAATTATGATTATTTTATAAAATAATATAATTGGTTGATTATTCAGGTTTCTGAATAATATTTTGATTATAACTTTTAATTTTTTTACTTGATTTGTTAGTCGAATCAACCGACATCTGATTTTTGTCTCAAGTTAAGATTTGAATCTTTAATCATTATTGTATGAAATTGAGAGGGAATACCTGATGCTCTAGTATTTTTATTCCTGTTTTAATTATTAAAATCAATTTTCTCCGTTCAACAATTCTTTAAACAAATCATTTACTTTTAAATTTGTTTTAATATTTGTGTAATTGCTTTTTTGTTACAATTCCTTGAGAGTTCGACCTCGGTCTTCCGAAAAATATATTACTTCACTTAACTTGCGCTTGGGTTTACAATATTAAAGTTGAAGCAAGTTTTTATATGAAAATTTTTATATGGGAATATGATAACTGCATACATTTATATAGCGTAGAATTTTATATTTTGTTTTGCATGTGCTTATTATAAAGACTTATATCTTAAAATTTTTATATTGTGGTAGGAATTTGTATTATAAAATTATTATTCAGATATTTAATTACAGGGTGATGTTTGTGGATATCATCTCTAGAAACTCTCACGACACTATACTCGTCCACTAGGAAGAATTTAGGAGTTTAAAGGTTTGTTGCATATGCTAAATACAATCGTAAGTCCTACGAAAGTGGCTTTGTATTTTATTTTATTAAGTTATTTTGTTATTTATTTTTAGTTTTTAGGATCCGTGTATTACTAGGGATTAGTAATATTCAGATTAGGGATGTGATTAACCATCAAAATTACTATTTTATTATATTTAATGATTGATTAATTGCATATTATTTGTGATTAAATGTGTTAAATTCCTTAATTTTCTAGTTTGATACTTTTTCTAGTTGTTTAATTTATTTTACAGGTAAATTAGTTGATTTAAAGTAATAATGGAAAATGCAAGTGAAACAATCACTAGAGGAAGAATCAAAATTGATAAAGATTGAAGAGTCAAACTTGAAATAGGAAGACTTGAAGATATGAAAGCAATTTAATCCTTATATGTGTTCAAGTCGGAAGAAAACTCATTTACAGTTGGATTAGGAAAGTGTCCAAGAAATAAAGGATTTGACATATCTTCAGTATTTTGGCCATAACTTTTGAATCTAATATCCAATTTACTTGATTTTTGGGGGTTAAAAAGAAAACTTCAAGGGCTACAAAAGTATATTTCACGAAATTTTCGTGATTCAACCTCTAAATATACGAAATTCAAGCTCAAAGTCTGGATAGATTTTGTACCCGCGTCTCAAAGATTTTATGTACGCGATTTAATCTTACAAGACTTTTTTTTTAGAAAGGAATTTCTTCCAAGCCAACCTTAGATGTCCTACCTATATCTAGGATTTATTATTAGTATAAATAGGGGTTCTCATTTAAAGATTAGGATTATATTTCTTTTTTCATCTTTTTATTTTTTATTTTAGTTCGTCATGTTTGGGTAGAAGGCTAAGCTAGGGCTAAGGGAGAAACTCTCAATGAAGTACGGTACTGTTATTGACTCTGTTCTTAATGATTTATGATGTTTTGTTTATTTAACTTTTGATTTCTTAGCAAAGTTTTTATTCTATAAAAATCCTTGAGTCGTTGTGTCATGTATATCGATTGCTTGAATTTTTCTGCGAGTAAATAACTAGTTATTTCACGCTTGAGGTATTTATCATTATTTAATAAAATAATATAATTGAATAATTATTCAGGTTCTTGAATAATTTTTTGATTATAACTTTTGGTTTTCTTACTTGATTTGTTACTCGAATCAACCGACATCTGATTGTTGTCTCAAGTTAAGATTTGAGTCTTTAATCATTATTGTATAAAATTAAGAGGAAGTACATGATGCTCTAGTATTTTTATTATATTGTTTAAATATCTCCAGTCAATATTTTCAACTCAACAATTTTTTTACACAAATTGTTCTCTCAAATTTTCTTTAGTATTTATGTGATTGTTTTTTATTATAATTCCCTATGGTTCGACCTCAGACTTCCGAGTATTATATTAATTCGCGACAACCTACACTTAGATGATCAATTCTAAAGTTATAACATATACCACTTTGCATAAAGTTCTTTTTCATCAGGAGAACTCTCACTCGTAGGTTTAACAAGTTCATTATCTTTCAATGTAAAGTTTATATCAATAATTTTCAAGGCAAACTCAATATCTTGCTTCCATCTCTTATAATTAGAACCAGTCAAGATTTCAATGTTGACATTATTATTATTCACAACAAAAGAGACTGTTCAAAACAACGAGAATATAAACTATTAGTAAAATTGGGAAATAAATAAATAAAATATGCTTTGAACATAATAAGACATATTTTATTAAGAGAGCCCAAATACATCACTACAAACTTCTCTTTGGAAAGAAAATTCAATATACTATAAGTCCTCTCTTTCATGAAACTAACCAATGAGAATGCTCAAGTTTTGAAAAATTTATTCTCTTTGAACAGATAAACCTTCTAGACTATTGCACCTCTACCACAATGTTTCATGACATCTCCAAATTACAATACATAACAATCCTTTTTGGACAGGTAATTGTATATTATAATTTAGAAATAACCTCGTAACAAAAACATGAAAAAAATTATAAATTTCAATAAATAAACCACTTTGACGGCAACCATCCATCTTAACTCATAGAATTTCTCAAACTAGAATATTATAACAAATTGCTCATAATTAAATATCATATAATCAATCAATATGAGATACTAATCAATATGTATCTCTTTAAATCACTCATCATCAATCGTTACATTCAAGTCTCAATTCTATTTTTACTTTAAAAAAATTAAGTAATTAAATTCACATTTGTCAATATTTAATAAATAATATGTAGATCATTAAAAAAAAAAATTCTTCTATATAAAAAATAACTTGTCAAAAGATTTTGTCCTTTCAAAAGATAAAAGACTAAGGTATTAATTACTAATCCGGAGCCATCATGATTCTAGCTTCTTTTTTTTTTTTTTTCTTATGACCTACTGGCCGCCCATCCATACGATGGTTTCACCCCTTTTTTTTCTTTCTTATGACGTATTGGCCGTCCATCCATACGAAGGTTTCTGTTTTTTTTTTCCTTCTTTCTTATGACGAACTGGCCGCCCATGCATATGATGGTGTCACTTTTTTTATTTTTTTTCCTTTCCCATGACGTACAGGCCGCCAACCATACGATGGTTTCACTTTTTTTTTTTTCCTTACGAAAAGTGTCGTAACTTTGAATAGAAAAGACGGACAGTGTTGTCACGGCGATGGTGTGATTCAACACCGTATGAATCACGGTCATAGACGGTGACATAAAAAAATTTAAATTCTAGACTGAGTCATAAAATTGTAATACAAATTTTATCGAGCCATAAATTCATATACAATTAGCTCTGATATCACATATAAAAAATTTTAATGATTCGTATATGAAATTTAAAACACTTAAATTACAAGATTTAGAACATACATGTATGAGTCATGATACTCAATCTCCAAATTTTTTTTTGAAAAGACAATGTTTTCCTCTCCTTCTTGAAAACAATAGGTGGCTCTCAATAGGACAAATCAAATTAGGATTATGAAATGGAGAGGAGACCTAACCTGCTATATATAATGAAATCTAATGGATTCTACCATTAGGGGCCAAAATTAGATTAAAATTTACACATAACTGTCTCAATCACATCAATAATAAAAAGATGTACATAACCCTATCAAAATAGATCACTTAATAATATTAAACTCCTCTCATTGAACTATAAATTCAGCCCATTTTTTACAAACTAAAATTAACTATTAATTAATAACAATCCAATATAAAAAAAATTTCAACACTCTCGACCTCTTAGTCGATAAAATCTTCACAGAACCAAGGTTGGTCGCTAGTTCTGTTGTTGAAATTATATTTGAACCAAATTTAACGATCCCATATAACGTTTTTCTGTTGAATTAACAGAAAATTTGGTAAGTAAATTGGCTACATAGATGAAGACCAAACTAGATGTTTCTTTTGCAGTTTTTGTGTCGATAAAGTTAGAGAAGCAAAAAACTGGCGACGCAATTGCCGATGGAGTAAAGAAAGCAATCAAATGACAAGAACAACATCAACAAATTAGTATTTTTGGGTATTGATTTTGTGATCATTTTACAGAACAGGGTAACATGGATGATTTCAGTAATTAAGTGCATTGCACCAACAGAAATGAAAGTTGACACTTATTTTCTTTCATGGTTCTATCTGTATTTGCTGCTTATAACTTAATCAATCAGTAGTGTTGGAGAAGTAATGGTTGATAGCCGGCATGACCTCCGGCGGTCGAGTTCGAAGAAACTTGCGGAGGCCATGTATGGCGTATTTCTCTCCTTCCTCTTGGTTTTCCAGTACAGCTGTGGTACGGTGAGCTTTATTGACCCTGTGAATGGCAGGTAAAGATGGGTATGAAGATTAGCTACTTCATGTTATACAACCATATCATACTTTGAAAAAATTGGAATGTTACCAGTTGATGAGATCAAAATCAAGGCATTTAAAATTTAGAGAATCGAATCTAAAAAGCTTGGTATTGATCCGATTAGTCGGGTAGCTACCAAGTTTTATGAATCAATCTTTACTCAATCTCATTGAATCGTATATATCTTTACTTGTTTGTTATTGGTAGAAAATAGATATTGTATCGAGTTGAATAGAAATATGTAGAATATATATATATATACCTGACATCAGGGTTGAGGAGTACGTTTCTGGTAAGCTGGAAAATGCACATCCCAGTAGCAAAGGTCATTGCAGCCATTAGAGGATAGATCTGTGGTCACAAATGAAATTATTAAAAATTTTCCTTTTTTCTTTGCTTTTCTTTTATCTGTTTAAAAACCATGAAAACATAGGGAGGTGGTAAACTCTATCCTCGAGTCCTGGACTGGGCAAGCCTAGGCTGGGGAAGCCGATGTTAATTACACTTTTTACCTCTAGATTACTTGGGCGGACTAACCCGATTTCAACTCGAACATAATCCGAAAAAATTAGGACTTTGGACTAAGATTTTTAATACTTGAGTTAAACCTGAGTCAAAAAACTTCAATCCAAATTTAATTTAGACAGACCTCAAATTGAGCTATCGGGTTCACGAGCTGAACCCGAATTAATGCCTCACTTTGGGGTTCCATTCTTGGGGTCAAAAAACTTTAATCCAAATTCAATTTAGACGGACCTCGAGTTGAGTCATCGGGTTCACGAGCTGAACCCGAATTAATGCCTCACTTTGGGGTTCCATTCTTGGGGCATATAGTAACTATGACAATATGTATATCGGAGAAATTGTAGTCAGACACCTGTTTAATATAGAATTTGAGAAGTCAATAAACTATGTGGTTCTAGCAAGCATGTATACTGCATTTGGCTTGTGGAACAGTGTATCAGGTTTATAACAACAAGTCTATTTTAAGTTTAACTCGAACTTAATTTGAATTGAACCCATAAAATAACCCAAAATCATTAACATGAATTCAACCTGAGTCTGCTCAAATTAAATTCGGATAGTACTTTGGTTGAGTTCCTTAACCCGAAGTAGAGTTAGAATTAAGGTTAAAATTAAAAATTATATACTTAGGAGTGGGTTAGGATTGACTGTCCAACTTTCCCGAGTTGTACCCCTACTAGACTATCACCCAATTCCTACTTTAGTCCTTAACTTTTTTTATTGTTGATATCGTCCTTCAAATTTGGCAATTGGGTCTAATCGGTTGGATTACTAACTGTCATTTAAACTTTTTGATGGTTGAAAAAGCCATTTGTTGCTCATTTCAGGGACGTGGTCAGAAAAATATTAAATGCACTAATTTTATGTACAATGATAGATGAAAATTAAAATCGTAACTTCATTCAATTGCAGAGTGCCTTTTTTTAATGCAATCCTTGTAATCTACATGAATGTCACGCTAAACTAAATAGATGACATAAAACTTTCAAAAAAAAAAGAAGTCAAAACTAAATAAAATAGAACATAAAGAATGGATAAATTCACTGAATCAATTACAGAGAATTTTCGGTTCAACCTATCTTTTAGTCCCCCAAAATATGGCAATCAAACATGCATAGAGTGCACAAATTTGCCCTATATCTTTCATTTTGCCAATATTCTAATACACTCACCTAGTATATGTCGTTTAGTTATATCTGTACATCACCAATTATGACCTGCACTTACCTCTGGTTTCATCCAACGCCCCATTTGAATTGCTCTCTCTCTCTCTCTGCGTTCTTTGGGTATGCAAAACTTGGTTAAATATTTGGCCTGGAGACCCTGCGGGTATTTAGAGAAATGTATTAATTCTATTTGTACTATTATTATTACCTGTTGCTGAAACTTATATATAGCCTTGGACAAAAGTGAACCAATACAGCCAACAGATTGGGAGGGCTGATTTGCCCATCCATACACGTCTTGGAATGCTGGGAATAATTTCAGTGGGCTACCTGCTATACAAATTTGACCTTTATACCCAACCCAGGTGCTCAGCCTCCTGTTTTTCATGTAACTTTGGCTTGCTTTGACATGGTAATTAGAATATACGACCCAACGACATTGCCTTTTGGGTACGACAAGTTTATTCGTGATGTTGATTACTTGTAGAATGTTCTACTTCGGAACAAGTCATCTTACGGAATATAAGAATGTTAATATCACAGGCAAACAAGAACCCATTGAAAACCTCGTCCACCATCGTCGATACGTGTCTGAACCTGATCCGGATACCTACAAGATCAGGCTTGGGCTGACCGTACGCTCACATCCAGCTCGACTCACCCAAATTATCTGCTCACAAAAGCCATTCAAAACCTGGTCCACGAGGTCGGCTGGAGGAAATGAGCACGTATGAAGAATGGTAGTAGCTTGAATGGAGGTATTATAACCGTCCTATAGTAACTTTGGGTACCAACTGCATGCGAATGTGGGCCTGTCCACCCACTTGTGAATAGTACTAGGTAATGGGTTGGGCTGCCTTCTAACTGTCTGACCCAGCTTATCCAACAACCTATCTGGGTATATGCTTGGGCTTAACCTACCCAGGCTCCGTCCAAAAAATATTCCCAAGCTTTGTTGGGTCCAGCCCATGGACACCTCTAACCCCTGGCCACTTCCACAGTTCACCTTCCACTCCGTTACTTTAGTATAAAATTAAGAGTAATTCGTCTTTGAAGACACAGTGCAATATAAATGATTTTGAGAGAAATGTTGGTGGCCGCTTGATGATTCTATTTAAGACTATCAAATGAATTTATTGAAAAAACTCACTCTGTTTTATACTATAGATTATAGATATATATTAGTATTGTGAAAATCACAGTTTTACGGTTCATTAACAATGTAAGTCACTCAGCTGGGTCCAAACAAAGTTGGGCTCTGAAGCTCACCGAAGTCCAACATTGAATTGTTGCAACTGCAAAATCGATTCTATTTCATGATGATGATAATGATGCCTGCGTTGAGTATTGCAGTAGTTTTGCTCTCTGTCCTCTTCACCATTCTCAGCACGTGAACACCCATACCTAGCATGTTAGATTCATTCCCTGAAATTTTATTAGTTTAAGTTTGGCGTGCCAATCGAGTTTTGTAGTATTATTTTCGGGGTCATGTTGGTGTTATTAAAAGCAACATATATTTTTCTTGATAATCCTACTTAAATGAGTAATTCAATCTGCACATAATGTTATCTATTGAAGTTCGTGTCGTGTATAAAATTTTCACGATGCCAGTTTTCCCAAGAAGCTTATGACTAGAGAGCATCGTAACACACCAGAAGAAAAAAAAAAAAGAAGACCAAGCGGTTGGGAATGGGATATAAGATATCCAAGTCTGTTGAACACAGTTGGAGTGTCCTTTTTATCAGAAGTGAAGTAGACTCACTACTTGTCCAATGTCCCTACACTGTTTACTTCCCCCAAACTCTTCACTTTACGTGACCAAAATGCCCTTTTCGATAATTTTTTTATTGTTAGCAACAAGTATTAACCCCTTATCCAACCATCTTGATGATTAGATTCAAATTTTATGTATGATTCTTGGTGTTTCAATTTTTATCCTTACACCAAGATGCCCACTATGAATTTTTTTTGTTTGTTGAATAAAATTTTTGATAATTTTAATATGAGCGTGACATGGGTAACTAAATAATTTGAAGAAATAGTAAGGGTGGGTCGGTGGGATATTTCCTATTCCTTAACATGTCACATCTCTTAACCAGATGGCCGTTGGAATGTTGTACTCAGCCTCCGAAGACTACCGCCATTTTCTCTACTAACAATGTCATTGCTTCAAGGCACAGAAAGTCTAGCAGAAAGACAGGGGGGACAGAAGGAGACTAAGGAAATAAAACCTTAAAGTATCTAACAACCAGTAGGTAACACATCTCCAAAACTCCACACATATAAACCACCCAGAAAGCTGTGTGCCTGGCCATTTCACACATTCAATTCATCATAAACCCATTGTAAAAATTGCAAGCAACAGCATCGAAGTTTCGTCTCGTCTCCGACGACATTGACATAAGAGAGATGAGACCTGTTATCTCAACATTCTTCCTTTTTGTGATCTTTTCTTATGCAGGTAAGTTTTTGTTTCTCAAATTTGCATTTTGAATTGGTTCAGTTCTGTTTGTTTTGAGTCTGTTTTAACATGTTCTTGGATTGCAGCTGCCTATGATCCTTTGGATCCAAATGGGAACATAACAATCAAATGGGATATAATGTCTTGGACCCCGGATGGATATGTGGTGAGTACGGTTTTTCTATTCATTCAAATACCTATTATTAGAAGGATAACACACAGTGCACGAGATTTTCTTATCGACACATCCAGAACCGCCCTCTCGAACACACATATAATGCTGACTTAAGATCCATTTCTACTTGAGCGGTGGAGGTGCAAAACTGATGCTCTTTTTTTTTTTTCTCGTCAGGCAGTTGTAACGATGACCAATTTCCAACAGTATCGGCACATCATGAGCCCGGGTTGGCGCCTAGGATGGACGTGGGCGAAAAAGGAGGTGATATGGTCAATGGTGGGGGCTCAAGCCACTGAACAAGGAGACTGCTCCAAGTTCAAAGGCAACATCCCACATTGCTGTAAGAAAATACCCACAATTGTAGACTTGCTCCCCGGTGTTCCTTACAACCAACAGTTCTCAAACTGCTGCAAAGGCGGAGTCCTGGCGTCTTGGGGCCAAGATCCGGCAGCTGCTGTTTCAGCCTTCCAAGTGAGCGTTGGGCAGGCCGGGACTTCAAACAAGACGGTGAAACTGCCCAAGAACTTCACTTTGCTCGGTCCCGGACCAGGGTACACCTGTGGCCCTGCAAAGACTGTCCCTCCCACCAATTTTCTCACCCCTGATCGGCTCAGAAAAACTCAGGCACTGAGTAAGTCTTGTTCTTTGTCTCAACTAACTTCAATGGATTGATATATCAATTTTTAGGACGTAGATTAGTTTTGTGGTCCGTAAGCACCCATTATAATCCAACATTCTTGGGTAATTCGATGAAAGTTCTCGGTTTCAACAAAAATTTTCCAAGTCTTCAAGTCATTACCATAATTTGATTTGCAGTGGCTCATATATTTCTCTAAATAGTTAGTAATTTATGGATTGAATGCAGTGACATGGAATGTGACATGCACATATTCCCAGTTTCTAGCCGAGAAACACCCACGTTGCTGCGTCTCCTTCTCATCTTTCTACAATGCCACAATCACCCCTTGTCCTTCTTGTGCTTGTGGTTGTGAAAACAAAAACAAATGCATCAAGTAAGCAAGCTAAAACTATAATGTCTAATATCCAAGATTAAACATGCATCATTGTTATCCGATTTCTGATATATTGATTGATGGTGTGGCATAGGAGCGATTCGAAACTTCTAAGTGCGGTTGGAGTAAACACCCCAACAAAAGATAATGCACCTTTAATACAGTGTACACACCACATGTGCCCGGTCCGGGTGCACTGGCATGTGAAGCAAAACTACAATGACTACTGGCGAGTGAAGATCGCAATAACAAATTTCAACTACCGGTTGAACTACACCCAGTGGACTCTTGTTGCTCAGCACCCAAATCTCAACAATGTCACTCAAGTTTTTAGCTTCGATTACAAGCCTCTCATTCCCTACCAATCCGTCAGTAAGTGCCGAAAATTTTGAACTCTTTTTGCAAACAGTTTTAGGTGTAAGAGAAGAGTTGAGAAATATCGATCTCACATTGGCGTAACTTGACATGCAGATGATACAGGAATGTTCTATGGCATGAAGTTCTACAATGACCTACTAATGGAGGCAGGGCCATTTGGAAATGTACAGTCAGAGGTCCTCCTCCAGAAAGACAAGGACACTTTCACCTTCAAGCAAGGATGGGCATTTCCCCGGAAAGTCTACTTCAATGGTGATGAGTGCATGCTGCCCCCACCTGACGCATACCCTTTTCTACCAAATTCTGCCAGAGAAAACGTAGTTGGTTTCTCTACATTGTTGTGTTCTGTTATTTTGTATTTGCTCATAATGTGGTAAGCAATATCCTAGAATTCAATAGGGCTAGAAGTTTTGAAGCCAAGAGACCTCCAAGACAGAGAATTGGGATTTCAGGTACACAAATTGATAAGATACTTTGAAAGAACACAAAGAATTTGATTTATGTAGATACAGTATGGCAAAATGAGTTTGTAAATGGGACATCTAAATCCTACAGAACAATCTCACCAGATTATCAACGATTGATCCACAATGCAATGTTGCAGACATGGTATGTCATCTCACTTTTCGTTACTTTGAAATGGCAGGATACTGAAGAACAAACTATTCCAAGGATTCTAAAGGTTGTAGACTTGCACTAGAAGGAAATGCATTTTCCCAGATGAAAAAGCATAAATTTAGCTGCACAACTGCCATCCTTATTACTATAGAAAGTAGTTTGACTAGATGAAAAAGATTGCTCTAATAGAAAATGCAATTAGACTGTAGAACACAAATAAATAATCCAAATTGTAAATCAGCTATAAGTCATCTCTGGATTGGTTTTTTATTTTCATTACAATTCAGGTACACTATGGACTTGAAAAATCTACAAACAATATAATTTAGTACAATAGTGAACAAGTGATACGACAGTACAAGTAACAAATGGCAGGGAATTCACTCACCGTTGCATAAAGCTGAAACTGATGTGTGCTTTAAATGATATGCACCCAACAAATGAAATCTTCAACTGGGTTCCCGAAGGTGTTGGGAGATAATTTGCACCTATACCACAGAGATTTTAAACGCATGCAACAAAGAATGCCAGAGACAACAACAGAGCCATCATTAGCCTTAGCAAGGAGATCTTTTGCCGAGAACTAGTATTTGGCAAGAATGGATAGGCATCAGGAGGGGGCATGACACAATTATCACCATTGAAATAGATCCTTCGAGGAAAAGCCCAACCCTTCTCAAAAGTGAAAGTCGATGTATCCTTCTGGAAAAGTAGCTCTGACTGAACATTCCCCAAAGGACCAGCTTGCATGAGCAAGTCATTGTAGAACTTAACACCCCATAGCATAGCAGTATCATCTGTTTAACAGTAAAAGGCATGAAAAAAGAAAATTTGTCATATCTATTCTGAAACTCAAATTGCTTAGGCAAGAGAATGCATCTACTTAAACATGAACTAGTAATTACTTATACCCAAACACCATAACTAGATTCAGATAAAATAATAAATACTCGGCAAAAAATATTAAAAATGTTAAAAGGACAGTGCACCCCACCAAATAGATCTTATAGCAACAGAAGACAACTCCTACTTTGTACATTGACCCTTGTGCCTACATGGCAGATAATGCAAGCTCTGGGAATTGAAAGAACATCAACAACAAGAAATGTAACTTACTTATAGCAGCATAAGGAGTTAATGGTTTGTACATAAAGCTGAATAATTGCGTCAGATTGTCAAAGTTGGGGTGTTGGATAACTAAGTTCCACTGCGTGTAGTTCATCCTGTAATTGAAGTTTGTTATTGTGACCTTCACCCGCCAATATTCCTTGTAATTTAGTTTCACATGCCAGTGAATTCGGATTGGGCACATGTGACTTGTGCATTGGACCAGAGGTGCATAGTTATTCTTGCTGGGGCTTGAAACAACCGATGCTAGATATGGTGATTTTGGGCTTTAAAACAAAACACAAAGGAAAAGATAAAATGATTAGAAGAAAATATAAAGAATCATATAGAAAGTATAAAAATAAGAGTATGCAGCAGAATTATGAAAGAACTTACTCTACACAGCTCCCTGGCTGAGTACTGTTGTTCTGGCAACCACAGGTACATGTTGGGCAGGGAACAATCGTGTCATTATAGAAAGATGAGAGAGACACACAGCAAGTGGGAGTTTTCTGAGCTAGGAATTGTGAATATGTGCAAGTAACATTCCATGTCACTGCCATAAGAGAAACATAGGGCCGAAATCAATACTTCAAAAGTTTCATGCCAAATATATTTTCAAATACAAATTGGAAACTTTCAGGTCTGGACACCACAGATAGTGATGAATGAAATATCCTCTTTTTATGTACCGGAAAAAAAAATTCTCCTTAGTTTTAGAGGAATTCATCAGCCATAAAATAAGTGCATCATGGTGCTGATTTGGTCTTTGAACATTAAAGAAGCACATATAGAGATGTAAAGAAAGTCCTTCACAATCTTTTCCATGTGACTTACTCATCGCTTGGGTTACCCTCCTTCCGTCTTGGGCATAAAATTTAGTAGATTTACCAACTTTTGCAGGTCCACAAGTATAGCCAGGCCCTGGAGCTTTCAGGGTGAAGTTCTTAGGCACCCTTACAGTTTTGTTGGTGGTTCCTGCTTGACCAACACTGACCTGGAATGAGCTTGCTGCAGTTGCCGGATCCTGCACCCATGAGTTAATTACTCCTCCCTTGCAGCAATTTGCAATCTGCAGGTTGTAAGGAGTTCCCGGCAATAAGTCCACAACCGTCGGGTCCTTCTTACAGCAATGTGGAATATTCCCCTTGAATCTTGAACAATCACCTTGCTCTGTAGTTTGACCTCCAATCATGGCCCAAATAACCTCTTTCTTTGCCCATGTCCATCCCAGTGACCAGCCTGGTGCTTGAATGTGTCTATATTGCTGGAAGTTGTACATTGTAACAACAGCCTATACAATTCCAATATGAAGCTGATTAGATACATAATACAGGGAAGAAAAGGTTTCTGAAATCTGGTAGGAAGAATTATACCTGCCTTTCAAATATTAAAATTTTAAGTTCCGGAATCCCGAATTAATTTTTTAAATTGTATCGAGCATTCATAAGATGTGCCTCCTGACCTAATGCAAGCATTACTCAGGTAGGAATAAACCCATAAATGCCCTAATTCTACTTTTAAGAGTAGCATTTGTTCTAAAAATTAACGCTCAAGAAATTTGAAAGCAAAATCTTAACTCAAAAGAAGGTGTAAAATTTAGTTGGGCCAGTCAAAAATTTGGTTGAGGTTGAAAAACTTGGAAAGGAGCTCAGAAATTAGGAGCAGAAAGAGTCAGAACTTAATTGAATATCCAGTCAAATTATAACACAGAGACGGGAAGAGAGAGAGAGACAGAGACTTAAACAGCATGAGGTTATATCTCAAAAAAAAAGGTAGGGTTACTAATACTTACAACATAGCCATCAGGAGTCCAATTCATGATATCCCATTTAATTGTGATATTTCCATTTGGGTCAAGTGGATCATATGCTTCTGAAAAATCCAGCAACGCCAAGGTTAAAACAGTTGTTACAATGAAATGTTAACTTGCAATAACAGAAAATTAGAAGAACATACAAAAACATTATAAGAAAGTCTAATAGCTCATCAAAAATGACATAAATAAAGTGAAGAAATCACGATAACCACAACTCTAGTGAATTTGTTTCAGCCGAAATTAAAGGTGTGCTCAGCCTAAAACACTCAGGCTACAAGTGTCAGATATCAAACGAAGATATCAGATTCACTTCCTTTCTGGGAAAATGAACTGCCATTGTTGAAATAGAGGTAGACACTCAGTTATCAAAATAATCAGTGTTAACACTTCCGATTATTTCATTTCAAGACTTTTCCAAGTTTACAATTACTGCCGCATCCCTAACATAAAAAATTAGGATCAATCATCAAGCATTCAGAAAGAAAAAACAGAGATAAATAACCAATATGGCACATGTTGCAAAAAAAATCATTTAATTCTCAACCAAACCCTTCCCATAAAATAATCATACTAAGAATCTGATAACAACCGATAGAGTAGGGCAGCCAGTATCTACACCTGGGAATGATGAACAGGACTAGGCATCTCATCCTTATTCAGTATCACTCTTACGGTCCTACCTTTATTGCTAAGAACACCTGATAGTATGGTAATCTCATATTCTATCTGGCATACATTACTAATAATTAGAAAAAAAATCATGCTCTAACCGAACACGTGAATGACACAACATTTGAAAGTGCATTACTATTTCAGGTAATAGCATTTTATTTGTGGTCCCTCATTCCCGCCATCCAAACTAGGCCAGCTTCACCCAAAGGACAAGAAAGGTATAGCATCAGGTTTCAAATCATTCCTTATTTTCAAAAGCAAAATAAATTCCCCTGCAAAATATTGGTTTGCAACCAAGAGAAAGAAATGGAATTAAAAAGAAAATAATGTAACTCGTTAACCTTAATTAAACTGATTAATTAAATTCTGGGGGATACTCTAGATCCAATCTGGAGGTTATCTTCCCTTTTTCCTCAGAATGAAAAGCCAGAAGAACTAAACTTTCTCTTTGCAATCGAATTTCTTAATGTCTCTATTTTTGCTAAAACACACTTCAAAATTTGAAGCTAAAATAAAAGCTAAATCTCAGAACCTTCTCCAACACCTTAACTTGCCCATCAGAAAAACATAAATCTCTCAACTTTTAGATGATATAAGTGAATCCATGGCCTCATTCTCCATTCCATACACAAACTTTTGAAATCACACAAATGCCTCTCAATCATCAGTCAATTGGGCACCCAAAAAAGGCCAGTGTGTTATTAAATGAGATCAAATCTATTCAAGAACTTAAAAACATATCAAGAAACCACCGAAAACCCAAAAATCTACAAAGATTCGATGAATTAAAAGAACATTTGTGCAAACCTGTGGAAGTAAAGTTGCTCCAAGAAAGCAAGATCACTAGTACAATGGCAATAGTGGTGTACTTAGATACAGATCCGAATCCAAAATCCATTTCTTGTTGTAATGATTGTGGCGATTTCTAGATCAGTTGGTGTTCAAGATCTACAACCGCAGTGATGAAACAGAGAAAGACTAAAGAACGCGGTGCTGGTGAGTGCCTGAGTGGTGGCTTCTCTCACATGGCAAGATTGTTTTAAGAGTTAAGCAGACTTTTTGAAGTCGTTTACACCTCTGTTAAATGACTGTCGTCCACGAAAGTGACAGACAGCTACTCGCTATACGAACTGTATTTTCTTTTCTTTTTTCCCTTTTTGTTGGTTTTTGGTAAATGGTAATCCAGAAATTCCTGATCTGTCCCGGCATTTATGCCCTTTACCCTCACGAGTCCCGACTAGAATCGAAGGTAAAGACCAGAGGGCTTGGTAAAAAAGTATGAGAGAGTTTGGGAAAAGGGGTATAAAGAAAATACTAGTTTAAAGTTGTCCCAAATCCCTTGTTTATTTGGAAAATTAAGTATTAGGTTTTTAAACTCGGCTAGTAATTAGCCCAAAAATTATCTTCATGATTATAGGTTTCGTCAAATCTGGGAGGAAGGTGAGTTTGAGAATTGGATTGATTAAAAGTAAAATAATCATTTATAAAATAAATAGTTGTTAATAATTATGATATATCCATAATTGTATATGTGTATGTGTTGCATACCAAATATAAGTATGGACTGAATTAAATATTGAATCCCATTTAGGAAGGATTTGAAAAGATTCGAAAAAACTAATTCAAACTCCTGCTCAAAATTTATTCAAACAAGAGGCAAGTGCATGAATTGGTCCGTGTAAATGAACGCGTTCCCTTTCTAGTTTTGCCAATAGTGTTTAGTGGGTAAATTGAGTAATGCTATTAAAATTTTAAAAATTGATTTAAATGTGATTTTATTGTAATCATTAAATTAATACCAAAATTTTATATTTAATATGATTTACAGTCAAAAAATATATCAATAAATTAAATTTCAATAATATTGGTCAGGTAAAATTACCTTACTTAATCTTTGGAAATTATAATTTTTAAAATCGACTACAATATTTGAAGATAAAATCATGCACATCACGATTTGTATTCAAATTTAATGTTGGACGTATTTTTCTGTTGCTAATGCCTTTATTTAAACATTATGACATGCTGATTATCTTTGAATGGTTGCCTTGCCGACAGTAGAGATTGAAATAAAACAAAACAAAACAAATAGTCACTGATACAACAGCTAATGGCTTCACGATGTGGGCCCCTTTTTGACCATGTGATGTATATTATGCATTTTGTTTTGTCGGTGCTGAGAAACACCAGGGAGAGAAAGGGACCATTATTTTTGTGGGGTCTTGGTTTTTTCTTCTATTTTTTTTCCACTAAAAGTTAGGTATGTATGCATTTCAAGTTGAACAATTAATTATCACCGTGATTTGAACTGAACTAAAGCATATCTCTATTGGAAAAAATGACTAATCCTTGTTGCTATTGAATATTGAACTAATTAAAAACTTGCCACATACTTTTAAGTAGAAAAATTGTCAATTGCCCAAATTTTAAGATACAAACAGTGAGTCATTGAGGTTGAGAGGACAACAACTTGATTCCCAGTGGTTTGTGTTTGTCCAGTTTGAATGTTATTTGCTGTCAGAAGCCTAAAGAGTCTCAGAAAACAAGTGCTCATAGTGATGGAGTGAACAGTAAAACTAAAAACCATGGGATGGTTTAAAACTAAAATCAGAACAATTTAAATTAAAAAAAAAAAAAATTTGATTGAATGACTTTAGAACATGCAATCTTGTTTTAATCTAATTTGATATGTAGCAAAGACAATAATCATGATATAGGCTAAATGTCTTATGCCGTGGATTAGCATTTGAATCATTGACAATATTAATACTAAATATATCATTTATAATAATATTGAGAAAGGCGAGGGTAAACTTATACCTATAATTTCAACCAAAGGTTAGTTGAAGGGTTTTTTTTTTGAGGTGGTAAAGCTAGTTGAAGTATTTACTTGGAGATAAATTCAAGGGGCATCCCATGTAGCGTTGTTTATTAATTTTGACGAGGAATTGGGCCGGGGGGGGGGGGAAGGTTATATTAGAACAACCAAATCATCTAAGGACCAATTTGAGATAATTGAAGTTCAAGGGCATTTGAAAACTAATGGCATAGTTTAAGGGGTACTTATAACATTTATCCTTTATTTTTTGAGCAATGATGTGTTTACAAAAAAAAATAAAAGTGGACCATATATGGATTAGTAGGTCTAATTATCAATTCAACCGCTGCAGTTGATTTAATACAAATTTGGGTACACAAACTTAGTGCATAAATAATTATCCTTATTTGTTAGAGAGAATTATACTCAGATTTTTTAAAATTTGTTATTTAATCACTCAGATTCCTTGACATTTAAAATAATACATACAGACCCCTTAAAGTTTGTTCGTTATTATATTTGTTAGTAAATTATACATAGACCCCCTGAAATTTATAGGCATGTAATACTTAAATTACTCAAGTTTAATATGTTATATTTAAACCAAAAATACTCCAATCAAAGATAGAATATCAAATATTTTGAATTTTACAACCAAAATTCATATTTTATTTTGACATTTATTGAATTAAAATCAAAAAGAAAATTTTAAATTTTTCTTTAAAAATTATAATTAGTATACAATTATATTATCTATTGAAATTTAATTTGATCATTTAAATGATCAAATTAAACTACAAAATTACCTTAATTAAAGGTAGAAGATATTGTGTTCATTACAGTTCGACTACTTGTTTGATTTTTTTTGTATTATTCCAATAGATAGTATAATTATATACTAATTATAATTTTTTTAAAAATATTTTTTTTGATTTTATTTCATTAAATTACATAACTGAACATAAATTTTGGCTATAAAATTTATATTTTATTATGAATAACTTAGACCCCTTGTTTGATTATTTTATTTTATTTCAATAAATAGTATAATTGTATACTAATTATAACTTTTTAAGAAAAAAATAGATTTTTATTTTTGATTTTATTTCATTAAATGACATTACTAAACATAAATTTTTGCTATAAAATTTATATTTTATTATGAATGACTTAGACCCCTTGTTTGATTATTTAAGTTTTATTCTAATAGATAGTATAATTATATACTAATTATAATTTTTTAAGAAAAAAATAAAATTTTATTTTTGATTTTATTTCAATAAATGACATAATAGAACATTAATTTTGGTTAAAAAATTTATATTCTATTATGAATGACTTATATCCCTTGTTTAATTTTTTATTTTTATTTCAATAGATAGTATAATTATATACTAATTATAACTTTTTAATAAAAAAGTAAATTTGTATTTTTGGTTTTATTTCAATAAATGACATAATATAATATGAATTTTAGTTACAAAATTTATTTTCTATTATGAATGACTTACACCCCTTATTTAATTTTTATTTTTATTTCAATAAATAATATAATTGTATATTAATTATTTTTTTTAAGAAAAAATAGATATTTATTTTTGATTTTATATTTCAATAAAGAATACAATAGAACATAAATTTTAATTAAAATTTAAAATACTTAATATTTTATCTTACAAATTTTAAAGAGTGTGAATGTAATTTGTTAACCCATAACTCAACGGCAGGTATGTATGGGTTGTGTATGTATAGTATGTATAAATTTGAATAACCAATGTGTAATATTTCAAATGTAGCGGTCGTCAGAGGTCTGTGTAATTATTTCTATTCCTTCCGTTGTTAAATATTTATCGTTTTAAACAATTTTTTTTGTTATATAATATCTGTCATCTAATGAAATTAAAACATAATTAATATTTTTTCTTTCAAATTTATCCTTAACTTTTCAATACATTAGATTAGGTAGACGTTAAGTGTCTTTCATATTCCTTTCCTTTTTAATATGTATTGAATAAGGGTATTTTACTCTTGCGTAGTTATTTTTTACTCATATTAGAATTATTTAATAATTTTTTTAATTCCTGTGTAAAAATTTTAAATGATAAATATTTAGGAACGGAAGTATTTTTTATCATTTCGTTACGTAAGCACCAACTAACTTGTATGGAACCTAACGGGAAACCTCGAAGAGAAAGCATTAAATTAGGAAATTTCGGAAGAAAAAAAAAAAGAAAGAATAAGAAGCATTTCAAATTCTACGGAAGCGGAAAACCGTTTGATTGATTTGCTGGCTTCTGGAAAGAAATGGTTTTCATCGTTTCTGTCTCGTCAGGGTTTGTGAGAATTTTTGTTTATTAGGGTTTCTTTTTCCTGGATTGCAATTGAGACCAATGGAATCTGTTCCTTCTCAAAATGTATCGTTAGGCCAAACAGAGATTAACTGGGATAAGTAAGCTTTCTTGATTTACATTTTCTTCATCTTCTAAGTTTATATCATCTGTTTACTCTTCTCTTCTGTTTTTTTGGCTCATTTCTGTTTCAATAAATTATATCTGTTGATATGTCGATGAATTTCGTCTGTTTCTAATACGTGATGTAATGCGCAATTTTTTTTTTTAATAATAATAATGATCTGGACTATGGCAGCATCGGGTTTCCTTGATCAAAGTGAGCGTTAATGGAAGACAATGTGAGAGGGCAGCGTTAGGTTTCATTTTTGTGACTTTTATTCGAACCTGTATCACTCAGATGCTTAAATTTTTAATTCCATATATTACGAAATCAATTTGATACCTTCACCGGTAATGTGGTTCTCTTGTTTTTTTTTTTTCCTATCAATTATTACACAGCTTTACGGTTTGAGGTTTTATATGCAATGCTAATTATATATAAGATTTGGCTGCAACACAGCGATAAATTAAAAGCTAATTACACAGGATAGGAAATTGCTCAAACAGCTGGGTTTTGCGTCACTTGTAAATAGTTACTCTGTATGGCTATGTGCCTTTTGGTATCAAAGTGGTTGGTTCTTGTTGGGAGCCCATGAATAGTGTACTGACTGCAAAAGTAAGTTTCGGGCATAGTACGAGAAGTTGCTATGCACTCGGTGCCCTAATACATGAATATTAGTTTCATGACGCCCCATGATCCTATGATGCAGTATAGAAATGGAGAATTTACAAAAAAGTGTATATGATTGCTGAACAATGTGAGACCTGTGGAGGTAGTTAGCGAGCTGCTATGTGCCTGGAAGATGAAGCAATAAGATCATCAGGTAGACATAAGAATGACAACATTTTGATGATAGATCCAAGGTTGGAGATGGGCAACAGATGGCTTGATTGCTAGTAGCAAGATCTGGGGCAACCACAAGGATGGACCATGGACCGGAAAGGAAGTGTATAATACATCATCTGTACTTTGTTAAGCATAGGTATCTATACTAGATGAGAAGATGCACATAGTATGAGCAATCTAAACCACATGAAAACATTCGTGTATGACTATATTTTTTAGTATTAAAATATATCTGGATCAGGCCTCTGATTTAGTTGATGGGAGGAATGGAAGTTGGTTTGTCCTTTGTTGTCTTAGTAACATCTTCGGTGACTACTAAGATTTTGGCAAGAAGAGGAGGAGATACAATTCAATGGAAAAGGAGAAGATAGATATGATTATGAAATCCACTTAAAGCGGGTTTTGAATTGATCATTTCAACTAAATATAGTCATTCCACTAGAGATTTCCCCTCCCACTAATGGAGAGAGAGAAGTGGGCATTTCGAGGACAACAAAAAACTTCTAAGCTATGGTTCACTTGAATGGAAATTCCATCAATTTAGGAAAAATGGTACCTACATGGAATCCTTGCATGATGCCTCACCAATTTATAATTTTGTGGTCACGCATACTATGTTGTCGTTGTTGCCTTTTTTTCAGACTTTTCTGCTCTTTTTAGTTTCTCAAGTTCTTTTGTGATTGTCTTATCTATTTGGTTTTATTCACGTTGTCCAACCTATCCTGCAGGCTTGATAAAACTAAGTTCTATGTAGTAGGAGCTGGAATATTTACAGGGGTTACGGTTGCACTTTACCCTATTTCTCTTGTGAAGACCAGGCTGCAGGTTGCTTCAAAGGATGCTGTGGAGAGGACTGCATTTTCAGTTATCAGAGGCATACTGAGAACAGAGGGGATTCCTGGTTTATACAGAGGTTTCGGCACAGTCATTGCAGGAGCCATTCCTGCCAGAATTATATTTCTTACTGCATTAGAGACAACAAAAGTGGCTGCTTTTAGGATGGTTGAACCATACACATTATCAGAACCTACAAAGGCAGCCATTGCAAATGGAATTGGTGGCATGATAGCATCACTTTTTTCTCAGGCTGTATTTGTTCCGATTGATGTGGTATGTTGTCCATGTTTCTATATCCATGTTTTCTTGTCAGTTCAAATTGTATAAAAAGTTATTTTAATTGGCTAATCTTCTGATGGAGGGAGGGAGAATGTTCCAATCGTTGAGTGTTGCTTCATGCACATATCCATTTGCAAATTAGAACTTTCTGCAAAGCAGATATTAGAGTCAAGTTCCATATTGAGTTGTGGTTGAAGTCCAAGTAAGCTATGAATGAAATGATTTACAAATTCAATACCATTTTTTAAAGCATTTTAATCGCTCTTCTCAATATCGTATCACTGAGCATGTTCTTGATTTGGCATGTTTTACTTTGCTGAGGAGGCTAATCTCCACAATATTTGATTTAAACAGGTAAGCCAAAGGTTGATGGTGCAAGGATACTCGGGCCATGCACAATATAATGGGGGCCTGGATGTTGCTCGTAAGATTCTGAAGTCAGATGGCATTCGAGGACTGTATAGAGGCTTTGGTCTATCTGTTGTGACTTATTCCCCATCTAGTGCTGTATGGTGGGCAAGCTACGGTTCTAGCCAACGCTTCATCTGGGAGTGAGCCTTGCTGGTTTAGTTTCTATTAGTGTTAAATGCGTTATGGGAGCTTTTATGTATGGATCAGTGGTATATTTTAAACTTCAGTGCGTGCTGGCCTAACTAAAAAGTCTTAATTAATAAACACAAGTTCCTGATGTTGGGTTGCATTATATTTTTCTTCAAAAAATGGTGGTTTTTCATTTGTATGATAAATTTTATGCTCTCTTAATAATCTATTCACCATTTAGTATGTCATTGGGCAGGCTCTTAGGTCATGGCACCAGGCGTGATGAACCTACTCCAAGCCAGTGGTCGATAGTTTTGGTTCAAGCTGCTGGAGGGATTTTTGCAGGTGCTACTGCATCCTGCATTACAACGCCATTGGACACTATTAAAACTCGATTGCAGGTACACCTATTTGGCATCAAATATTATTGTCTGGTAGTTTTCAGTGCTTTTCGTTGCAGTTGGGAATTACAATGCTAGGACGACGAACTCCTTAGTCTCATGAACTTTTTTCGTTTTCTTCAGCTCTGAGTGTAGTTTTGAATCTAACTAAGCTTAGAACTATTACCATATAGAATTAGTCTAAACAATAGTGGGTTTAAATTTTTACAAACGACCTTACTTTTCCACGTGCTGCGATCATCTATTGCTTTCGTCTTCTCAAGAATGTAAATTGTCTTATTCCTCTGCTGATTTGTGGTCGATGGATGTCTCTATAATCAGCACACTTTACCTTGTGTAGTACTTGGAATAGCTCGTAGGTTTCCATAATATTATGGTATCCCTATAATTTGCTTCCTCTCATACTTCTTGTTTCTTTAAATAATGGCAGCTTTAAAATCGAAGTAGTACTGTAGAATCCCTAGGTGGTGCTATGTTATTTGAAAAGCTCAAGGGCTGGTATAGTAAAGGCAGCATCTCGCTAGTGCACATCTTTTTCATGATGAAACAAGTAAATGTACTTCAAAGTTGTGTAAATAGTACATCATGCAAGTTTTCAAACGTGACATTCATAGACGTAATGTTATAGTTTGGTTTGCAGCTCTACATGGCACCACGTGGCTTCTGTTGTCTGCTTGTTGTCTAATTAGTTGTTTCTGCATCATAGGTGATGGGACACGAAAAGAGACCCACTGCAAGACAAGTAGTTAAAGGATTGATCAAAGATGATGGTTGGACAGGATTATATAGAGGACTGGGTCCACGGTTTTTCAGCATGTCAGCATGGGGAACATCAATGATACTAGCCTACGAATATCTAAGTTGGGACACTTCCTTCTTTTTATAAAATTTGTCTATCATTTATTATTATCATCATCTTTCTTAAGAGGAAGTATAATGGGTTACTAGACAAAAGCTTTGGTCCTGTGGTAGCTTCTGAAAGGTGGATAGGGAGCCACTAATGGTTTCTTGCATCTTTTCTTGGCAAAGTAGCTCATGGGCTAATGTTTACCTGGCCCTAGAGGAGAATCTAAAGATTTAGTGTTGAAAACCTTCTTGGCGCCGCATAGGCTGTCAGTCCAATTATGTGTCCTTTTCTGCATCCTCATTCCTTCCTCATGGAAATTTTAGTCAAATTTCCAAACAGTTATAACAACAGTGACAAAATATGGTAATACCATATTGAACCTTAGAAGTTTTTGCGGCCCTAGTTTCTTGCAGTCTCTGATATGCATATAAGCGACAAAATTCTTGAACCCCAACCCCCAACCCCCAACTCCAATAAAAGGCACATAATTATGCAAAGGGTGAACAGAATTTGTGATGTTCTCATTTGGTGAATTCATTTTGTTCTTCTATTAAAACTTCAATGTCATGTTTGTCTTTCAATACTGTGAATTATAGTACCATTGGAATGTAGTTAATTTTGTGGCTTTATACATATATTTAATTATGCCTGTTAAGTGGAGCATGTGGTTATTTGGGGGCCTATGAACCTATTATTTTTGTTTTGATCTGCTGTCCTGCAAAGGTTAGAGGAGAGTATTAACTATGTGCAGTACGGTTTAAATCTTTATTGTTATCTTGCGATCTCTAATCAATTGATAGAAATGGGAGCTTATGTTGGCAGAGGGCCATATGAGTTAACCCTGGTGTTTGGTTATGGAACCTATGGATAAGTGGACCCTGTAATTTCATTATTATTAGAAAGGAATGTTGTTTCTATGGAACTTCTGAATGATGAGAAACGTTTTTTTCTCTTTTCCCATGCTTTTGCATTTTGTCCAACGTATCTGACATGGATAGCATGCTACTGTTTGTTCTGGTTTAAATTTGATATTCTGATGCTTATACATTTCTGTAGCTGGAACGGCAGTAACCTTGATTATCTGAGATGACATTACTCTATACTCAATAAGATCGAAGAATCCTTTGTCATGCTTATTTTCTACCCCATACAGTAACCTATGTTAATTTTGAAACAAGTTTCTCTAGTTGATTATGAAGCTATTGCCCAACCTAATCATGTTTCACTGTACTGGTCTTTTATCCTTTATACAGAGCGCGTGTGTGCAAAGGATGAATAGGTTCATTCCCAGTGACCTGCAACCATTGCTTCTTGTAAGGGACAGCAGAGATTTTAATTCTAGCTGCCTGAATTTAGACACATGATCGAAGATGACCGTGTTAAGATACTGGAATGCTTACTTTTCACTGCTAATACAGAAACAGGGCTCTAGCATTGTAGCATTTGTTATTCACTGGGGAGCAAACGCACTTGCTATTATAGCTGGATCCGTCGATCGTTATTTATTTTACTTGATGTAATTGAATCAGATTAATTGAAATCAAAGAATTTTGTTTCATGGGTTAGTGCCTGTAGTTTGTCTTCCCATTGTGTTTCTTTTTAGCATTCATTTGGAAAGGGAAAAAAGAAGTTTCAGTCATTAACTTTACAGAGTACGTTTTTTGACATCTTAGGAAGCCTAACCTCTAATTGGCTTTTCCAAAACAGCAGAGAAAAAGAGCTCATCATCAAGTTTATCTGTCTTTGGCACCACCCTCCACAGCAACTCTCTGTAGCCTAGTCTGGTGAATTCATCTAAATACAGCCTCATATCTTCCTTCTTACAGCAGAACCGGTCCACCCAAAGGAGTCCCTTTGGCCAAAGGACACGATCCCAATCAAACAGGACAAACTGGAGGAGTTCCAAGCTGATCCACCCATCCAAGAAGAGAGTAGAATGAACAATATCAAGTGCATTGTCAAAGAAAGGCAATCTTGAGCCGACTGAAATGTAAAGGGGAAGGAGGCCTCTTAGTGCAATCACCTCACTGAAAGGGGCACCTAAGTTCAGTGTAGCCGAAGCAATGGTAATATTTTTCTCTCTCATGATTGCAGCAAAAGTGCCGGTTGTTGGGGTGAAATCGAGACCTATTCGTATCTCTCCTGGCCTTAACCTTAGCACCTCATCGATGGTGAATTCAGCCGAGGCAGATTCATTTCTGGGATTTTCCCATCCCCGATTAGAAAGTTCAAAACAATCAGCACATTTGTAGAAGCCTCTTCTATCAATTGTCTTGTTGGAAACAAGACAATTATAGTTCTTGCACTTATAATTGTTCCATAAAATGTTAGCATCACTAGGTTGAGTCCAAAGGGAGGAGTTCAGATTAGCTGGCGTAGTGTAATGAGGAGGCGCCATTGAGAAGCACCTTCTTCTTGGTAATGGGTCACATCCACCAAGTATGAGCTTCTGAGCTAAGTCCCAATCATTTGGGCACATACCATCGATCTTGTAAGTCATGAAGCGATCTACAATGAAGGCCATAGGGGCGCAACCCAGTCCTATGGATGGATTGACTGCTTACAGCCCAAGAAAATTCTTTTTCCCGTGAAATCTATTTGATTTGGGTGAAATGTAATTAATAAGCTCTGCAGAATTGAAGGCCTTTCCATGTAATGAACCTTCTTCAGCTTCACTTTGCTCAGGCTCACTGAGATCTTCATCTACTCTGCTCATTTCATTACCACCATCAGGAGCATTGCTTAAGAAACCTGACAAGCAATCAGCAAGCTTGTCTAAGGATATAGCAATGCTGAGGACCTGATCTGAAAATTTTGTTAAAGATTTTGATTCCGAACTTTCAATATGTAGATGATCCAACAGAGCTCCCAATTGGGACTGCAGATGAGAAATCTGGTTGTGGATTGAATGGGGTAAAACAATCTGGACATGGGAGTTATTGGCAGTGGAGGAAAAGAAGAACCGAGAGTAAGTGATATGGGAATTGTAGATGATCAATGTGATGAGGGTAGGGAAAAGAAGAAAACATAACATCATGTGAAGAGCCCTCCTGGAAGGCATTTTTGATTGCTTGGAGGTGCTCTGTTCCTGCATTTCTAAGATGGGTTTTATGCTTTTCAGTGCCTTGAACCCTCTAAGTGTATAGAATGAAATCAGCCTTTGACCTTGAAATTGGTTTTAGCTTGTTCTGTTTTACATTGTTTATGCATGATTTGATCTTCCCTAGATGCCTGATTTCATTCTATACACTTTTTTTCAACATGTGGATTTGTGAAACTTCAGATGAAAGCTTCTCGAGTTTAGCAGCTTCAGTAATTCTTTGTGCCTTTCGTAACCACTTGAGCTAATCCCAGATACAGAATTCAGTTCTTTTGTCGAAACAGGGAAAAAAAAATGACAATGGTTGTTAACACAACACGGAAACAATCTCTCTATTTACGGAATAAAACTGTATACATTTAAGGCTACCAAAGACAAATTTGTTCAATTTGTAGTTTCTCTCTGAATTCAACACTAGGGTTTTCTGTATGAACCCAAAAGTAGAAATTATACTGAACCTAAGGTTAGATTCATACTAAAGCTGATTTTAAAAAAGAAGAAGAAGAAGAAGGTAGAGACCAGTAAATTTCTACATGGAATGAAGCAAGAAACATAGACATACACTTGATATTCATGACATTTCATTACATTATTTTTACATACACCCAGAGCTAGAATCATATAAAGGTTGCAGAGAAAAGGAGAAAAAAAAAGGATGAAAAAGAAACCACATAGAATAATGATAGCTTCATGGGAGAAATTTTATCCCAGTAGTCGTAGGATCATGATGGAGGACCACGTTTGCATCGATTATCATAGCTACAGGATCTGCTGTGATCGTTGATCCGACGAGGTATGCAATCGCCGTACTGATCTGTATCACATACAGGTGATCCTCTTTGGAGAGAGTTGCGTGCACTAAGTTGACTGTTGGATTGAAGAATCCTTCTGCTCACTTCAGACTCCATTAGGAACTCTTGGTCGTCTTCTTCAATGCAGTCTGCGATGGTTCCATTGCACCTAGAGCTTCTTTTCTTCATCTCTGCACAATCAGCTCTTTCAACATTTGTGTTGAGCACAATTAGTAGAAGAACAGCTATGGAGAAGAAAAGACGTACCCTCTTGGGTTCCATTCTTGTCTCTTACTTTTCTTTTTTTTTTTTTTTTGTTGGGAGTTCTGCTAAATTTATGGGCTCCGAAGGTCACTAATGAGCTGGACACAGAGGACGGGTAAATTATACTAATAGTCCCTGAGGTTTATTATTTATTTAATTTTAATATTTAAATTTTCAATTTCTTCAATTTAATCCTCAAAGTTCACATATTGTACTAATGAGGTCCTCGCACTAACTTCCATCTAAATCATTGATGAAAAATTGCACTAATGACTTAATTACTTTAAATATCAGTCACATGCTTTGGCATGTGCTATATTTTCAGTCAATAAATGATAAATGCTAGGGACTAAATTGATAAAATTAAAAGCTCAAAGACTAAAATTCAATAAATGATAAATGTTAGGGACAAGTGACACAATTGATCATATAGAGCACACAGCTAAAGTTTTAAAGTATGGATAAGAAATGAACGGCAATTATTGGTCTTAAGATTACCAGGATGAGAAAAGAAAGACAGCTATTGGTCCTAAGATTAGGAGGATAATGAATGAAAGGTCATTGACCTCCAAGTGACTTTTCTGGTCATCTCGCCGACAACACCCTTGCGCCCACTAAGTCCGTCCCCACTCCCCGGCGGCTGTTATTCTTCACATATCCCTCACACTACAATAAAAATATCAATAAATAAAATAAAAATATTCATAAAGAACCAATAAAAATGATAATATTTTTGTATCGAGTAAAAATAGTAAAAATAATTATAAACAATGTGATAAAAACGCACGTAACACTGATAAAAATATTTATAAAAATAATAAATTAACCATAAAAGTCATAATTTTTGATTGTTATAAAATAAATCATAAAAATTAGGTGTACGGTACTAAATTTTTTTTTGCAATGCCAGTGTTAAGTCCAAAACTTAAAATCATGGACATGCCTATGGTACCGAAATTAAAATTTTGGTACCATACCAAAATTTATCACATTTGTGATAATTGTTACCATATTTGTGAGTAGTTTTGTCCCTGTTATGTGATACTCAAAAAAATAATAAAAATAGTTATTATAATAGTGGTAAAAAATATTTATAAATGTGGTAAATTATCCAAAAAAGTGACAAATTTTTTTATACTTAAAAGAGGTGGTAAAAATAATTACCACAAATGTAATAAAAATACCCACAAAAGTGATAAATTTTTTTATTATAAAATTATCCATTAAAGTTGTAAAAATATACTTTAAAGTAGAAATATTTGGAGGTATAAATTTTTTTTTGGCTCTACCATAATCAAGTCCTAAAACCATATTTGTGGAGAAAAGAATCCCGCTACGGTACCGATAATAAGTTTTTCGGTACCGTACAGAAAAACCAATGTGAGCCGTTGATGGATCTGCCAATCACTAAGGACCATTAATCAAGTTGTACTTTTATTTTTTATATTTTTCAATGCGGTAATCAGTTACCTCCTAAACAAGTGTGAATTAAAACAATTTAGGAAAAATATCAGTCAAGCTCTTTGTAGTTTATCATATCTTTAAAGACATCTCATCTATTATTAAAAATATTATTGATACCTCTTCTAGTTTATATTTAAACATCACTTTCTAGTTTATATTTAAACATCACTTTCACTCCTGTCATTAAACTACCATTTATAATAAAAATAAAATACCAAAATTGCCCCTACATAAATTCCAAACAATCTTTCTTCATAAAATTCAATTAAAATTCAAACCGATTAAAATACATTTTTCTATACGTTAAAATTCAACCCAACTAAATTTCTTTTTTTGTTACATATTAAAATTTGAGTCTATTAAAATTTGATTCAAACTGATTAATTTTATTTTTTTAACGTATTAAAATTTGAGCCTATCAAAAGTCTTTTACGTACTAAAATTCGAGCCAATTTAGGTTTTACTTGAACTGTTAGTCCCGACTAAAATTCACTTTGAATCAATTAAAATTCCATTCAACTAAATTAAATTTTTTTTATGTATTAAAATTTGAGTTAATTAAAATTTATATTTTTTTTATGTATCAAAAATCAAACCGATTAAAATATAATGCGAGTTGATTAAAATTAGTTTTAAGCCTATAATATAATTTTAATCGGTTCAAATTTTAATACGTAAAGAAATATAATTTTTAATCGACTTAAATTTTAATATATAAAAAAAATATTTTAATTAGCTCAAATCAAATTTTAATCTTTCCGAATTTTAATACACACAAAAATTTAAAAAATAGGGGGGATTTTATTGAGGATATGTCTATCTATAGGGGGTTTGGATGAAATTTTTTCTAAAATATATTATGGGTAATTTAGTAAAATTATATTCTAATTAATACATTTAATCTGACAAGGAATGTCATTAAAAATTTAAAAACGAAAAGGAATGTCCTTAAAGTTATAGTAAATTAGAAAAAGTGTGGGCGAAATTTTCTAAAAGTTATATAGTCTTACAATAGGATAGGGAGATAGTACAAGTCATGACTTATATTGTAAATTTTTCACTAATATTTTAAATTTTTCATTGATATTATAAATTTTTTTCTATTATTATAAATTTTTTATTATTGTTATAAATTTTTCACTACTAATGTTAGTTATAAATTTTTCGGTATATAAAAAAGTAACCGGTGAAAGCAGTTGTCTTAGTTTTTACTTTTACACGTGGCATGATCTGCTATCTTCTGTACCTAACAACTTTTTAATATGATACCAAAAAATTTAAAACACCGTATTGTAGGTTAGTCCAAAAAGTTAAAACTAAAAGGACGAGAGAAGTAACATCTTGTGTCAGCACAGGTATGCATGAGGGGAGAGTGATAAGAGGAGTGATGACGATGCCCACTGGTTGATATTTTTTTGGACCATCGAATGAAGAAGAAGAAGAAAATTACATATATAGTAGAAAAGGGTGCTAAAAACCTGACTCATTTGTCTTTGTCTCTGTCTCTGTCCTTGTCTTCTTCTTGGTGGGGAATCATAGAATATTGGGATTGAGGGCAACCTAAGTTACACCTCCCCCATATGTGTATTGTCTCGACGGAACAACTTTACATATTGATGGTAATAATAACATTATTAGAATATGATGCCAATCAAGCATCATATCTTTTTCGATAGAGATAAAAATTTATGGTATATATAAGTTATTATTTTTTTTTAAAAAAAAAAAGACAGATAAATATATATCAAACATTCATTGAACATGTATAATTTATTTGTTAGTAATAGCGTTGAAAATTTTCTGATAGGACATATTGGCCAGTAAAGCCTTTGTAAAGAGATCAACTCTGTCATACACAACATGAAAAAAACCAACTCATTCAGATTGTAGTGTAGCATTACTGCTTTAAGTTGGATGTTCCTAAAAGAGCCTTGATTTGCTCAAAAGAAAACATTGTTTACTGTCACTACACGCACTTCTTGGTAGCGTTGTTCTCATGTTTGCCAAAAGAAAAAAAAATTGGGTACTGTACTAAAAGTTAAAATTTTAAAAGGGAAGGTAATTTTTTTTTTAAAATATCGGTTAGGGATATTCAGACCAGATTATGTATACTTGGATAAATTCTTTATTCGATTCAGTCAAAAACAGGTTATCCACGTTGAGATTAGAGTATTCATCGACTAATTTTTTCTTCAATCCAGTCAAAAACAAGTCATCTATGTTGGAATTATGATATTTATGAGGGATAAATCTCTTATTACCTAGTCCTAAGGGTCGTCAAGATTCGAATTTAAGATGTTTGAATTTAAAAATGGAAGGTATAACTTTTTAAGATAATTCAATAATTCACGATGAATCATAAACTATTATATTCAGTGGTGAATTATTTTAATTAATTATAATTTTTATTTTATGAGTTATAACTTGATTTTTTAAAAGTAATAATTGTTATGATTAAACGCGTTTAGAATTGTAGTCTAATTGTCCTGTTTAGATTTTCTTTCCGAGGGCCAGAGAAAAGGGGCTCCTTTTTCTGGGTAGGCTTCTTGCAAAGATGGTCAACTCTTTGCAATTGTTTTGCTAGAATCATTGTTCATCAACCACCTAGTCTAACGATTTTCTGAGATCTTTCTCACGAAAATTCTGAATTTTCAGTCTTGAAACTGAAAGAGATTATTTCCATTCAGAGTCATCGGGGACTAAATATACCCAGAATTTCATTCTTCTTGTCATTTTTTCAAACACTGGATGGGCAAAAAACATCATTTGGACTATACTTCCCGATCCATAATGGGGGCTGGAAGTGAAAGGGTCTCTCTCTTGAATAAAGATGTAAGCTTCGTTATCAACCCTTCTTCTTCTTCTTTGATTGGTTCTGCCAGATTATTTGTCATAGCTTTATCTGGGTTTATGTTATTCTGAAATCTTTGATTCGCCAGTTTTTCAATTTCGGCATTCTTTCTATTACATCTACCTCTCATGTTTGTTGAATTTTTGACTGTTTTAAGTGAAACCATGTTCTGGTTGCATCTTTGCTTGCTTACTGGATGACCCAATTCGAGATTTGGGTTATGCTAAATTTCAGCGGTTTTTTCTCACATATGGCTGTATTTAAAGAGCTGGTTTTTGAAATACCTCGAATTATCTTGTGAATTGTGATTATAGGATCTTGAAAAACATTATTGTGCTGCATGCTGCATTAAAAGGCGTATTACGATTGAAAGTCTGCCGTTCTTGACTTTTTTGGTGAAAAAAGCTTGTTATCACTTGTTTCATAGTTCTTTAGAATCAGTTTACTGAAAGAAGTATCAGAGTCCTCTAAGACTTAAGAAGGTTAGTTGCAAGTTAATCATAGTTTAAGTAAAGAGTAAATCTCAAATTTGGTTTAATTTATTACACATTTATTTGGTTGATCGTCATTTCCCATGTAGATAAAACTGTACAATGTTGCAATACAGAAGACTATGAAAGGTCTTCTTTATTGTTCTCAGGGTGGGTGAACGTCAATTTGCATTTATATTTGTAGGCTCGGAGGCAGGCGAATGGGGCAAATGATGGTCCTGCAACAGACCTTGAGCATGGAGATGGCATACAGGTGATCACTAATCATGTTATTGAAGTCTGCAGTTTTGTTCTGCCTACTTTGGTTGCTTTTTTGTAAGACATTAACTTTGTTCGTACAATTCAGGCAGCAAACGTTGGATTTGGTAGAGTATTCTCACTGGTGAGTGGAAGTATAATTTTAAGAAATTCGAAGACAGAGCCATGTTGTGGCTTCATACTAACAATTGAGATTTCTCTTTTATATGCAGGCAAAACCTGACGCAGGGAAGCTAATTATTGGCACTATAGCACTGCTGATAGCATCCACCACTAGCATTCTCATTGTATGCCGTTCTCTGTACTGGTTCATCTACTCTGTCCCACACCCCCTTGTTAACATAATCAATCTTTGTATGATACAAATAACATATAGTGGACACCCATTACCATCTTAACTGCCAGTGGCAGTGAGAAAAATGTGCTGCCTCATAAATGAATGCTGATATCTTAAAATTACCTTCTACTCTATACCATTGGATGAACTACTAAATCTGTAAGTTCCTCCAGTCCACCAACAAGAAACTAATTGCACAGACTTCCTTTATTCTCTTCATGATGAGCAGTGAAAAACTTGGTACTATATCTATCCTACAAATCTACACGTGCAGAATAGCTTTTATGCAGAATCCTTTTCCTGTTCTCATGAAAAAATTGAATATGACAAAGAATGTATTATTAAGCCAAAGTCAGCATAGTTTGTAACCACTCGAAAAACACTACAAAAAGTTCACTAACCTGCCTCCTCACTAATATTTTCCTGCTTCCACTCCTAGGACCAGGAAACACTAGTTAAATATAATACAACATGGCAGTTTCTAATTCCATTCGTGAAGTGGTTAGATAAGATCCAGGGACCTTATCAGCCTCACTTTTTCTAATAATACCTGCAATGCTCAAACCATCTAGTTTAAAGATCAGTTGTCCATTAGTTTCTTTGTGCTCTTAGAACCCTGCTTGTGATCTAAAAAGGTAAAGCACTTGATCAGAGACAGCTAAGATTTTTCTACTTATGTCCCTAAAGCAGCGTCATTTGGATGGACTCAAATGGTGCCATGAGACCTTTGGCTTTCCAGTATTAACTTCACCATGTTTGAGAGATATCCAGGCTTTGAGTTTCAAGCTCCTGAAGCTTCTCATTTTAGATATGCCTTACCTGTAGATCATAGAGAAGTCTGACGATGCATGATATTGAATTTGTGGACCCTTACGTTAACTAGCTTGTTGCAGAGAAACTCGATTCTTTTGTTTTTTGGTCCAATGAAAAAAAAAAAAAAGAGAGAGATGTGGACACGAATGCACTCTTTGTGGAGATGCATAATATAGTTAAGATAATGGCTAGCCCTTTTTTGGCTTGGACTTGATACTGGGTGGACCATTCATGTATGTTATCAAATGGGGATGAAGACATGGATTTTTACACAAGGGTAGGTATCTGTAGCAAACATGCAGTTGCATGCGTACATGAATGCTTTTATAATGAATCGTATAATCTGATAAACTGTAAGAAAGGTGTCCATAGGGGACCATGAAGCCACAGGTCCACAAGTGAATTTTTGGACATAAAAAGTAGCTGGGTAAATATTATGAAGGTTTGCTTTTAGCATGTTCCTGTGTTTGTTTTATTGCAGCCAAAATATGGTGGAACGATAATCGACATTGTATCAAAAGATATAAGGACCCCTGAACAGCAAAATGATGCTTTGGATGACGTCAAGAACACTATAATAGCTATGGTTTCCATAGTCGTTATTGGGTATGAAAATTCTGCCTCAGTCCTTTCTCTTGTTTAATATGCATGGTTCTGATGTGTGTATATTCATGAACTACATTTGCATCCACTTTCTCTATGGTAAATGACTAAATAGCTATTGGGCATTGGATTGGATTTGAAAAGAGTAAATTGCAATTTTGTTGCTGTAAACTACTTTGCTTTCATCAAGTCTATTATAAAGTAAGTGCATTTGATTTATGAGGATGTTTTACAATTTAATCCTGTTCTTTTGTTTTGATTTGCTATATCAATTTATCTTCTTTCCAACGGGAGGGCAAATTCTCATCTAACATGCACTAATCTATTACCTTTCAACCTTCTTTGTGACAGTGATTAGATTGATTTTACATATGGTACTATAAATCACATCTTGTTTGATCATTAATAGTTTCAAAGGTATCATATAACCTTAAGTTATTTTTAGTTCTCTGTGCACAGCACTTCGGTCATGGTTGTTTTCTTCGGCTAGTGAAAGGGTTGTTGCTCGTTTGAGGAAGGATTTATTCAGTCACCTTATCCAGCAAGTAAGCACCATGACTCCATTTCCCTACATATCTGTATCATCCTGTGACATCTATAATTGCTTAAGCTTCCTTTTTAATTGGTCTTGTGGTTCCCATGGATCCTTGTATTTACATTTTTCTATCTGCAATTAATATCTTTAGCATAATAAAAGCACTTGAAACAGCAGTTTACTTGACGTTGAAGACCACGGGATCTATCTCAAAATAGACTCTAGTAATTTGTATGCTTAGTCTTTATTTCCATTTGAAACAATGGCTGATAGATGATATTACTATGTTTAACAGGAGATCGCCTTCTTTGATGTTACTCGCACAGGAGAACTCCTGAGCAGGCTATCTGAAGATACCCAAATCATAAAAAATGCTGCAACTACCAATCTCTCAGAAGCACTACGAAATCTGACTACCGCACTTATTGGAGTTGGCTTCATGTTCACATCATCCTGGAAGTTAACATGTGAGTGATTAGTTTCAGTAGAAATATTTGGTGTACTACAGTCCTAGTACACTCATTGTATTTTCCTTCTCTTGCTTGTTCAGTGCTGTCCTTGGCTGTCGTTCCGGTCATTTCAGTTGGCATACGTAAATTTGGGAGATTTCTTCGTGAACTTTCTCATGAAACTCAAGCTGCAGCAGCAGCATCTGCCTCAATTGCTGAGGTATATGTTTATTGTGTAATATATCTGCCTCAAGCTGCGGCTGCAGAATTTTTGTAATCAAAATTGATTTTCAGGAATCTTTTGGGGCCATTCGAACTGTGAGATCCTTCGCACAAGAAAGTTATGCAATTTCTAGTTACTCAGAAAAAGTTGATGTGACCCTGAAGCTTGGACTTCGACAAGCCGTGAGTTCCTTGACATGCTCTCTCTCTCTTCTTTTCCAATATTAAAAATTGGTATGTATACATGTGACCATTTCTGAGCTTTGAAGCTTCAACTTGCCTGCCGCAGGGAATGGTCGGTTTATTTTTTGGAGGCTTAAATGCAGCATCTACTTTATCTGTCATCGTGGTGGTTGTTTATGGTGCTTGCTTGACAATAACAGGATCCATGACTGCAGGCGCCCTCACATCCTTCATTCTTTATAGCCTCACAGGTTCTCCCTTGATTTTCAGTCCTGTCAAATATACAGGGCAGATTTCATTAAGTTTTTCCCCTCCTGTTGTTGATGGGGAGAAATCTGAATTTATTTATATGGAAACTGACTAAATAGTTAAACTTTTCCCAAGTAAAACAATACAAAAATGGGAGTCAATTTAATGAAACTTAGAATCATGTCATGGGACTGTTCTCTGCTAAAAAATGTCTGTACCACCATGATTTGTTGTTCTATTTTATGTAGAAGATGGCACCCAAATAAGAATATTGAGATCAATGATGAAACATGAAAAAGAAACGAGAAATAGTTCTATTCTTGAAACTAAGAGGCAGTAACTGAGAGAGAAACTATATGTTTTTTTTTTTTTTTTTTGTGGAGTGGAGTAGTGTTATCAGAACCGGACCTGACCGGTCCAACCGTGATCCGGGGCCTTAGCCGGTCCGGCTCTCTAATCGGACCGCATAAGGAAGAGAATCAGCCGGTTTTTATAAAAAATCGTAAACCGGCGGTTTTTATAAAACCAGACGGTTTGAAAACAAATGACTTAAATCCCATTTATTTGGGCCATTTCTTTTGCCCTAATCGCAGAAGCACCGCTCCATTCCCAGGCGACCAACGAGCCCTCCACCCCCTCTCTCTCCCTAAACCCCTCCACTCCCAGGCGACCATCGATTTCTACTCAGGCGATCATCAACTTCTGCTCAGGCGACATTACTTGATTTCTGCTCAGGCGACCATCGATTTCTCCTCCTTTCTCCTTTCTCACGCACATAGTGCTCAAGCGACATTATGAAATGTTTAATTATTGGTTTTGTGCTCAGGCGACATCATATCTCCTTTCTCCTCCTTTTGTTTTAGGGTTTCTACTCCATTTTATTGTGGTGGTGTCTATTTGCGATAAATTAGAAATTTGCATGAGTGGGCTAATGTAGAGATATCTATTTTTTTTGCCCCTTCGGCCATTTGTTTTCCAGTAACGCTAATACAAATTATATTCATTTCCTTTTCAAATTTCTCATTGTATGTGTAGATTTAATCATTGATAATATATGCTAAACCCTGTGCTTGTTTGCCTGAAACTCGAAGTCGATTTTGATGATGGTGTATTGATTTGTATTGCTTATATTTTAAGTTGTATCCCATCTGCCAGTGTGTCTGATAAATTAGTGTGTCACTCTTCTCAGATACGCGCCTTACATTGTGCATTTTAGACTTTTTTTATAACTTCATAAATTTTATGGCAAATTGTATGCATTTTAGACATTTTTTAGCTAAATTATTATATTTTATAATTATTATATATATATTTTTATTTTTTATTATATGACCCGTTCGACCAGTTAACCCAACGGTTGAACCAGTGAACTATTGACCCGGTCCCCTTGCCGGTTTGATGACCGGTCCGGTTCTGATAACATTGGGGTGGAGGATGAAAACAGTTAAAGGAAAGGATTAGTAATTTAGGGAGATCATATAAAAATTACACCAAACTTCGAATGTAAAGATTTTAATTTTTGCTCTGTCAGGGAGGGGATATGGTCCCCCAGCCTCCGTCCGTGCTTGGTGGTGCCACCAATTGAGGACAAAAGATGGGAAATATTCCAAGATGGCTAGGTCAAGTGTGACATAAGACCTATGGATGTGGCCATGTGGATTGAGTCATCTGATTTAAATTGGTGATGATGTGAGGACAAGATTGAGGATTAAAAACTATTTAGGAACGAAGAATAAGGATGTTATCACAAAGCATACGGCTCTAGATAGGGCTAAATGATTAAAAATGGCTTGTGTAACCAACCTTAATTGATTGAGGTTCAAGGCTTTGCCTAGTCAAGTTGAACTGCTTTGCTTGTGAAGGTTTTATTGTACTGATCAATGTTTCTATTTATGGTTTAAACTTTAAACCAGTCTTGAAATCTTTAGCTAAGATTCACATATCTAATAGGTCCTAATACTGTAGTACTTTTCCAAGCTAACAAAGTTTAATGCCTTCAATGCACCAAACATTTACCTGCAGTTGGATCTTCAGTATCCTCACTATCTGGATTATATACAACTGCAATGAAAGCCGCAGGAGCAAGTAGGAGAGTTTTTCAGCTTTTAGATCGCGTCTCCAGCATGCCAACTTCAGGAGATAAATGCCCTATTGGGTTATTCTCTCTCTTCTCCCTCCCCTTCTCTGAGGCACACAGACACACACATGCATGTTGGTTTCATTCCTTTGCGTAGTTTGGAAAGTATATTTATTTATTAGTTGTGTTGTGGCTTTATTTGCAGCAATCCCGATGGGGATGTCGAATTAGATGATGTTTGGTTTTCTTACCCTTCTCGCCCGAGTCATATGGTGCTCAAGGTATTAATTTTGCTTGGTTAAAATCATCTGCAACATATGGACATTGTGAGCTGCCAAGGATGTCTATAGTTTCCTTTTCCTTACTCCACTATGTTTTTGTTTAAGTAGCAGAGTACAGCAAATATAAAGATTTTAGGTTTTAGTGTTTGCTAGTAGCAAATTTGCCTATAATAGCGAAAGAACAAAAACAGACTATCCTTGGCAGTTTGGTAAAATTTAGAATGGTTGTAAAAATCCAATTCTGTTTCTCTAAAACTGTTTTTTTTTTATTGTTCTATAAATGAAGTTAATATCAACATTATACGCGAGCCAAACTTTTTGGAATCTCTCTTAAGTGTATTTGTCTGAATTGCAGGGGATATCACTAAAACTGAGACCTGGTTCAAAAGTTGCCCTTGTTGGTCCAAGTGGTGGTGGAAAAGTATTATTTTTACCTCTATTTTTTCCCAATTGGGGCATCTTCTATCTTCGGATTCATAATGTGGGCTTCTAAATGAACTGGATCTTTTACTACGTGAAGTCATTTACCTTTTTGCTGCAGACCACAATAGCTAACCTGATCGAAAGGTTTTATGACCCGCTCAAGGGAAAGATTTTGTTGAATGGGGTCTCCCTAGTAGAAATATCTCATGACTACTTACACAGAAAGGTACTCTTTTACAATATTTTTTGTCTACAATATTACTATATCTTGGTCCTAGAAAGTTATACCACTTAAAATAAAAGAACTGAAAGTCACTCTTATCGTGAAGACTGTGAAGCATGGTTTGACCTATTTTTCTTTTGCACATGTTTTATCATATGCCAAGTTTACTAGTAAACGAAACATGGATGACTCGTTAAATTACGATGTTCTGATTTGTTTAGAAACCCACACCACTGTAGCGTTCACATTGGTTATCATAAACCATTTTTGTGTTTTTAGTGCATCATGCATTGATCTTACTATGTATAAGTGTTTACATAACCCCATTTCCATCTTCGAATCATAGGTCAGTATAGTGAGCCAGGAACCTGTTCTTTTCAACTGTTCCATCGAAGAGAACATTGCTTACGGGATTAATGGCAAAGCCAGCAGTGCTGAGATTGAAAATGTGGCTGTAAGTTTGCTGCTTCTATTTCTTTTCATTCGCTTTGTAATTCTTCTTCCCCTGTTGCACTTTCATGTGTTTATTTTAATCACAAATGGTTGCTCTACTCAGCTGTTCATTCTGCACCTATGGATACTAATTGATTTATTATACTGCAGAAAATGGCTAATGCCCATGATTTTGTAGACACATTTCCAGAAAAGTATCAAACTATTGTAGGAGAACGTGGATTAAGGTTGTCAGGAGGCCAGAAACAAAGAATAGCAATTGCAAGAGCACTGTTGATGAATCCAAGAGTTCTGCTGCTGGATGAAGCCACGAGTGCTCTGGATGCCGAGAGTGAATATCTAGTACAGGTGAGATTAAAATAATCCGTTGTTGGTGCACTCACACTCACACTCGCACTCACACATCCATACCAAATGTCTAATCCTTGGTATACATATCCAATGTCTCAATTTCTCAAGTCTAAAGCATGTTTTTTCTTAGTGGACATTCGAATTTGCGTTGTTTATAATGCTGGTGTTATTAGTAGGCCCATCCAACTAAATGGATGTCCGTATCATCCTTGCTTTCAAATGATCTTCTCCCTCTTGAATTTTCTCTTACTCGATCACATGCCATTTCTCCTTTTGTTCTGCAAATCAAGGGAACCTACATTTAAAACCTCGTACTTTACTTTGACTTGTTGTAAATTTGTGACATAATAACAATATTATGCAGTGTGTAAACCTATCATTTTCTCTCTCTCTACAACTTCCTTAGTTACCTAGGCAAACATTTTGTCATTTTCCCTTAACTTCATTTACAGTTTACATTTCAATTCAGTACTGCAACATTCTTATTGGATTTTTGTATCTTTTAAGGTACAACATTTAGCCTTTTTCATCCACATTTTCGGCATTTTATTATATTCTTGACAAGATACGTCTAACGACTTATATATTGTATAGGATGCGATGGATTCTCTAATGAGGGGCAGGACTGTTCTTGTTATAGCACACAGGCTTTCCACGGTCAAAAGTGCAGACACAGTCGCCGTTGTATCTGATGGTCAGATAGCTGAAAGTGGCACCCATGACGAGCTTCTCGACAGAGACGGTATTTACACTGCACTTGTGAGGAGGCAGTTGCAAGGAACCAAAAATGAAACCTAGTTTGACAAGTTCAGAGGTTGAAGCACAATTCACTGAGGAGCAGATTGAATAAATACATTGCTCGGTTTATATATGTCTCCTTATGTAACGAGTAATTTTATAATCCTTGGAAAAGAACTTCTTGATAATACAAATATCGAATCTGTTAACCTGCTTAAGGTCACTTCAACTGTTCTCAGAACTTGTAGTCAATATAAGCGGACAATACACCAAACATAGCTCCTCGCGCACACACACACACACACACACACACAAAGTGGTTAGTCGTGCAACTATCACTAGCCGAGCTAGAGCTAGAGCTAGAGTTACTGCATTGCAGATTAGTCGACCTCTTTGACTACTATCAATTTGCTTGGCCAGTTGTCTTACAGTTGTTTTGGGGGGCCTGTAGAACCAACTGCCTCACCTCTCCTTGGAATAATGTCTCTCTCTCTCTCATGGCTCGCTGTTTCACGGGATAAACAAAATGGCCCAGATTACAGCTAATATGTTCATTAAAGACACTGGGTGTGTAAGAGGTTGAACAACCGATCGGGATTACATACATGATACAACTAATAAAAGCAATATAGATATGGAATAAAAAAGTTTAAATGTAAATCATGGTTCTCTGAATGATAAAACCCTCATGTTTCGTTTGGTACGAAAAAAAAATAGAAGGAAGTTAAGTTTGAATGATAGAAAGTTAGAGAAATAAATAAAACATCATGTTTAATAAGGAAGGAATATAAGAAAGATGAAAAAGTTAATGGATTAATTTTCCTTTCAACTCATCAAAATCAATCCCTCTAAAATCGGAAGGAAATTAGATGAAAAATTAATTATTTGTATTGAGATGTATCTTATTTGTCTATTAGTAATTACCCATGCCTGAAGGCACTACATTACTCATAAAAAATTGTAAATATTTTTTCATAAATAAAGGCAATGTATAATATAATTTCAACAATATAACGATCAAATTGATATTGTTCAACATGTATGCAGAACATATATAATTAAACCTTTATATAACGAAAGTTACGTATAACTACTACAACATATTAATTCAAAAATTTGAGAAAATATAATTATTGTTGGTTAAACATCCACAATTTTAACATTTTAAATAAAATTTATCTCAAATTTCAAAAAAATATAACTATTTGTTTATCTGCAGGTTTCTAGCTAAAGTTCATAGCATTATCTCTGCACCATTTTTCTAATGTGAGTTCGTGTAACTTTTGTGAGGAAAACATCCAAAAGTTTCATATGAATTCTCGTAGATGTACAAAAATTTGTTGAATAATTAAAATTAGTTTTCACTTGAGTTCAACTTAAATATTCATAAAATTTAATTGAATTTAAGTTTGGGTGGAGCTATTCCCACTCCACAAATTTCTATTCCCACCCCATTTAATTCCTCATTATCAAACTACTAAACCCACTCTTTTATACCCACCTCATTAGTAACTAAATCCACCACATGCTACATACATCCCGTTTAATAAGTAAAATCACCTTATATTTTGTCATAATTAAGGTTTCATTCTCTATTTCATCTGATGCACTCACAAAAATATTTTTTAATATGAATTTTTCCAATGAGATACATGTTAGTATTACTTTTCAATTTAATTATATATTTGATTTTTCTATTTGTTGTAAGAATTTTTACTATTTTTGGTATGTTTTGATATCTCTGTCAAGTTTAATAATTTTTTATTTAAAATGTATATGTGTGTATATATATATGTTTGTTTTTCAGATTATTTGTTATTTTTTTTAATCTTGTTTAGGTTTTGTATCTATGCTTCTTATTTTTTTTCTTGTTCTATTTTGCATTTGTGCTTGATATTTTTTTTTCATGTTCGATTTTGCGTCTTGTGGTTTCACGTTTTGTAGTTTTATTTGTTCCTTTAATTTTTGCTTGATTTTTTTATTCCTTCTTATTTCGGTTTATTATTTTTTTTTTGTTCCTTATTTCGTTCATTTCTTTTTAAAATAGATGTATGTAGCATGAGGTAGATACAAAAATGGTAGACTTAATAGTTTAATAATGAAAAATTAAATGGGGGTGCGAATAGAGATTTAGGGGTGGGAATAAAGTTTTAGCAAGAATTTATACTTTATACACGACAGTTAAATTCAGTTTAATTCGAGTCTTAATTATAATTACGTAAAAATTGAGAATTGAATTTAAGTTCGACTTAATTAATACTTCTATCTTAAATCTATAAAACTAATTCTTATTTGTTTCTGTTCACTGTAATGTCATAACTTCTTCTCTTTTTTTTTTAATTTAGTTATTCGTTATTATTTTTATAATCAATTTTACTTTGCCTTCAACTTGAATACTTGTAAAATTCAAATAAAGTTAAATTTAAACAAAAAAATATATTTTATACTCGACAATTAAATTCAGCTCAATTTGAATACTAATTATAATCACTTTGAATCGATAATCGACTAAAATGAAATTTGGAGGAGGAATTTCGATTGTTTGATCAATAATCTTAAAACAATCTAAGTCACGAAAAACTTAAAACAAATAATGATAGTCCCCTTATTATATAGACATATCACATTTTATATATATATATATATATATATGATACCAAAATATAACAAAGTGCGGAATACATGTGAGTACTAGGAGAATCACAAGATGTAGATATGAATGTGACAAAATAATTTTTTTTTATAAAATTTCTTATTTAAATGAACAAGATACAAAATATGATAAACAGAAATAAATACTTACAATACTAGCACTAAGTGAGCTAGTAGTGAAAGAGGATAGGGGAGAAACTTTTCATTTGTATTATGAAGAATTTTTACAAAATATGGGATAGTGAATTGTGTATAGGGAAGGCTTATGGGAGCTTTCGAGAATAACTCTAAGAAGGTTTTTCTTCTGGAAAAAACTCTTACTTGAATGAGAAGATTGAAGTCCTTATATAGAGGTAAGGAGCCCTGGAGGAATCTTTTTAAAATATTTGCTCCGTTGTCTTCTTTTCTGCTTTAACTTTAGGTAAAGTATTTCACTTTAATTTTTCGGTGGAAAAGTGGAAGTAAATTGCTTTCACCCGGGTAAATGCAGACTTTTAGTGACAGGACTATTGACTTTTGTGGCAGGTGGGTCCTAATGCTGTCTGGAGGAATCTACTTTCGATAGAAAGCAGATACTGAAAGTGACTGACGACTACTTTTAATAAAAAGGCCGTTGAATCAAAATAATTCCTTATCAATATATGTAACAGACAACTTTTCTTTCTCTAGTTGGAGAAAGAGTAGTGAGTGAAGCTATCACATATATGGACAAGTATCATTATGGGGTATAAATATCTACCAAATCATCATAATCGGCATAGGGATCCTGACTGTCTTGGAAGGGATCCAATGCTGGCGAGACTGATGCCTGTGAGAATGTTGATGAGCTGTCTTCACTAGCGGCTTGCTGAAGAAACTGGTGAGCTAACTTGATAAGTTCTGCAGACTGCTTCTTGGATTGTTTATTGGAGTCCTTAGAAGAGGACTTCTGCTGTTTTGGTTTTTCCTTGATGGATTTCTTTTTCTCTTCTGGAGTAGAAACCTGAGAGGAGGCATGACTTGCGTAATTGGAGTTGCTATTGTGGAGGTTACCGGTACCGCTGCTGGGGTTGGAACCTTGACTGGGAACTCCTGTTGGACAAGTCTGATTATTGGTTCTTACTGGACAAGTTTGATTATTTTTGGCACTGTTCATAGCCATTGGAATCACAAAAAAATAGCAATCCACCAAGCACTAGTCCTCAAATCACACAACCCAAGAATATATTCTTCCTCCAACTAAATTACTGCGGTATTACAATATATATTTTGGATCAAAATCATGCTCTGATATCATGTTAACTTTGATCAATTAAAGAAAAGTAAAAAGAAGAAAAAAGAGAATATTATTGAGACACAATTAGTCAGAACAAAACTTAAAGAAAAACTACATATAAGAGGTCTTAATATAGTAAACTAAGCTAGAGCAATATAAAAGAAAACAAATGACTAAATTATCCCAAAGTCTAAATATAATAACTATTCTAACATTCCCAAATACCTCCGGGAGAAACAATTCATTCCTGCTTCGTACAAGTCCTTCTCCCCCCAACCCCATTGTTTCACCCACCGATTGCGGAAATAGGTAAAAGAAAGCTCAATTTCAAAACAATAGGACAAAACAATACCTGAAACATGTCAGGCACTTTAACAAATTCAATGGTAGTGCATACAGCTTCTTCTTTCCCTTCAGCCATGGTATATGCATCTTCACCAGAAAATATTGCCAGATGCTTTGTCAGAAATTTGAATCCTTCACTGAGCTGACCCAACATAAGGCAGAAAAAGTTGATCCCTAAACAAATCAGTGAGCAGGAAGAAATTCATATCCCTGCAAACAAAGAGAATTAGCAATGCTTTTTTCACAAGGAAATAATTTCTGTCATACCTTTTATTTTCCTTCAAAACATCTGAGACGGAAAGAAAGAGGTCTCTCAGGGCCTTGATCCCAACATTGCATTCCCTGAAGAAACTATCCATCTTTTTAAAAGAAGATACAATATGCTCAGTGACTTTTCTATTGACTGCCAAATTCAGGGCCTTCAAATAAACAGAGAAACGGCTGCATGGATTCTCCAATAAGTTGTCGAGATTGAAAAGGCTGAAAAGAGAAAAATGAAATATGAGACAACACCACCTTATTAAGTGAACTAAAATTGTTCTCATCATGCCAAATTACATCTTCAAGACTTATCACTTGGTTGTTGGGTGATTTTGTGGATATAAGCTCTGCCATTTCTTGTGCTTCATCCACACTAGCAGGCTTCTTGACAAGATTGCAAATAACAGTGAAGATGCACTCAAATTCTGGGGTTTAAGAAGAAAAAAAAACGTGATCAAGTAGATAAAACAATAAATTTACCAAGTATTAAAAGAAACAAAAGTTTAAGTGCAATGTGTAACTTCAACAGTGGAAAAAATTCAATGCCCATTGGGAATCATGGCATGAATGAAGTCCTTTAGTCAATATAAAGAATCACAATACTTCTGTGCACACGACAGGGTAAAATCAACAAAAAGCTGATTTTGAGCAAAATGTATAATTGATGACTAAGTTAATAACTCATCAGCAATACTAGTACTCTGCAATAGAATAAACTATGCCAATTCTAATTAGGTATCTCATGAAATCAGTGACTCAGACCGCCTTTGCCAATGCACACAACGGAAATCTGAAGTTGAAGAGTCATAATCAAGCATGCAAAGAACTGAAGTTGAAGAGCCTGGTACACTAGTATATTTTACCAAACTACCAACAGCAAAAAATTCTGGCATTTACTAGTTTGCTATGTGTGCAAACTCTACAATTCAAAAAAAGTTATATACTTCGGTACAATTGAAAACTTTAGATACATGAATACATTAAAGATACAATATGATGTCCAGAGGAATCAAAATTACACAATAAAGGCTACTGCAATGTGTTGTTTAATGTAAGCAAGTAATTGGCCAAACAATTCCATCACAAGTTTATGCATAGTGCACCAAACACTCTAACTCACACAGATCCAACTTTAATGGAATTTGAAACAAACAACATGTTTGTTAACAGTAATAGTTTTACCTTTTTCTGACTCTTTAGAAAATATCAAGTCTGCAGAAGTGAATATCAATGAGGCCACTTCCATCCATTTGCCTGCCATCATGGATTCCTGGGCCTCCACGCATAATCTAGCAACTTGTGGCTCCGCTACCTGGTGATAAATTTTGAAAGTTGAATTTCATAAAACGATAATATTATGAAATTTATCCTATTTATCACAATTACATTATATAGAACTGTAACCCTAGTTTCCTAGATTCATATACACGTGTATCCTTGCATATGTGCTTTACTGCCCAATCACAAGCAAAACTCTCAAAATCTTATGAAATAAAATTTTCAAGCCCTCCAATTCATTTTCAAGTTCATCTTTCGTACGATATGAATAATTTGAGTTCCTCGATTGATCAAGGGTAAAATAGTTATTTACAATATAAATAATTGTTAATAGTTATAATATATATGTGGGTCTTACTTGTATTTGTGTTGCATATCAAATATGGATATGAACCGAATTCAATGTTAAATCCCATCTTTATAAAGAGATGTTTGAATTTGTAATGGTTTGAAAAATCAATCAAAACTTTCCCCAAAAATCCATCCAAACAAGTCTTTGGGGCTAATTGATAAAGGTATTTTGGGGGAGGGACTTGACAAAATGGGTTTGGAACCAAATCTCATGTTTGGATTAAAAAATTAAATTCTAGGTTCTCAAACCTTGTCCGTAGGTGCTCCGAATATTAAACTTATAATTCTAGATTTCGTCAAACTTAAAGGACAGATGAGTTAAGGGGTTAAAGATATAAAAGACAATTGAACTTTTTAACATATGTATGAATTAGATTGATCAAGGATAAAATAGTCATTTATAAGATAAATAATTATTAATAATTGTGATATATTTGTGGGTCTCACATGGGTGTGTGTTGAATACCAAACATGGTTATAGACCGAATTAAATGTTGAATCTCATTTTTATAAAGAGGAGTTTGAATCTGAAAATGTCTGGAAAATCCAATTCAAACTCTCCCTAAAAATCCATTCAAACAAGTTTTAGTTGCGCAATAAAAAGACCGTGAAAATATCATATTATTATGCCACGTTTCCAAAAAATACATAATTATTTCTTAAATCATGAAATTGGATGACCAGAATTATATTGGTGACCAGGGCTAAAAAATCACATTTAACACTATAAATAAAGAGGAATACTTTATTTTTCTCTAAGGAAATAAATACAAAAATTTTTTACAAGAAAACTCTAAAGACCTCTTCGAGATCTCTCTCTCTTTGTTTTTTTCTCACTATTTTGGAATGATTTTGGCTTTCATTAAGCTCTTTATTTATATGGACTTTCTAGCCAAAAAAAAAAAAAACGGACGGCTCCCAAAAATTTCGGCCAACAAAAACTCCGACAGAAAAATTTCTGGCAACAACTTTTCCAGCGACAAATTTGGGATGAGGTTTCTGGATCCTTCAAATTAATAGGATGATGAGCACCACAAAAATTAATTAAAGCGAAAGCTCTTGATTTATAGCTGTCTATGGATTCAGATTGGTTTTAATATTTTTCTTTTTAATTTAGAGCAGTTATGATGAACTTATGTAACGGCTATTATATATAAATGAATTTCACATTTATATAAAATAAATGACGTATTAGGAAAAAAACTGATATATTTGTGAGTTCCCAATTTTGTTCATAGGCGTCTCCAATTCTCGGCAACACTATAGCATTAGCACCTAACTCAAAAAGTAAAAAGAATTATAACCCAATCGGATCAAATTTATGACTCAATTTATTTCTAAAGAGTTATAATTGATCTTAATCAACCCCATTAAATCATAACTTAGTCCGATCAAATTATGATTCTTTCAAAGGTACTAAAATTGAACTTTTGGTACGTTGGATAGCTTATTGAAAGCATGCAACGCCAAGCTATAAGGGTAAGGAGACCCCTTTTGACAAGGCTCTATGTTTCTAAATTTGGGGAGCAGTAATCTATCTACATGCTAAAATCAACTGCTGAGAATAGGTTTCTAGAGCGTATTGAATTATATGGCAAACTATCCTATACTGCGAAAATTACTAGAGAAACAACGTAAAGGCATTGGCAGGCAGATATCCGAAAAAAAACTGCAGTTCAGTGCCGCTTCTCTCAAGCCAAAATTACCCTACAAAAGGACTTGGTTTCTCCTATTACATGACATAATAAAGACAACCATAACACACAGATGAGTGCAAACCAAAATAAGAAAGAATTACACAAGAAGTTCTAACTTCAACTAAACCATTCAGCAGTTGCATCGCAGCAATTCTAGTAACAACCACACCACAAAAACAAAGTACAACACTTGCAATACCATGTCTTGCCGTGCAGGTGACAATTTAGATTTGCAAAGTATTCCAAGACAACACAATTAAGAAACTCAAACACTTGATCTAACATCAAAGACATCATTTCCCGCCACCACCGAAGAGGTAACCCAGTGAAGAACCACCACCAGGAGCAGCATGAACCTTTGTTGAAGGCCGATCCTGTGTTCATACCAAAAGTAACATGAGAAGGCAGAAATTTATTAAAATCAGCACCATGTGAACGAATGCCAAGCAGAGTCTAAGTGAAATGGTGCAACAGATATTTGCATCAGCCAAAAATAATCAGACATGTTGGCTGTAGTTAAAAATATGGTCCTCAATTCGCCCATGCCATCCCCTTCCCTTTACTCCTCTTTTTTCCTCTAAAATGTTAAAAGCAAAGGAAGAAAAACAAGTGCCATGTTATCTGTCCAGATTCACTTAAACCGTAACCCCCTTGGGTATACAACAAATTCAGTCCTCTGTGAAACACAATAGATTGATACAAATGCAGCAATGTCCTTGGAAAATAACACAATCAAGGTTAAGACAATCCCAGAGACATTCATGCAGAAACTGGCCCCCAGTTCTCTCACTGAGCATTATGACAATAAAAGCACGATCAAGGAAATTGAGTACAACTGTTAATGAATTCAGATAGCACACAAAGAGAACTATACAATACCAATCTCTTCTTCTGTCACCTATTCTTCAATTTCACATGGCAATAGAAATAGTATGAAGCATACATCACAACTTTATGTCAACAAACAAAAATGAGCAAAAATATAGCAAACTGCACAATCTATAGACAATCAATTAACTAAGCAATATCAGGATGAAATAACAAGGTGTAAGGACATAAAGCTCCTAGAAATTTGCTCAGACAGATTTAGAAATCCAGAGAAACTACCCATATCTGCAATAATATCATAAAACATAGAATTATACAAATACTAAATCGTGGAAATTAAGTTGCACCTCGGAACATTCATAATCCAGGCCAAGTAAATTTAAGCAAAAGTTGATCATTACTTTAACAACGGGACTTTGGGCTGAAAATAAATAAATGGTAAAAAAACCTATAAGAACTGGCATACCGTGAGAAAGTTTCCAGTGTTCTGTCCATCTGCTCGGACGTAGTTGTTCTGCATATTGCCGGGAATGCCTGCTGGAATCTGCTCACTGTTATCGACAGGTTGAGGAGCAGTGGCCTTCTTAGGTGGCACATTATTTGATTCCTGCACCTGGTTCTGAGAAGCTTGAGGGTTGCTGGTAGTTTCTCCACTACCAAACAGATAACCCAAGGAACTCTGGCCCCCACCTGCGCTGACCCCACGACCCATTCTTTCTAATTATCTGCTTTTCAATAAGGAAGTCCACACACTGCAAAGGATTCCCATATGATCACAAAAACATTGGAATTAAAAATATCAGGAAATAACTCAAATTTGCAAAGATGTATCTCTATTCGTTTGATCACAATATCCCAATACAATAAATAAACACCAAAAAAATGGCATGCCATAAAGCATAGACAAACATTCTTGCATAGAGTACGTCAGTGTTAAAGTGTCACACACACAAATGGGAGACAAATACATGCACAATCAACAGGAACACAAACATAAAGGTTTTTAGGTGTTCAAAGTTACTTTGATGCCATCCATCCAAGGTACATCTCAGGTTGAGCTGATGTTCTTGGTTTTTTTTTTTTCCTCTAGTAATTTTATTCATGACTTCATTTATTTGGTTTTTGGCTTTGTCACAACTACCATGAATTGGTTTTCAGTAACAACAATAACAAAACAATGCCAATAATATTTACATTTGAAAAAAGCTATTTTGCTTCCCCAAAATGGTAGGACAATACAAAAAGAAAGAAAGAAAGAAAGAAAGAAAGAAAATTAACTACACCAGCCAACTTGATAGAACTACATCATATCAATTTTTTTAATTCAGCAAAACAACAAATATAAACAGATCGCTTGTTTTCTAGTAATTATAATGGTTTTGCATCTTGCAAACACCTGGATTTCATTTCTTCAGACTTTGATAAACAGATCGCTTGTTTTCTAGTAATTATATTGGTTCTGCATCTTGCAGACACCTGAATTTCATTTCTTCACAAATCTTACAATACGATCAAAGTATGAAAAATGCGCAACACTAACAGGTCGAACTGTACATAGATTAGATTCTAACCCCGAAGCTTCCAAAAAATGATCACGAATAGCAAGAACACAAAAAATAAACGAAACACAACAATGCATGTGGTGAACGGTGAGAAATATCATATCAGTAACAGTGCGCATTACGGAAATCAGATATAAATCAGATTCATAAATAATTAACGAAATCAATCAGATCTGAGACCTACAACAGAAAAGATGTAAGAAACTACCTACCTTTTTCGTCGGACCAATTCCGAAACGATGGAATATAAACCAGATTCATAAATAATTAACGAAATCAATCAGATCTGAGAGCTACAACAGAAAAGATGTAAGAAACTACCGACCTTTATCGTCGGACCAATTCCGAAACAACGGATCTAACTCCAAAATGACGATCAAAGACTGAAGCACTGCTGCCAGAGGGAGCTTCAGATAGACTGAGAGAGAGATAGGGGTGGAGTGTTGAGATATAAAGAGGGGAAAATGGGATTTGAAACTTTCTAAATTCTCATTTTTGCGGATAGAAACAGACAAAAGGGAGCGTTTTGAGTTTTATTATTTTTTTTACCAATGTTATAGGGACGCAGAGGGGTTGGGTTGGGTTACATTAGATTGGATTAAAATAAATTTAATTTATTTTTTACTTATATAATAAATGAGTTATAATGGGTTGAGTTAGAACGATTAAGTCATAAAATAATTAAAATTTTTAATGAACACATTAATACATCAAAACACACACATTAATAATACACCAAAATATATATATACACACACTAATACATTAAAATACATACAAACTATTACACTAAAATTATACACACTACAATATACACTAATGCACCAAAAATACACATACATATATTAACACAAAAATTAAAATGCATTTAGTAAAAAAAATAAACAAATAATGGGTCGGGTAATTGCGATTCATGGGTCGATCCATGAATTATGGGTCAATCCAAGGGTCATGGGTCGACCCATGGATTATGGCTCAACCCAAGGGTCATGGTCGACCCACGGGGTCATGGGGTGGTGTATTAATGTGTGTTTTTTGTGTACTAATATGTGTATATTTTGGTGTATTAGTGTATATGTGTGTATTTTTTAGTGTAATAATGTGTATTTTTTAGTATATTAGTATATTTATTTAATTTTATTATTTGTGTTATTTAATAAAAAAATAAATACTCAACCCAATAGGTACTCATTTATAATCCATATTAACCCGCTTAATTAAAATGAATGATATTACCCAACCCATTTAGAACCCATATTAATTAATATAGGTACACGACCCATTAATTTATGGACGGATTGAGCAGATTAATGGGTAATGGGTTAAAATTATCACATCTGACATGATCAAAAAAAATAAAAAAAAAATGTTATAGGTCCGTAATCATTATTTAATTCAATGTAATTATTTATTAATTTTAAAATTTAAAATTAGATGAAATTTATTTTTTATTGAATGACTATATTATACTAGGTCATTAAATTCTCAAATTATTTTCTAATATTATTTTTCCTATTTTTTTCTCAATATGTTTTTCTAAGTTGTTAACAAATAACATGAGAAAATATTTAAATTTGAACACACGTCATTATCTTCTTATGCGGTGTTATCATCAAATAAATAAATAATAAATCATGAGTAGTTTTTAATAAATTACGTGAGATTTACTTATTAATTTATTACTTATTTATTTTTTATTAAATAATGATATTTCGTGACGATATAATATTACCGATTTTCAAAGTGTGGGTTGCCTCTTATAATATTAGTAATGCCAGAGCAGTATTGGCTGGTGCCAGATCATGCGCGTTGTGGATGCATGGATGGATGGGTGTATGTTGCTCTCTATAAACATGAATGATACCATGCCGAAACATATTTGGCGTGTAGTTGGCCCGTTTGGTTCAAATGGTCGGCCAGAGAGTAACTTCCGAAGAGGTAAATACATATAGAGAGTGTTATGAGAGCCTTTATAGGCGTTTGAGCAGAAGACTTGGTTGCACCCTTTTGTATAGAAAGGCACCTTCGTCTAACAAAACAAATTCGGGTCTTTACTCCTAATATTTCGAAGTTGAGAATTGAGCTTTTGTGTGCTACTGATTTAGAATTGCTTTATTATTATGTCTATTCATGTGGAATAGACACTAATTTTCGGCCCTTCATATACATGAATTCAAAGGTCAAACCACATGTAAACTCCAAGGCCAGTGATTCAGCCAAATCTTGAACCATGGGCTAATTTGCTAAGAAAATCAATCTCTAAATCTCGACCCTAATTCCGAAGATGAACAGACTTACATCAAGCAAATCTCCTCTTTTCAATCAACAAGCAGAACTGCTGGAAGTTGTTCTGAATTAGATAGTTAAACTTGATCTTATTATGCTTAAAATGAAGCGGAGAGTTGGGACTAGGGTATTGGCATAATTCCCACAGCCCCTTCATGATCACCTCATCGCCTGTACACACAAACTATGCCTCATTCCAGGTGATTGAGGTCTGCTAGGAAACATTCGCGAGAAACATCAGCTCTGTAAAAGAGGAATGGCAAATCTGGGCTCTACGTCGTCAAGTGATGGCTTACTGAATAGATAACTGAAGCAATTCATGTAATCAGTGGAGGCCAATATGCCCGTGAATGTATGAAACTTCCATTGCTTATGTCAGTAGAAATCTAGGAATGAAGGGAAAGAGTTCCAAAAACTTCAAGCAAATACTCTAAGATAATGCAATCCTTGATATCTCCACCAATTGTTTATGTAGTGCTTGAGGCTTGGAAAAAAAGGAGAGTGGTCAGCACCTCTAAGACCAAAAACCCGTTCCGGAGGACTATTGTTAATCATACTCTCTTGTAGCTCAATGGGTATGGCATTATCTTCTGTAGTCTCTATGTAAAACCGTCTAACAGAGCCATATTTCTCTTCAGAAAGCGAGAGCTTCTCCAAAACGGGCAAAAAGGGCATTGGCCTCATTGCAACAGATGCTAATGCAATGTCCTGGAACAGGAAAAGCAAAATCGAATTAGCAAAGTTTGAACTTGTAAAAATTGAGAAATATAAAACAACTAGGCATACACACATACATATACACAATCACACCAAACACTGAAAAGGGAGAAGAACAGCTACTGTTTTCGTGGGGAATTTCATTTCCACACATTGATTATGGTGTTCTATCCTCGGCGATACAATGATCCTAGTATTTGTCACCTCTTTCAAGTTGGGAAACTAGTTTAACCAATTTTTTAATATTGAGATCCATAATGAACCAACCAAATCTTCCACAAAAGCAGTGGCCACAATCACAGGCTCTTCCCCATGTCCCCTGAAGAATCATTGCTACACTAGGGGGCAAAGCTTACTGTAAAAGTTGTTTCATGACACATCTAAAAATTAGGAGGAGGAGCAAACAGGCAGTTGATTGTTGGTCCACTTCAAACAAAAAATATAGACAGTTGAGGATCTGTTTGGTTCCACTTTAACAACTATAAAGGAATCATTTTTTCTATTATTTTTCAATAATGAACATGACCCAACACAGACTCTAAACATTTCTCATACTCCCATGGTTAATCAAACACCAGAATTCTAGCTAACACAACGATGTTGACCACACTAAAAGCCTGTCCAATTAACTTATGTAAGATTTGCTGCTTCCATTCAACGGTTCATCAAGCAAGATGTTTTTAGCTGTCAAGATTTGCAGGCAATACCAGTATGGGAGTTTGTGATCAATTAACATTATAAAAAGCCCACTAACAAGTGATGGTCCAAAATGTTACCTGGATCTATGGTCGCTTCGGTACGTGATACGACACTTTCTTAGGCGGTTCAATGGAAGTAGGCGTAGCTAATACAGTATTTTGAGTTGCAATTCATTTTGGAACTCTTATCCAGATCATTTTCATCACAATACAACATTATATATCGTACAACATCCATAAATACTAAGTCAGTTACCTTTATATTATATTTGTACTCGATTTTCTATTTATCTAAAACAATATATAATCATAAATCTATATACACGCAATTAATTAATATATATTTTATATTTGTGCTGCATGTACATTTTTGGATCGTTTATTTTGGTGATCTGGATCATGAACTCACTCTGTTTGGGATCAATGTACCCAGATCATAGATCGTCAAAGATTTAGTAAATTCTAGTAACTATACGTCAATCAATTTAAGGAGCTGGACAATAATCAATGGTACAATTCTAATCTTCAGCATGAAATGAATGTAATTGATAATGCGCTCTCAGTCATCAGTCCAAGCTCGTACCATTGCACCGTGCAATGACCTTATAGATTTTACATCATAACAAATTTAAATAAGAATCTGCAAAAATATATCGCAACCTAATGTTCTTGGTCATCTATTACTTCTGACATGACTACCAAGAGATTTGAACCACCTAAGCTAGTTCACGCCCATCTATTCTTCAATCAACCATGCCAGAAGTGTGGCAGCAGAATTTCATCTTCATGGTTTTCCTAGTCCAACCAATGATGCAGAATGAAAATCAAGTACAGTGCATTCTGGGATCCTAGTAGCAGGCTAAGCATGCATATACTAAAAATATTCCTATCAACAGGTTAACATACAAGTGACAAGAAAGTAAATATAATTCATCATACCTTCGCAGGACTCTGGTTAAATAATAGGTCCCTTATTAGTGATTTGTCAAGATCAATGGCAGTTGGAGGGTGATCATTTCCATTTGCATACATAAATTTCTGGGCCTGTCGCATTAGATCATTCGAATCTGCCTGCAATAGTTAATAAAAGGGTTACTACAAATTATTCTCAGATAGTAGACACCCAGCTAATATCTATTGACATTCGAAAATTCCAGAAGCCTAAATCAAAAACAAAAACTTGCAAACTTAAGCCTTGAATCTCAGATAATTCCTCTAAACTAAGACTGAACCCATGTGCACAGTGACAAGAGGCATAAAACATGTGCTGTAAGCCTAGAATTAGTTCTCAGGGAGGATCCTCATTAATCCTGAAAACTCAGTTATTCATCTGGACCCATTTAAGTGCTTCTGGAGGCTACATATCGATGAGTCAGAAATTTTGGAAGCAACTCAAAAGCATGTAAAACATGGCTACTTCATTTTTGAAGAGTTTGAAATGCCCTCTCATGAACTTCGCTCAAATAGATTGAGTCCACTAAAAAACTATAAATTCATTCAATAGCATGTAAGTCATTCATTGTATCCTATAATGCATTCCATGACAAGCAAACCTTTTGGGAAAACATATTAAGGGTGCTTTGTCCACTGGTCAACATCGCTGCCGCAATAAAAACAGCTTTTGCAACTCTGAATGGGAACAACTCCATTGCATATGATATACATGCACCACCAAAATCATGTCCTACCAAAATCACCTGCACAAATCAACAAAAAAAAAAACTAAAATCTACTAAAACCTCATTTTTTTCCTATGCATAAATCAAAGCAGTGATAAGAGAACATTCAGTTGGCACCTTAAAATAATGACCCCACTATATGAACTTAAAAAGTATTTCTCTAGATGGAACCCAAGAAAAAATTAAATAAATGTGAAAGGTAAAGAGAACATCTCTGAACTTAACAAACTAACAGCAAGAACAAATTCCCAAAGGAATTTAGAATCCTTTTATCAGAATAAGGAAGCTGACACAGATGTACAGATTAGATGAAAGAACAGGGAAAATATATAGTAGACCTAGTCACCTAGAAAATTACCTTCTCTCCATCAGCAAGTTCCTCAAGAAAATGAGTAAGTGGCTTCACAAATTGTGAAAGGCTCGTGATGTGGTTTGTATCAAACGAATGGATTCCAGAACCAGTTAAGTCTATGGCAGTAACTTTGAATCCACCCTCTTCTAAAAGTGCTATAGTTTTGTACCAGCACCAGGCACCGAAACCACCTCCATGGACAAGGACAAAATGATTGGTCTCTAGATCATCAAGCTTTACATCCTGCCAAACAATAAGTAGTTAGAAACTTTTAAGAGTATAATAATGAAGAGAATAACTCAGATTCGTCAATCCATTCACACCACACAATGATGACACCTAGCATACAGGACCCCATATCAAAGTCATTCCAAAACATGACTTTTGAGGCATTGGTATTTAACCCTCAACATCTTAAAGCTTTCAAACATTCACTATATTAGTGTGACTTGCCTTCAAGCACATATTCTTCATTTTCTCGAAAGTCTTTTTAAGAACATCCATTGTCAAAAAAAAATATTTGCCATGTCTCTGTTGCTTGAAAGTACAACTGAAACATCCTTTCTTTCAAAAATCATTCCTTATCTCTACTGCCATCAACTTCCTGTCTGAGGACCTCGTCTTGTATCAACAGTCTTTTAAATCTTTAATTGATAATTTAACTAATTTTTTTTTGATAATTTAACTATATTGGAAAAAGGGTGATAGACAACCCCATTTAGAGAAAAACATCAACGTTCATAATCATGCCCTGATTGCCATTCCAATACTATGTCCTTCCATTCTAATGAGATTAGAGGGGGGAGGACATTTTAAAAACAACACACACCAAAACCATTCCAAAGCAAATCAACATCCCCACTCAAATAATCTCTGAAGCTGTTCCCAAAAGATTATGCACAACTAAAGGAAACCATTTATATAAAAAACCAAACTTGCTATCATTTCATGGAAATACTTGGTGTGATTTGGGTAGTTTCCAGATATACTAGCTCCATTCACTTTGAACCAGTAATTCACCTTAACACTAAAAACCATTGTGTTGCATGCTTTCAACTAAAGCTTCCCAATATCGAAACCAAGAACATATTGTGAGTGAAAAGCCATGCAAGATATTTTCAAATGCAATAATCCAATCTCACAACTTTTAGGACAGACAACTATAATCAGAAAAACTGGTAGCCAGCATATTTTCACCATGAGCATGACTAAATTCTCAAACTCACAGCCACTTCGCAAGTTCAATAGAAGTCCAAATTGTTCGGTTTCGGAAACCTTGTTTGTTCTGCACCACCAGCTGCCTAAAATCAATGGTGCAGGACGCAGGTTGATCTTTCTCACTGAGGCTGCATTCATTTTGTTCAACCTGACAGTGGGAAGGGCTTACTCTCCTAGTGGCTCGGCTTGGCCTAATTGTCGTTTCCAACAGCCCAATTTGCAACACAAACATTATTTATTTATACAAAGTTTCCAAATCAGTCAGCCGCTGATGAATACAGCAAAATTGATTGATCCTCACGGAGTTATTAGTATAAGTAATTTTCCAAAAAAGGACCACCTCATCTTTTTCTCTCACTTTCACCAATTCAGTTTCATAGCCCAATTCGGAAATGACTATATTAATTCAATTCTTGAGCGAATTATTCATGATTTCAAAACAACAACACGTTGTATTCAAAGGGAAAAGCAATGAAAAATAAATTAAATCCATTCAAGAACATAAAATTTAAAATCCACTCCGGTTAGAGGACTAAAACAGCAAATACCGGATTAACAAGCTGGTGAGGCTGAAGCAGAGGATCAGTGAGGGACCTCGCCCTCGAACTCGAACTCCGAGGCAACGCTTGACTCTTCTTAGAGTTCCCACTATAATACCGCAACGAATTCGACCGATCAAACGCCATCGAACCATTTCCACCACTGTTCTGCTGCTGCTGAAACAGAATCGCCGCCGCTAGTGCTCTCTCGTGAATTGTGGAGTCTTCCTTCTTCGACGATCGAATCCGACTCCACCGATTGCTCGAACCACCACCACTACCACCACCACCGACACCACCTGTAGTTGATTGTTGGTTCGATATCCGTCTCGAATTCGAAGGTTTCTTCTTCACCGGCCTCTTCCGAGAAAAACATAACCCCATTTTCGATATATAGTTCGTTTCACCACCCAAAGTAAGACAACTATACGTCTGTATATAAGTACGTAGATATAGAGAGAGAGAAAGGGGAAGGTAGACGCGACCAAGCGAGGCTCAGATGAAGTGGAAGACTTTTCTGGTGAGAGGGATTGATTCGTATGAAGACGATGACGACAGAGATTACTTATAGAGATTGTGACTTGGAGAAGAGCGGAAGGTGGCCCTGCATTTGGTAATTATTGCTAAAATAACCTTACTTATTATTAAATTATTATTTTTTAGGGAAAAAAGTTAATGACAATTAATTATAGCGTCAGTTACTGGGATCAGTTCGGATTTATCGCGATTGGTGATTGAATCAAATCCAACTAAAGTATATTAGAGAGTCCATTTTTTTTTTTTAATGTACTTGGCTCAATTTATGTATATTTAAACTAGTTTTTTTTAATCCAATCAAAAATAGATCATTTATACTGAAATTAGAGTATTCACGAGAAGTTAATCTCTCGTACCCTAGTCTCATAGAGTTATCAAAATTCAAACTCATGACATCTAAATTTTCAGTTCATTCATACGACCACCTGAACTATTTTTTTACAGTTAAGAGTTTATTTTATTTAGTTCCAATATGTTACCAAAATGTTATTTTTCTTATATAGTATTTGCACTTCTTATGTAATAAAAATATAATAATATTATTTAAACGTAATTTATTAGCCTAATCAATTATAATTATTAAATTAATTATGAGTTCCAAAATGTGAAATAGAATTTCCTTGTCTTAACCCCATGAAAATCCCCCCTAGTTCATCATTGATGCTCACAGAGAAAAGTGGAGAGGTGATTCATGAGTTATTCCATTGAATGAATTTAGGAGTGAATTTTATTAACTCTAAATCATCGAGCAGAAAATTCCATCTGACCAAGTCATAAGCTTTCTTTAAATCCATTTTTTAGCATTCTGTCAAAAAGAAAATAATTTAGAATTAATCATAAAACATTAATGCATATAAAACTCGCTTTTTATAAAAGAAATTTCAATTATAAAGTACAAGTGTAGAAAAATATAAAGGAGGAGTGACTCGTTGAGAGGGTTATGACTGGCGTCTAGATCCTTTATTGTGCATCAAATAATCCTTCATAGTCATTAATGCAATTTTGGGTAGTGGATGATTGCAAAAATGATTTTGATCAAGTCAAGTCATGACATCTGATGCCGTGGTGTTTAATGCCCCATTGAGAGCCTTATTTGATGCCTATAAGAATTTGTTCCAAGTTTGATTTATTAGATGCTAAGCTTGCAACATGATGCGAAATTAGATGGTTAGGATCTTTTTTAAGTCACCTATTTCATAAACAAGTAGATTTAATACAAAACGATTAATAAACGAATTATTTATGAATGGAGTCAATAACACTATTGATAGACCTAACTAGAGGGTCCTTTTAATAGACAAAAAATATCCTAATCTCATTAGATTATAATTAACCTTTACTGAACTCTTATTTATGGGTCACCAACCATAGACTTTTCTTAGGACATATTGGTGGAGCTTTTAAGTAAGCCATTTATTGGTGTTTTCGTTTAGTGGTTCTGCAAAACACTAGTTTGTTTGCCAACTTTCCTAGCATTCAATTCAACTATCAACTATCAACTAATGGGTCCTTTTAAGTGTTAATTCCTTATCATATAATTCTCTTACACTTTTTTTGTTTGGTTGAGAAAAAAAAAGGGTTGGGGGAAAGGAAGCACATCTAGTAAGCACCTCGTTAGACTTTCACCAATGATTTATAAGGCCCTTGACTGCGTCTAAAACATCTCTCGGAATTAGACATAACTAGGCTAGTATAGCGACCAACCACTGAATTCTAATAGGAACTCCAAGATTTGAATTCTCAATTTTTGGGTGAGGAGTAAGACCGATACCACCACTAGACCACACTACTCAGTGGTTAATTCTCATACACTTGTTATTGAGAAAAAATTTTGTACAATGGATAACTTAGGTTATTGTGCTGAAATTGATCTGGAGTAGTTGATTTTAATTTAGATGAAAAAAGATAATACATTAATAAAATATAATAAGATAATTTTTTTTTTACACGTGAAATGTTCTTATTAAATAAAAAATAGAGATACGGTAAAGAAAATTTATTTTTTGATTACCATAGTTAAACCCTTTGTACAACCTTTTATACTCTCAATTTACTGTAACCTTGTGCATTGTTGAATGCTAAAGTTATTCAGGCAGTGCACATAAGTTTGTACCTTTTCTTCAATTGTGTTTAAATGGATATAATTTAAGTTAAAATATAAATAAATAGGTTTATCATTGTTGAAAATTTGAACTTAAATCGTAAAATGAATTGGATCTCAGGAATACTGAAATGCAGCCGTGAAATGTCAGAAGACCCCTTGATGCTACTTTCTGCTCTAAAAACGATTACAATAATCTAACAGATAACAACAGAAAATAGTCGGCTATCCTCCGACTGGTTGCTTTTTGATGCAGTACCAAAAAGTCATATAGATTCTAACAAATATGGATGGGAAGGTGGGAGGAAATTGACGGCAACTTTGTAGACATTAAGAAGACTCGGTAAGAGCCTGCCTGGAAAGTAACTTTGGACAAGGAAAATAAGGCTGTAAGAATCTCTTAACAGCTTCTGCTTTGACTTTGGACGGCTCATGATTAAGACTTTGATAATTGCAGTATTGTGATTTGTTGTCTTCCTGTTCTAAAAGATATACATTAAGAATAGAGTATTTATACGAGGAGTATGATTTTAAAGAGTTGTCGACATTCGAACTCTAAACTCGTCTTTATTACTATTTGAGTTATTTATTGGGTTAAATATTCTTTCTTTTCCAGCAATTATTTTGTTGAGAAGCCATACCCATCTGCAATCAAAATGCTCTTTATCGTCACGATAGAAGCATATCTGGTGCGTCTTCTACTGTCTGTATTGTAGTATTAGGGATTTTCTGCAAAATTTTGATACCATAAAAATAATGAGGTGGATTTTCGGTTTAAAGGGTCATTATGGGACAAGTTGAAGTTGATCAATACATAAAAGGGTATATAGTCTCCTCAGGAAGGACATTTGTCTACAAGTTTTCTGTTGTTATTCACCTCAGTTTCTTTAATGGTGGATAGGTAGATGATTGACACCATTGTGTGGTTGTTATAGTCCCAAATGCTGTGGAGAGATGGCATATATTAAAGCTGCCCGGCTTTCTGATTTTTGAGGTGTTTCTTCTAGACCTTTTTTTTCTCCAAGCAAAAGCAAGAGGAGGTGGAAAGTAGTGGTCAAGAGCTTCCAACTTAAATGCCCGCCCATAAATTCAGCTTCAATATTTCACTTGCCCAACTACAAATGCATATTCATTAAGGGGCTTCTACTACACCAGACTCTTGTTATTATAAGGTTTGAGAAGAGTTAGATGTACAGAGTCTTACCCTGCAACTAAGCAACGAGATTATTTTCACGACTCGAACCTGTGACCTCTAAATTACAATGAAATAATTTTGTTGTTACGAAAAGACCCGTCCTCACAAATGCATATGCATTAATTAATGGACAAGTATCTCTGTATTTCCACCACCTTCCCCTTTTGGTTGCGAATGCTCTGCACTTATTTGTGGCCGATTGATGAGCATGAAATTTTTCAATGTAGATTTAGTCTTAGTGTTTCCGATCATAGTCGAATTCACCCACTAGACCTGCTTTTGGTGAATCATCGTTTACCGTTGAATCAATTTTGACACCACGCAAGTAATACAAATTAGACAGCCCACACACCCCAATCCACTGTCATCCTTACCGTTGCGTATATAATTTTCCAATTTGTAGGTACAATTCGAATTACATATTATCATTGGGCTAATTTGCAAACGGGTGAAACTTGACCAGATCCATGAACTCTCTCTTTTGCAGGAGGGTGAAATTATCCAGCTATGAACTTTCTCTGCCAATATTTTTTTTTTTTTGAAAAATAATTTTCGATACAATACCACTCTCATGTTATCTGCCAGTACCTATCTCTGCTGAAATACAAGAATAGGACCACTTTGATTTGATTCCAACTTTCTTTAAAACAGAAAAGAAAGCTTGAGAAATCATGACAAGTCATGTGGAAATATGATCATGGTATGCATGATCCTAGTGATATTCTTCCTGCAAAGTAACATGTGGCACACACAAACCTTGGCGTGCTCAGCTATGAATTTTATTTTCCACGTGCAACTGATTAGAAGTTTGATCTTGTAATTGATTTAGTCATAATATGTGTGATGGAAGCTTCCGAATAAAAAAACAACCCAATGTATGAAGTTCTCGCCATTACAAAGTTCGAATAATGTTATGTGCAGATAATCAAACCAACCTTTAAATGGTCCAAGGCTTCCATTCATTTTGGTTCTCATATGAATGAGTAGGAGGTACACCTCGGGCCGAGGTTGCTTCAAAGTCAAATGTTATCTTCCTTGTAGCCTTTGTTTTTGGGTTTGGGGTGGATAGGGGGAGATCCAGGAATTTATACGAGTGTGGATACTAATTACAAGTTTTAACTTTTAACTTTTTATCAATTAAAAAAATGATACATATAAATCTTTTAAATCATATATCACACTTAAAATTTCATTAACCCCTTTGATTTATATAAATTTTTTAAATCATATATAATTCCTAAAAATTCATTAACACTTTTTTTTGGAGGTGATAAAAAACTCCGACTCGAAATTTTTTTAAAAGTATTTTTCCATGTTTGTTTCAAATAATTCATAATAAGAATGAGTAGAAAATAATTATAACTGGAAGCAAATACAAGTACAAAAACAATTTCTACTTTAATTTTTATCTTTAAGAGCCTAAGAAATATAAAAAATCACACCACAATTTCAAAGAATTAGATATAGTTTCGAGTTGAGAGTTATCCAAAAAATAGTTGTTATGGTCACAAATTCTATAGTGATGTAACGTTGATATCCGATTATGTCACAGTAGTTGTTGGTGTAATATTGATATCTGATTATAACAATTTTTTATATATTTAAAAAAAAAAAAATTATCAATCAGTTATGATCTCTTTGTTGTATCTCTTTTGAAATATCAATACAACAATGATTAAGAATGCTTACTTCCGATTGAGGGAGAGAGAGTAATTGTGTCTTGAATACGCATCAGAGAAAGAAAATAAGGGGAGAGATAGTAAGAGAGAAAATAGGGGAGAGTGACTGAGAGAGTAATGGAGGGGGAGAGAGGGTAATGGTGAAAGAAAATCGGGAGAGAGAGTGTGTAGGAGCTAGAGAATAAGAATAAATGTTCAAATTCCAATGAATTTAAAATATAATCAAATATTTATATATTTAATTAAAAAATAAACTCTCAATCAATTATGCATTATTTGATAAATAAATAATAAATAAATGGCAATACGAATTTTGTACCTAATAACAAGATGTTTTAATAAAAATAAACTTAATAAAGTAAAAAAATTATCAATACACTTTCTCTTAAATAAGTTTAAAAAAATATACCCACACCAAAAAAATTTGTATTAAAAATCTCAACCAAATATTAAAAATTTGGGTCTGGGTTATGATTAGCCCGCACAAGTGTCACCCCTAAATAAATGTATATTATAGATCAAAGTTTGAGGAATGAAATTGATAAAAAAAAAAAAAAGGAATGGCAACGTTAGAGGAAAGCAGATGAAAAAAGGCGAATTGCAAGGTTAGAGGAAAGCAGTAAATTCTGATCAATGTACATATGTAACCAAAAATGCTGTACATACCAAAAAGTGATTTTACCTAGGATCCACAAGTCCAAACAAGCTCAAGTCAAGCCTCTAGGACTCGTTTTTTTGAATGAGTTTAAACAATTATTTAAGTTCAACTTGTTTAAAAAACAAGTCAAGCATGAACGAGTCTAAAATGAGTCAAATTTGAACCAAACCGAGTATTTATGTGTAAATGAGTCGAACATGTCGAATTCGAACCCAGGCTATCAAACTCGTTTTGTAAACAAACCTAAAAAATTGTTCAAGCTCAACTCATTTTCTAAACGAGAGTCTAAACGAGCAGAACCCCAGCTCAAGTAACTAGGTTCGATTATCGACTCTATTTTTTTTTGGTTCATATTATCAGCTCTATTTTTACCAAATGAATTGGCAGCTTCATATTTACTCAGACCCACCCACGAAAAGTGGATCAAAATGTTTTAATTGGATTAATTCATTTGGTAAAAATAATTTTTGATAAATATTTTGATAAGCATAACATTACCCTTACAGTTACAGAACACAACTGATTATAGTATATTCTTCGTTAAGCACACCTACATTTCCCCAGCTGGTGAACCCAATGAACCAATTTCCCAACCAAATGCTCAACTTACGAGGGTGGGAAATTCTAGGTTGTAAAACTTAAGAGATCTTCAGCGTTCACCATGAAACTGTTTAACTCGAAATACCTAGCAAAAATCATCTAACTTGTCTACGCATTCGTCAACTGGGCAATGCTTGACAGACTTCTTCCAGGACAGCATTGTTCTGGGTAACCACCACTGTACATTGCCGCACTAGAGACATTAAACTAAAACCATGTATGCACACATTAAGACCCTATAACTTGAAACTTAACATCTGCTAGCTAGTGACAACACATACGAGAATTTGTATTCAGAATGAACCTTCCCTGTAAAAGCTTAACTAGAATGAACCTGCCCTGTATTCAGAAGTTTGATTCGGAGGATGGAAAATTCCCCACCCATGTACTTATTACTTGTTATATTAATGAATTCAATTATATAAATCATCCATCTATGATAGCCTACAACACCAGGCCACCAACATTAGTACATTGAAGCCTTAAACCATCCGAATGACAGCTACTATCAATACCTTACCTGCACTCTTTGAGGAATTTAGAAAATAAACGAAAAATAAAAAAAAGAAAACCTGTTTCCAAGGGGGTGAAAGCCTCAAATGGCTCAATTCGAGAAGAACCGAATTTTCAAAACTTCCACAAGAAATTTCAATACAATATTCAACATATTATTTCTATTGATAGGAAGACATTTAAATACAAGATAATAAAACATATCTTAATAACTAATATAACTCATGACTCCACTATTTTAGTAACTACCTAGAAAACTACACACAAAAAACTTTCATTAACCAACTTCCTAAAATAACTTCTTAATAATTTCTTCTAATATTACATAAAAATATAGTAAAAATGTGTACATAATATTTCATTCTCCTTTAAAACAAATTTTGTCCACAAAGTTTGATTTATCATATAAAAAAAGAGACGGCCAAACAACTTCAGAGTCTTCATAATAAGTTTGATCTACATCAGCATTCACTTGACCTATCCCTTGACTAGTGGGCTGCCTTGTGCTGGATCCAAGTTAAAACAACATTTGATACATCTCAATTGTTCTCACAAGCAACATGCTTGGTACAACTGGGTTCACCTCTTCCTTCGTCGGAATGGCTACGGTTTTTTGCAATGTATCATGTTGACTAGTAGTAAAAAAAATTTCTTCAGGTATTTTTTGGATTTTGTTGAAGCCTTCTAATATGCATTGATTTTCTTCGAGCAATCTCTTGTACGTTCTTGACATTCATCACGTATTAACTTCAAAATTTTTGATAAGGTAGCCATCAATATGATCATCCGCTCTGATACCAATTATTACGTGCACACTTTGAGAAATTTAGAAAATAAAAAAAAAAAAATCGGGAAAGAAAACCCGCTTCAAGAGGGGTGAAAGCCTCGGCTCAATTCAAGAAGAACCGAATTCTCAAAACTTTCACAAGAAAATTTAATAGAATATTCAACATATCATTGTTATTGATAGGAAGATCTTTAAATACAAGATAATAATACTTACCTTAATAACAAACTTAACTCATGACTCCACTATCTTCGTAACTACCCATATAAATATTGTATCACTAACCCACTTTCTAAAATATCTTCTTAATAATTACTTCTAATATTACATAAAAATATATTAAAAATGTGTACAAAACACAATCCTTTAATCCACTCATTTCTTGAGGTTAGCCAGAAAAATCATCCAACCATCTTTTCCTTCCCCGGAATCTTTACACTTATGAACTTCGATAAGCTTTCTATGGATTCTGCATATTGATTATAATAGCCCATATAAAGTAAATTTTATCCTTATTGTAATTTTGAAGAGAAACTATCCACCCTCTTAGTAATTTATTTTGGTGGCCACCCATTTCCACTGATACAATCTCCTAACTGTTAAGAAAATCATTTAAGATCTCCAAAATGTGAGAATACTGCCAATGGAAAAAAAAAATATTTCCAGACAACAGCATATATTGTACAAAAAAACTAATAAGGACCATAGGAAGGAGGAAGGGGGGGGGGGGGGGGGAATCACATTCCAAAATCGTAAAACCAATTTACCATTAATAAAAATTAAAAACAGCAATCAGAGCTATAGAGCCATTTTCTGCTGGAAAAAACTCTTAAATATTCAAGCACAAAAACAAAAGTTACATCCTACCATCTGAGTTTCTTAGACACTCTAAATAGGGAGTTAAAATGCAACGATTTTTTGTGATGAGCCAAATCTTGATACTTAACATGTAAAAAGTAAACACCTATTGTAAAATTTTGATATACTTAAAGAACAGGGAACAATGTGTCATAACATATAGTTATTCTTCAATGATTATGTGACGTTGAATCAACACTGTTTGTGGATTCATCATTACTCAGCAATCCACGGAAAGTAATGGTACACAACCACCAAAGAAGGAGACATCAATGTATCTATTATCACCACATAACCCGAAATGGGGGAGAACAAAAATTTCAACTGGAAAGAATCATCGATGACAAGGGTTCACTACACCAGCATACAATTACATACCTTGCAAATTTGTTAAAGTGGAAACATAACCTCCAGCAGTCCATAATGCTCATACACAAACAACTCTATGCTCCTCAGCTTTGACTACCCCGTACCAGCATCTGTTGTTAGTTACCTAAACAAGTATACAAACTCTAATCAAACAGGCCCAATTTACAACTGAGACAATTCCTGAGGGTCTTCCATTGATTTCTTAAGAATTTGCTCGGCCCTCCTTTTCTTATCATCCTTTCCATTATCATTCACAAACGAAGAATCAACTCTCTGAGCACCCTCAATCCGGAGGTTCATTGCCCCACCCAAGAACTTCTTGCTGGTTCCAAACTTGAATTGCAAAGTGGGCTTCCTACCCAAGAGAACCTTTTTCATACCCCCTTCTGAATCACTTATCCCACTCTTGACTGCTTCTATAACTGGAGCAAATGTCTCCAACACTGAAGCATGATTTTCCACCACTCTATGTTTGTTATTTTGCACCACAGCTTCATCCCGCAGTCTATCGGGCAAAACAACTGAAGACACTACCTTCTCCCCATATTGCAAAGGGACTGCAAGAAATGGGTTGGTATCAAATGCTCTTTTTGCCTTAGCAGCATCCGCAGGGTCAGCAGCTAATGGTGCTTCAGGCCCATTAGAAGCCAACCTCTGCTGCAAATTCAGCAACGATGGTTCCACCTTTCTATGACCACTAGCCTTCTCAATTCTATCACCCTGAGATTCCACTCCTCTCACATTTCCTGAAGGCAAGTTTGTGTAAGTCTCGGGATCAGGAAATACGGGCAACCAAGTGGGTATGTGATCACCTGGAGGCATTTCTCCAACTTGCTCAAAACTCAGGCTTGGCTTTCGCTCTTTAACAACTGGAAACCTGGGAATCGAATATGCAAATGGGATTTCCTCAGCTGTACCAACATATTGCACAATCTCTTTAACAGTACCCGAGTGATAAAGACAATGATTAACATCCGAATTGCCAGAGAAACCCTGTACTGATCCCAAATCTTCCAGCCCTTGAATTATATCGAACATATTGCAATCAGTTCTGCCAGCTAAACTTGCATAATGATTCGCAGTTTTTCCAATTTCGCGGATGTATCGAACCGCAACGTCAGAGAAGGTATCGAGCGCCGATTGCTGAAAACTCTGAAACCCAGCACTCTCGCATACCTGAGCTACGCCAATTCTTGCGATTGACTGGGCAAAATCGTCGGATTTGCTCTTCGTGGTGGTGGTGGTGGTGCTGTGTTCACTGTCTCTTACACTTTCCCCACCTCCATCGCTCATATTCTCCAACAATTCATATCACTTCACTGGAATCGAAATTCCCAAACTCTAAAAATTCAACGAATATCGCAATCATTCAGCAACGAATCCTAGTTCCAGAGTCAAAAAAATTAACACCTTTTAGGTACAGAAGAATTCGAACAAACCCTAGACTGTTGCATTTCGCGTGCCAAATTCAAGGGTTGAAAATTGAGGGAGAGAGTTAAATGCTTACCAGTGATATCTAGGGTTGAAAATTGAGCTCAGCTTCTCAGTGATTGAGAGCAAAATAGTAAACCCTGATCAATGATTAAAGAGCTTAGCAGTTTTCATCGAGGATTTAGGGTTCACTAGGATTCAAGATTGACTTTAAACCCTACAAAAATCTTTGGTGTACAGAGTGAAAATTGTGAAACAGAGAGAGAGAGAGAGAGCGGGTGGCTTCGTTTGCTACATATAGACGACGGCGAGCTAAAGCCTAGAGGCTGAGAGGTGCTCCAGAGAGTGACCGCGAGAGAGAGAGATGTGAAGGAAAAAGGAGGATTCTAGAGATACACGCGGGTGATGATTGGGAAAGGCCAACAAGAACAGTACTGATTGTCACTGATACCCCCGAAGCATCTGAGAAGTACAGGAAGACACCCTCTTACATTAGATAAAATCAAGGGTTAATTGCAAGTTACACCCAAAAGATAGTTTAAATTTTAATTTAGACCTCTAAAGACTAAAAATCTTAATTTATACCCTCATAGATAGAAATTTGTATCAATGTGCACCCCAAAGATAAAAAATCTCAATTTACACCCTAAAATTGTATCTTAATAAATTATATCTAGATCCCTTCATGCTTATCACTTAATCATTTGAACCCCTTCACATTTAGAATATTACTCCTACATCTTATGATGTTTGCGCACGTGTAACACGTAACCCCTTTTCGTTGATATCTGTTAATATAATTGTTAAAAAATATAATTTTATCCTAATAAAAAATTATAATTTCATATTACCCTTTATTTTGTGGGTTTGAGATACTCTAAAGTTCAAAATCAAGTTTACTATTTGAATGTCCAATAGAACGTAGATATTTATATAATATTTTTATATTCAATGCAATATATCACTCAATGTGCAACTCTTTATTCTATTAGACATTCAAATGGTAAAACTTGATTTTGAATTTTAGAGTATATTGGACCCATAAAATGAAGGGTAATATAAAATTATAATTTTTTTATTAGGGTAAAATCATAATTTTTAAAGGTTATATTAATATATATTAACGAAAAGGGATTACGTGTTACATATGCACAAACGTCATGAGATATAGGAGTAATATTTTAAATGTGAAGGAGTTCAAATGATTAAGTGACAAACATAAGGGAATCTTGATATAATTTATCAATTTAGTTTTAGGTGCACATTGATACAAATTTCTATCTTTGAGGGTACAAATTGAGAAATTTTTATCTTTGGGGGTGCACATTGATACAAATTTTTATTTTTGAAGGTGTAAATTAAGATTCGAACGATTTTTCAGGGTGTAATTTACAATTAATTCTAAAATCAACGAGACCCCCCGGTCATTGACAGCGGCTAACAAAGCTAACGGAAGTAACGAAATGACTACTTTAACCATGGCTGATATGTTTATTTCTGAGAAAATCTCTAATAAATCTCACCCTTTTCATTAAAAAAACACACTAAATTTGCTTTTCCATTAAAAAAATACATTGATGCTCTATTTGGTACGATAGAAAAATAAAAAGATGAAAAGTTGGAGGGATAAATAAAACATCATATTTGATAAGGGAAAAAAATATAAAGGATGGAAAAGTTGATGGATGAGTTTTCCTTTCAACCTATAAAAATCAATCCCTCTAAAATTGAAAGAAAAGTGGATAAAAAAATAATTATTTGTGTTGAAATGTATCTTATTCCTTTATATATCTTTTGATATATACATACTATTTATTGCATGTACCTGAAGGTATGGAGTAATAAAAAAACGTTCAATAATAAATATATTTGTATTCACACTCAAACTTAAATCACAAATATAGAAGAGATAAAAATGAATTTAAGTATAAGTTGTAATGAAGATGAACAGTGATAGTGGTGGTAGATGGTAGGGGTGGTGGTAGGAAACCGTGATAATTATGGTGGGTGGCGATGATCATGGTGATGGTAACAGTCGTGGATGACAACGGTGATGATTGTGAAAAGTTTTGAATGACGAAAGTAATAGTGGTAATGATAGTCATGGGTGGTGACAAATGGCGATGGTGGGCAACCGGTGGATGTTGACAGTAAGCGATAAAGGTAATGAGATGATGATAGTAGTGGTAATAAATATAAGAATAAGATAATCATTGTGATAGATGGTGGCGGTGGATGACAATAGTAGCAATCGGTGGTGGTGGCGACGGGGTGGTGGTAGGGCAATTACTGTGGTGATGGGGGCAATGACGATGGTGGTGGGGCTATGAGGGTGATTGTGGGACAGTAGCGATGGTGGTAGGGCAATGGCAATAGTGGTGATGGTGTTAGGGGTGACGATGGTGGTGGTGAGGGTGGTTGTAGTGGGAATGGGGATGGTGGGGTGGTGACAATGGTGGGAGTGGCGACAACGGTTGTGGAGATGGTGGAACGGTGATAGTGGTGATTGTGGTAGTGGTGGTCGTGAACGGTTTCAAATACTTTTTTTTTAAAGTACTTATTAAAAGTTATAAGTTCTAAAAGTATTTTTAAAAAGAGTAATACTATTTGAACTTAAAAATCTGACCTAATTTGTTGACATAATAATGTGACTTCAGCAGAATCATTAGATCAATACCAAAGGCCAAAGTGAATTAGTCAACAAATTAGGTCAGTAAATTAGGTTCCAATAGCATTGTTCTTTAAAAAATCATTTCAAACACACTCTTATGAGCTTATTTTTTCTATTAAATTTGAGATATTAATATTAGTCGTCCGATTAACTTTAAAGTAAAATTTAAAAAGATATATATATTTGATATTTGAATTATATTGTATTGTACTTTATTATATAAATATATTAGGAATAAATTGTGCCTAAAAGCTCGGTCTAATGTAAGTGAGAAGTAATAGATTTAGGAGGAGGGGGGATAGTAGTGACGGATTTAGTATGAGGGCAGTGGGGGCACTTGCCCCCACTGAAATTTTAAAAACATTTAGGACCTAGGTGTAATTTTAAAAATTTCAAGAATTTCTTAAATTTGCCCCCACTTAAATTTTGTTAAAGTATAGGGTATATTAATATAATTTTCAACCCTGAAAAACTAACTTTTGACAGCTCTTCCTCATTTTTCACGCCTAGCAGCTACCTCCACTGAAATTTTAGAAAAGATTGAGACCTAAGTGTAATTTCAAGAATTTTTTAAACTTGCCCCACTGAAATTTTCTTAAAGTATAGGATATATTAATATAATGTTCAACCCTTAAAAGCTAATTTTTGGCAGCTTCTTTTCACGCTTGCCTTTTTTTTTTTCCCGTAAGCCTTCGTCTTCTTCGTCTAGACTTTCAGTCCAATCCAGACCTCCAACCCCTCTTCTTTCTTCTATTTTTTTTCTTAGTTAGTTCTTTTGGTGTATTCATCAACAAATCCGTTTGTTGGATTCAGTCATTGTGCAAATCAAATTTGAAGAAACCCTAGAAGATTATGTTGAAGTTAAGTAGAGGTAATCCATTAACTAAATTTTTTTATTCTAGAATTGATGGTTGTTTGGTGTATTATTTATAGACTTATGTAAGTTTTCTTTGTTTTGTCTTGGGTCATCACTCAACTATTTTAAATTTTTGTTGAAGCCCCTGTTCAGATTGACTATCTGAAATTCTTGGTTAATGCTATTTTTCTTCCCTATGATTAAATTGCTTTAATTGATTTCTTGAAATTTTAGTTTGAATTATATTTTGGATTTATGGTTTATATTTTGATTATGTGTAGTCCATTATCTCATTTGTTACAAACTTAATAACGAACTCTTGAACTTGAATCTAATTAGACAAAAATAATATAGTATATCCGTTAGTATATTTGCTCATCAAACTAGCACTTATCTTACCAGTTGCCACTGTAACCGTTGAAAGAGCATTTTCAGCAATGAACATAATAAATAATCGATTACACAATCGAATGGGAGATCAGTGGATGAATGATTGTTTTGTTGTATATATTGAGAAAAGATGTTTCAAGTGTCATTGAAAATGAAATGATTATGTAACAGTTCCAAAATATGAAAATTCGTTGAGAACAATTATAAGGATTTATTGGATGTTTGAGAGTTCTCTTTATACAGGATTTCAAACAATAAATGATACTTTTGATGTGAAGCTTTTGTGTTGTCTTGTTCTGTACATCACACATATACATGAGTTGCGCCTCTAAATGACATTCTTTTGATGTAACTATGTTTATAAACAGTTTATCAAAAATATATATTTTGACGAAAACAATGTTACAATTATACTTTGAAATTTAAAAGTCTAGGTTGCCCCCATTGACGCAAAATCCTAGCATTGCCCCTGGGGGAGAGAGAAATTTAATATGAATATTTTTGAGATGAATGTTAGTAGCATTTGGATAAGTCAATTTAAGACCATTGAATAGAATTATTGAACTCTGCCATATTTTATATTATAAATTATCTAAACACACAATAGTTCACAAACTCAAGCTATTATTTCTCTTTCTATTTATATTAAAAAACTTAAATTCTATACTGCTAGCATTAATCAAAAAATTAAGTTACATAATACAAAAAAAAAAAAAAATCATTCACTCACTCGATGAAATCATAAATGAAAAAAAATAGCTTTCATGAAATGATAAAATCAAATGTGTCACTCTAGTTCATCAGGAATAAATTTAAAAATCACCATTGTATAATCTAAAAGACAAATATTTAAATACTAAAGAGAATAAATTAGTAACCATAGAAAGAGTGAATGAATTAAGATAGACATAATTTGGGGAAGATGTGTATGATTTAGTGGGAGATTTGCCTTCTTGAAGTAAGGGTTTAAGTTTCATTCCCCTTCCCAAAAAATAATAATGAAAAAATTAAGGGGTGAATATGAAAGTTAGGAAGTCGTGAATGGAATGTGAAAATGGAAGAACATTAATTTGGGGTAATTAAAAATGAAAGGTGTCTTAAGTAGAAAAATAAAATTCGTCTGTCAATCCTAATCTATCGAATCAATATTTTTGCGTTGATTTGAATCACAAAAAATTAGAGACAAGATAGATCTTTGGATATAACTTATTTTTTATTCAGAATTGATTTAAGTTGCAAAAAGTTCAAGATAAATTTTGATATTTAAACTCAACTTTATTTTATTATATAGATATTATGTACTTCATCCGTTCCTAAATATCTGTCATTTTACACAATTTTTTTTGTTCCATAATATCTATCGTTTACTGAAACCAAAGCATAATTAATATTTTTTCTTCTAAATTTACCCTTAACTTTTCAATGCATTAGATTTGGTGGAGACTAAGTGTCTTTCATATTCTTTTCATTCTCAATACGTATTGAATAAGAGTATTTTAGTCTTGTGCAATTATTTTTTAATTATACTAGAGCTATTTAATAACTTTCTTAATACATGTACAAATACCTTAGACAACAGATATTTAGGAACGGAGAGAATATATATTTAATTTTATATATAAATACAATGATAAATATGTATATATATTTTTTTTTTAAAAATAAAAATTCAAAATTCAAAATAAAATTAAATATTTTTCCATATTACCAAGTACAAAAAAAAATATAGTTATTTTATTTTCCATTCATCATTTTAAATACAACGAAAAGAAAGTGTATCATTTCTATTTCTCCTTCTTGGAGTATATAAAATATTTATCTTCTACTTTTCATTCCTTCTTACTTTTTGTCATTCCTATCAAACAGATCATAATTTCTCTCAAATTTCTATTTGTTGGAATAAGATTTGATACCTTTTATGGAGATTTCGTAAATATTTCATTCCAAAAAATGTAAAGTTTGAAATAATTAGAATTTTTTAAAAATTAAATGCAGTTACTAATTTATGATCAAACATATACAAAATGAAAACTTCATTCTCGATTAGGTCTAGGTGGTTAATTCATTTATGACTTGATTCTTTCGAGGTAAAATTCATACTTGTTTATTTCTTGTAGATTTTGTGTCAAATTGATAGGTTGTGTTAAAAATTGTCAAGCTTTATAATTCATCTTTTGGTGACAGATATTTTATTTGCACTTAAAATTAACAAGGGTAATTAAGATGAGTATAGAAATTTTTCAACAACTTTCAAATATAAATCTTCATCATAACCAAACCCACACAAAAAATCAAATTTTCTTTTTATTTTCTTCACTTCACTTTTTCCTATTTTTACTTTCCTTAATTTTTGGCCAAAAAAACTATTATGTGATTATCCCTTACTCAAAAAATTAAACAAATGGAAAAGAACTACATTGGTGTATACAGTTTAAGGGATTCTTCACTTTTTATTTATGCACAACATTAGTTAATTAAGAGAAACAAAAATTACACATGTGTCTGCCCCAAACTCTCTTAATATTAATTGGGGAAATCAGTCGATTGAATAGAAGTTTTGCAAGAATGTCATTAGTTTCCACCAACAAAAATAAAAAAAGTTTGGAGGAGTGGCAGAGTTGCCTAGATGCTTAGGCAGTGGTGGATCGGTGCTGGGTGGACGGAGGGGTTTGGGGTGGCGGTGGGCATTACTCTAGATGGGGCTTGGTGGGGGTGATGCCGGCTAGAGGAGTGGTGGGTCGTGGGAATTCCGGTAGTGGTAGTGGTGGAAGCAGTGTTGAGTTCTTTTTTTTGGGGCTCTTTAGATCCTATTATATCTACTTAGATATTGATGAATTCTTTTGAATCTATCATATTTCTAATAGCGGGAGGGTCTGGTTTCCCTTCTCAGCCCAAGTAACTTTAATTTATATTTGCCCTTAATTCAAGCCCGCGTGAAAGGCAATATGTTGACTTACAATCCAAAAATAATAAACATTTGTGATTGATGCAATGTAAAAAACTCCCAACAACAGATTGAGGTGTAATGTAAGCAACGTTATAGTTGACGGTTGTGCTTAGGAAGCTGTGTACTAAGGATAAGTTACAGAATTTCATGCCACACATGGGAACAAGTTGCTTGTTCTGCAAGAATGAAATAGAGACTCATGAACACCTCTTCTTCAACTGCCAGTGAGTGGAACCAGATAATGCATAAATGTGACAAAACATTACTTCTAGCCCCATGGCAGCAACTCATTACCAAATTGGCTGAGGAATGGAAAGGTAAATCACTGAAAGTTATTGTGCTCAAGCTATGTTTGGCAGCAACTTTTTTTTACTATGGAGGGAGAGGAACTCTAGAATATTCATAAACGAATCTAGAGATGCAACATCATTGTTGTGCACAATCACTAATGTGGTTCGCAATAGATTACTAACTATAACAGTTAGGGACAACTCTCAAAATATTAGAGTTCTTCACAGTAACACAGTTGGCACCTTCTAGTCCCTCGAGTTTGATTTAGATTTTGCTTTGTGTTCTTTTTGTAGTTAAGTTGCCTCCTCTTTCTAATGGTGGCTTTTAATAGCAAACTTCACTGATGTATTGGTTGAGATAAGCTTGCTGAATATACAGTACTTTTGCACAGTTGAATTAATAGAATTTATTTATTTACCCAAAAAAAAGGATATAGTTGACGAGAATTGGAATATGGTCTACTTAATAGGCTTCAGAATAAACAACAATGGCAGCCAAGAAATTGGACAACCTCATCGATTGGGCAGATGAACAGTAAAGAGGAAAGAGTTTGAATTTGGTAATGCAAAATCTAAGCCTTGCAATAACAGTTTATCACTTGAAAAGTTGGTTTTCTATTGAGTGTATATGACACAAAATTGTTCTTGATTGTCCATGCCTCTTACAATATGAAACCCTAATTAATCCTTAAGAATCCATGATTTCAGATCCACTATAAACATATGCAGAAGATAGCTTGGTTCAAAATATCAGCTAATACCGTTACCATTGATCGGTCCATAGTTGTCCGAGCCATTAACCCGCGATGCCGCTATTCCTTTCCATAACCCCAAGATATTATATAAATCTATTGTCATGTTCAATATTTCTTCGATCTACCATTTTATGTATATATCGTCCTATATTTTTTCACAACAATGGACCGATCTATTTTAATACTCTCTAAGTCGATGTACAATACTACAATCTTGGGTCATGAAATATAACTAACAAGTTTCTGATAATGCATTTCCACTTGTCTTGATGACATCCATAGCTTTGTCAACGTTGAATTCAGCTTGTTCAAGTCGACAAAGCCAACTAAAACACAAACACTGAACTTATTGAGGCTCTAGATCAAACTAGCGTTTAAACAACATAAGATGTTGGTCAAGAAAGTATAGGGATTGCTAGGAAAGAAGCCAAGAAAAGGCATTTGGCTTATTAGACCAGTTGAGCATGCTGATGAAAAAAATAGCCAAAGGGGGACCTCATATGAAAGCATGTGGTCCATTCTTTTCAGACAGTTTAAAGGACGGTAGACTCCAAAACCCTAATAATCTAGTATCTCATCTTCTTCTTCCTCCTCCTTTTCCTTTCTTTAATTGAGGACCACAAAGTACCTCTGCGTTAGAAGTAACTTTAAAGGGCGTCCTTTAAGCTTACTCTTAATAACCTGGTGCTCCTTCAACTATTTTGTTGGATCTTGTGCAAAGTTGACACTGTACAATCTCTCACCTGTCTGATCAGTGATCACTCTCCAATGACACCTCTCTTCTTCCTTCTTTTTCTTCTCAGCTCCAATCAGCCCTATATATTCTGTGATTCATACTTATGCCCTCTACTTTAGAGATGGTAATGAACCCATGAGTACCCTTGTTTCCATAGGTTTATGTCAGGGTTTTGGTATAGAAGCTTCTGTGTGTGTGTGTGTGTGTGAGTGAGAGAGAGAGAGAGAGAATGCATGAACTAAAGTACTAACTAGACTATCTCATGAGGATGCTGCTAAAGAAATCAAGGTATCTGAACCCATTCACTGGACTATCTGGCGTGGTTGCACAGAGAAAAATTAAGTTTGGAGCAAACTAACAAATGGGACATTACATGCATTCAATTTGAAGCTAATGTAGCAAAACTGCAGAAGATATTGCCCTTTTTAATGTCACCTGTTTTTGCACAACAAATTTATTAATGAACTGTATAAAAACCAAGTTAATATGCATATATCTAAACAAAATTATCATATTTTCAAGCTTTTTCACTGTTTAAATAGCCTTCTTTGAGGTATCAAATATGTTTACGGACATGAGATCATCAAAAGGTGTCACCTTATACCAGTATCTAAAATCATCAGGTAACCACAGTGCAATGAGATCTTTCGAATTTGATTCCCAGCTGCTCGATGAAGCTAATACGAAATGAACTGTGCAGCAAATGGTATCCCGAACAAACTTATAAACACACTATATATCCAGTTTCCTTCCAAAATTTGTAATCTCTGATGCCAAGAAGGATACTGGTGATAATACTTCAACGTAGTAGCTGTTGTTTTTTACCTGAAAGATGAAAACTTGCATAGCATATAGTCTATTTTGAAGGAAACTCACCATCTTTGTTTAGTCCGGGTCGACTAACACTTTGAGAAGCGAGAAACCTAGGCGTCATGCTAAATTGGAATGGTCTCATTGATTGATTCAAAGATTGAAGAGTTGGTGCGAGAGAATTTGACATGGGATTTTGTGAACTGGGGCTCAACATCTGAAAGTTGATTTGCTTTGGATCAAGCTCAACCGCAGCAGTGACAGGCGAAGGAAGATAAGCCTGTATTGCGGGTGGATATACAAGAACTTGAGATCCAGTGGCCACAGACAATGTTGAGGGCAAGGACATAACATTCAAGTTGTGGAAATCATCTGTTTGGGGTGTCAATTCATAGCTTCCCGGATTCGATAAAGATAAATTAGCGGGATCCCAGCGAAGGAAGGAACTATAGGGCATGCCATTGTTTAGAAAACCTGGTAAAGAATGACTTGGTCTGGGGAACAAATTGCTAGATGAAGCATATGCACTATGACCTTCAAGTTGATCACCTTGCTTTCCCTCTTCATTTCTTTTTGTCCAAGTTTCTTCATCATTAGCTGTTTCCCTTGCAACCCCCTTGGACTTATCCCTCATGGAAACATCTGAACTCCAAAAACTAGACCTGGACAGTTCCAATGGATCGTTCCAATTGAGGCCACTATTGATTTTAAGACCTTCTTTGTCAGATTGAGGAACACCGACTCCATGAGAAGTTAGCATTGGGTGATAATTTAGGGCAAAATTTCCAGGAGGCATTTGGAGTGCAGGAAGGTCATCAATGTCATGCTTAGCAGCATTAAGCAACCAATCAACCACCTTACTAGGTTGATTTAACCCGAGCCTGTCTTGAAGATCGTACAATTGAATAGCAGTGGGCACAGAAAGCCTTATTCGCCTGTCTCTCAGTCCTCGCACGGTGCAGACTTTGCTATGCCTGTCTTTGCCTCCAAAAGCCCGAGACACACGAACTATTCTTGGATCCTTCAACCTTGACCATGATGTTGAGCTTGATGGAGCCCTAGATATCTTGCCATCACTTGTGTTGCTTTCCTGTTTTGTTGTAAAACCTGCTTCTCTTGAACTTGTAGTCATCATACGTGTCTCATAATCTATAGGTGCAAAAGCAACTAAACCAATAACTTCCTATGAGGACGTTGCTTAATCACTGGCATTACTTTTCAAGTTTCTTAGATGGTTTCTCTGCATAAAGTTTCCACCGACTTTCTGCTTCATAATCCATAGAGAAGACATGGAAGAAAGCAGTTATGTAATCAGAAACATTTGAGTACTGAAAATTTACTTCTATTCATTGAAAACAAACATAATAACTGATTCATCCCTCCACCGATCCCCCAAATATTTAGAAAGAAAAAAAAAAATTAAATTGTAGCAATGGAATGGAAATACGGAGAACAACACGAGTTTCCTAAGTCACAGTAGAACAAACATTTCAAGAGCTATATTAAAGCATAGAATAACATAGTAAATAGTTTGTTTGGTCTACTATCCTCATATTGATCAATTCGATCCACACCCATATTACCTTTGGCTAGTTTCTGCTGTCAGTCTAAATACAACTGTTTCATACTGATCAGAGAAATAGTCCAGATAAAACACTGATTCCATGAACAATTGATGAATTTATGAGGGAGAATTTACCTAAAATGGAAAATGATACGATACTCTTGGCAAGAAGAAGGCTTTAAAGAGCATATGCCATACATAAAAGAAAGAAAATCATCAGGCAAACTCACACGAGTACCACAAATTCTGTACTTCTTGTAGATCAGTAAGAGATTTTGGTTTTCCAACAGAAAAAATGAAGTACTCCTTTGCATACAGCTTCAAGAACAAACCCTAACAAGCTGTATGAAGGTCTTTAAAGAAGAAATTCACTTTAATTTCAAAGAATATACCTATTCAAGAAGTCCTGCAGATGGAGAAAGAGAAGATGCCAGAATTTAACCAACCATGCTCCATGGAAGACTAAAGATAAAGGAAAGGCACATAGATCGCCACGTGGCATACCACGGCATCTGTAAGATAAATGCGCTAGTTTAAACCTTGCCAAATTCTCATCACGCTTGCTGAGCTATCATTGCTTCGATGGATAAGTTGTGCTAGCCTTCCTATCTTCCATGTCATATTAGGATTAGTTAGTATGTATGAAACATATGGTTGATCAGTGGGATAATTGTGCTAAAGGAGATAATTTCAACTGGGACCATTCTGCACAAGTAGAAAAGTTGTGCTTGATGCTTTATAGACAACTACCAAAAGCCATTCTAATCGTATTCTCATCACATGGGCCGACAGATGCATGCCTTGCGTCTAGTAACAATTAGGAAGATGTTAGTGTGATTAAAGCCTAAAAGAAGTATAACTAAGTTTGTTTTCCTTTTGTTAAGATGTAAATATATCCTGTCTCTTAATATATACTTGACACTTACTACAGCATGAAATTAGAATGTTGTATTTAGAATTGGGCGTTTTTTGAGCATTTGTTGAATATCTTCTTTCTTGGAAATAAATAATCTTCTTAAGGGAAAAAAATTCTGCAACTTTACTAAAAAGCTTTTTGGTTTTCCCATAAGTTGAATCCAAGAATTGCTCAATCAGTGGACAAAACTATGTTAACACATAGGCTAAATTAGCCAGTATATCAGACATCAAAAGAAAAAGAGTCATGTATGATTTAGCATTTCCAAAAGCAATTCTTCTTCTTAATAATATTGAAAGACAACATCTCATTTCACAAGGAAGAGAAATTATAGAAAAATGAAAAATGCACTTAAATGAGCCCATTCAAGGGCTTCAAAAATTGTGGTATTACTATTTACTCTAAGAGCATTGCCATGGTGATGTGTGTGTGATAGCTACTGGGCTGAGAGAGAGGTTATAGGTGAGGGACCAACATAGCTTCTTTAAGGCACCCACTGACTAGATAGAGGACCACCCAATTTTCCTGCAGAGAGATTTGCATGGAGCAAGTTGAAGTTTTGAACCTAACAACTGATATATACCTGCAGTTACACCATATAAGAGAAAAGTAATGGAGTCTTCTTTCCTTAGTTGTGTAACTAACTCCATATATGTAGTTTGGCCATCTTTAATGATTAGCTATTCTCAAAACTGAGAATAGGTGAAACTTGGAGGGGTAGGCCAGTGGCATGGGGTTAAGTTTGGGACAGATCGTAAACTAAAACGTTTTGAGTTTAATTATTGCTGATAATTACTTTTGAGTACTTATCCTATAGTAGTTAGTGGGTGATTAAAACTATCTGAATTACACTCATTAGGTATGTGGATCTAATGTAACCTTCCCTTAATAATATTCCTTGTCATAAAAAGAAAAATCCCAGCCCGAGATAGGTAGCACCAATCTAAATAGGCATTTCATTAGGGAACATGCTGCTCCTAACTAAAATGACAAACAAAGGTATCTTTTTGCGTCCTGCAAATCAACAGAAAATTAACTCTTACCTGGTCTAACTATACCAACCACTAAAAGCTTGACTTCAGAACTTTGGCCGGCCCGGAAGAATAGGGAAAGCAATAGATGACTCTGCCCACTTGTATTTATTATTTTTTAGTGTAAACATTCCCTAATTCTTCACATGTGAGAAATAAAAGTATCATTAATCGAGGTAGCGTCAGCTGCTTCAAGCATCCCGACCATTAAAACAAAAAAAAGTATCAATAGTCATGTGAACTCAACTTTTGTGCAAAAAAGATATATTACCAAACCACATGCGATATTAAGAGAAGCAGTGGCACAAATAACTCTGGCACCTCTTACCAATCTGAAATCTGTCTTTCTCTACAAGGTGAAAACAAGCAGTGGCGGACATATCGAGAAGGGGGAGCAGATGCACTGGGATTTAAGGGTTACCATCATTATGGCCTAATAAATGGTCCCCAGTTCTCAGACAGAAGCTGAAGTTTTTGGTTATTAGAGTCCAGAATACGTATGTTTAATGGCCATCACTCTTTGAATACCACAGCCGCTACACCGACTCACCGACCCATCAGCCGACTATTTTCTCAACTTGACTACTTGAGTCCTCATTTAACATATGCTTTTGAATTACGTATTGAATGTTCACTTTTTTTGTAAAGCTAATCTCAATCTTTAAGTTGAAGGTTTGGCCAAAATGATAATGATGCATGGAGACTATGGTTTATGCATCAGCCGCTTTTTCTGACAATTGGAAGAAGATATTTTAACTAAAGAGAAGCCGCCACATCGTCCCCTGTTACTGTTAGTAGAGGGTATTGGGAAAAATATAGGATAGTAATTCAGTGAGACAATTGCAATTTCAATGTCACAAATCAAGTTGATTTACAGCCCATTTACTACATGTTAAACAGGTGGGGGAAGTGGTTTTGTTAGGGAAGCCGTTAGCATTTGCGGTAATCTTATGTGTCCTAACTTTTTTGAGACTCCCGGAATTGGAATAGGTACAGTCTTAGGAATCACAAGTCCTTGGGAGTCTCTCTCTCGAACTTTTTTGTGGGTAAAGGAGGGGTCATTGATCAGAAGAGTGGCATAGAAAAATACAGAAAGCTGAAGCTTCAATGTTCTTTCATAGGTCTTTTAAAATTTCATGGCAGAAGGATTGTGCACTTCAGTTTCTCTGCCGTCTTTCCCATATTGCTATATTGAAAAAAAAAAAAAAAACTCTAGGGTGTTTCCAAATTAGGATTTAAATATTGGGCAAAAAATGTGTAACTGCAAGTCTGCTTGGACAGATCATTGTTTAGATTGTGTCATCATTAATCTTGGTTGCCTTCCATATGTCTCCTTCCAATTATTTACATTCTGTCCCATATGGGATAGCTGTCACATTTCTTCCAACCATCCTGGCGAGCAGAGGATAAGTCTCTCTCTCTCTCTCTGAGCCACAGATAGTGACTGATGATGAAGAAGATACTGACAATAATGAAGGGTGATGGTGATAGTGAGCTGAGCAAAATTCATCCAAGGACCCTTTGGTGGATAGCAATCACTCTCACACTTTCATAGATCATAACATGCAGTCCTTGATGATCTGATAGAATTAGTCATAGCACAGGCTCAACCAACCGAGCTTAACTTTGACTCCATTTTGCCAAACTAGTAAACAAAGGGAAAATAGAAACTATGACACGACGGCACTTGTGCTGCGCATGCGCGACCCCCAAACAGTGAAAAAAAAAAAGAGTTTAGCCCAACGATCCGCGTGCATACGTTTGGTCTCATGGTTGTCTAGTGTAGCCAAGTACAAAACCATCTCATTTTTGGCTTGGAAAAAAAGGGGTTGGGGGCAAAAAAGAGTGTAACATATCATCCTGATAAACTCTCACCGGTAGAGTTCTGAGGTTCCTGACCGCGTCCATTATTTTTATCGAAAATGAACCTAACTAGTCAACCACTAAACCCTAATGTAGAGTTCAAGATTCGAACATCCAACCTCAAAAACCATATTTTTATCCACTGCTAGTGGTAGAGATTTTTGAAACATTAGTTAGCATAATGTTGATAAATTAACTCCATTAAATCTAATGGTGCAGCTCTTCACCAAACTAACCAGGAGCCTAGATGAGCCGAATAAGTTATTTCTCAGGCTCAAATTGTTTACTAAATGAATTTTAGAAGTTAGTTCGAGCTCAATTTATAATACAAGTGAGAGTTTTAATTCAAACAGATATCTAACTACTCATAAGCAACTCGGTTTATTTCCAACCCTCTATGCTAGTAATGCTTTGAGCTGAGTTACACTCTCGACCCATCTATGTCCATCAAGTCTTACAACCACTATGAAGAAGTCTTTAATTTGTTTCCTTCTGGTTGTAGTTGTTGTTTTTTTTTTTTTTTTTTTTGTTGGGGGGGGGGGGGAGAGTGTGAAATGTAGAATTATTGGTCGATTGTAACGTCTTTCATGCTTTCAGCCTTTCTCATAGACTTGTCAACTTTAGAGGCCAGTCAAAGAACAAAGTATTCGAGGTTTAAATTGTACTGTTACCTCACGGAAGTTATTCTGCATCTAAATCTTGCATGAACACTGTGGACACATCTTTATTAAGGCCTACAAAAATTTTTGTTTATATTTAACATATCACACTCTGCTAGAGCCTAGGTTTACATAGCCAAACAGAAACTTTATATTTTCAGTAAACTGTCATTTATCACTTTATCATAATTATTTTGACAAAAAAAAAACACCAACTTATAAACCTAACATGAGTTTTCATTGATTTTGCACACCACATGACATGGTCAGATGGGTGTATTAAATTCATATAAAATTTTCTCTATTCGGGAAAGTCTACGATAACCAAAAAAAAAAAATTAGTACTATACTATCATTTATAAGTTATATGAGTTTCTTTTATAAATTTTGAAGGTCATGTATAAAATTTGAGGGTTATTTATAATTTTTGAAGATTATTTATTACTTTTGAGAATTACTATGAAGGTTACAAATGATCCCAAAAAATTATGATATGAAGTCAAAATTTATAGTTTAACACGCAAGACTTGTGAACTTTTTCAATGGTAAGATAGTCTTCTCCTCTCTGTTTAAACAGGCTCTCGTGTCACAACCACCGTTCGTTTGGATTAGACTCTACCATGGGTGCCAGGCTAGAGTACTGAACGCACACTATCTCTCTCAGCTCATGGGCGACTAACCTTTACGTAGAAAGCAAACCAAAAGCACAAAAGGGGTGTTTGGATAACCACGGTGGATTGGATAACCACGGTGGATAAGATTGAATTTGAATTCGAATTCAATTCAACTCAATGCAAAATAATCTAAGTTGATTTAATCATATTGAATAGTATTTCTTCCTATTCCATCTTTGGATGGAAAATATTTATTTTGTGGGCTCCATTCACATGTATAGATGAAAGATAATGAAATAACCATTGCTCCTTTTGTAAAGAAATCTAATTCAATCATATACCAATTTTGGATTGGTATGATGCCAATTCAAAATAAGGATACTTAAGTACTTAGTTTTGAATAAAATTTTGATTTAATAAATTATGTTTTTTAACAACACAAAGCCGAAAATTTGTTTATAATTTTTGGGAAATCTACACTCAAATCTCATGAAGTTTGTCACTTAATCATTCAGATATCTTGACATTATCAAATATTTTAAATTTTACAACAAAAATTCATATTCTATTATAACATTTATTGAAATAAAATTAAAATCTAATTTTTTTAAAAAAATCACAATTATTGTGCAATTATACTATCATACCGGATATATTAACGGACATTGACGACATGGATATAAGTGTTACGCGTGTACAAACCTTAGAAGGTCTGTATATATTATTTCAAATATTAGTGAGTTTGAATGATTAAATGACAAATCGTAAGAGATCTGAATATAATTCTCCCTAACTTTTTTAATCGAATTTATACAACACACAAGACTACCTAAGAGAGAAAGGGCAGAATTTCATCTACATACCAAACTTCATCGAGAGAGAGAGAGAGAGAGATCAAATCTGATCTGATTGCATGCAAGAGGACATTAGATCGATCGAGAAAGAGTAGATCCGATGGGTGAACAAAACAAAACAGATCTGTTACAACTATGTGCTTTGGTTTGTGTCTATTAATATGTTCTTTCATTAATTTAATTTTTTTTTTTGGATTTTTTTTCATCCAAGGTCAGTTAGTAGTACTTGTGTTTGTTGTTGGATAGCAGAATAATTTTGATGGGGGAAAAAATCAGTTTGATATTTCATCCATACCACAACCTGGGAATATCTCCATTTTGGTACATCGAAGTAGGTTGTGTATCAGAGGCATTTTGGGTAGATTTTTGGGCTTTATCTGTAGATTTAGAGCTAAAATTGTGATATATATATATATATATATATATATATATAGAGAGAGAGAGAGAGAGAGAGAGAGAGAGAGAGAGAGAGAGTTAGTGCAAGAGAGAGAGGCAGAGGAGCAGTGGTCCACTCACAAACCCTAGCAAAATTACTGTGGAGGGTGTCTTTGTAATTTCACCCTTAATCCTACGCACAAACTTCCCAATCCCATCCCACATTTCACATGGGTTACAGCAATCCGGCTTAAAAGGCTTCAAAGACTACAGCCAATTTTTTCAAACACAACAAAAATCCCATCTCATTTTTCATAGCAAAACCAAGAATATGTAGGCCCCTTCACAATTTTAACCCAATTCCCCTAATAATCGCCCTATATCCGGCCATCCAAACACCCCCAAAAAGAACAGCATTAGACATGCACAAAAGAAAGGGAGGGGGGGGGGGAGAATAAAAATTGGTAAACAGCAATTATGTAAGCATCATTACGTACCAAAACTCAAGGGTGATCAACTTCGGCCTTTTTAATCAGTGAATCTTTCGAAGATAGATAAAACAAGCATTAGATTGTTTCAATAACTATGCCATATGTTTGTTGTTAGCTCATGATTAAATCGAGTGCCAACCAATGCAACAACTCAACTCAATCCAATAAAGTCTTCCCCAACATTTTTAGTGCCAAACCAATATAACAATTTGCAAAATTTTACAGGAAATATAAGAACATTCGCTATTCATCACTTATGGAGTAAAAAGAGTCTCTGTAACGTTCTCCTTTCATGTGAGGGGTCACCATCTCAGCATCTCTGTGCCAAGTTTGGCTAGATATTATCATTCTCACTATCTACTACGTTCTCAACTCCCAAATTAACCAACACCTTGAAACAAATTCACCGCTAAAAGTCCATAAGAACTTATGTTAAGCAGCCATGCTGCCAACACACGAAATAAAATGGTAACATGCCTGGCCAGAAAAAAATGAAGAATGTAGCTTCAAAGCTTGGAGAATGGGTATGGGCATCCTTGGATGATTTTTATCTTCTGTGGAATCCCTCAGCAGGGCACATCTAAGGAAGTCCGTTCCATCAATTCTAAGCCATTTTCTAACAGCCATACACTCGTTAAGTCGGTTCGACAAACAAGCAAAAGTAACCAACCAGATGGTATGCAATTGATATCTGTTTCCAAATGTGTAGGGTGCACAATCGCGAGATTATATACTAAAATCTAAGACCAACTACTTTACACAAACATGCGTATGAAAGTCAGGTTTGTATCCAGTTCACTCCTCCTGGCATCATCAATCACCTAAACCAAACCAGGTAATCTACAACAAGATAGATACATTATTTTTCGAATTGAACAGTTATGGGACTATTGGTTTCAATGTCTAAGTTGTTCCGTCTGAAGTGTCTTAAAAGAGATGAAAAAAGAAAAGAAACACAAGCATTTTCGAGAGAACAACCAGAATCACAATCCTGTCACAGTAAATTTAATCAACAATTTGAATCACCATTGACCAGATTTATTGTTGGCCAACAAGTCCTTCGCTGTGCTGCCAGAAGCCTGGTAAAAATAAATAAACAAAACATCAACTGACAGCAGTGTATCCCATTCCTATTTACCAATTAACTTAAAAGAGAAGTGCAAGTCATTGCCAACCATGCGAGCGAGCCAAACATTAAATGGGCAAACATATGCAAGGATTATACAACAAATGTGACTCTTGAGTTGACCCAAAAGCCTCAAAATCACCTGATTATCTTCCTTAAAGGAAACAAATCCTAGAATAAACAAATGCCTGATAACAAATTTCTCCATAAATCTGAAAACAAATGCACAGTCAAATTTATCCATTCTAGTTCCATGGCATTTGCAAAGTTGCAATAGGAATTGTTTAATTCTTCAATTAAAGGGAAAACTCATTACATGTACCCAAATGCATACAAGGATCAAGGCATCCTCCAAATGAAGATAGAAGGGTAGATCCTTTAAGTTCAGTAACTCAGAACCTCATCTCTCTCAAGTGTTTGAATGAATGTCAACTAGTATTTTTGCTTGCAGGCAATGGGTCCAACAGAATAAACTTCCACGGATACAGTAACTACAATGTCACCAAGAGGGAGTGGCAAATAGACAGTAACCAAAGGGAGTCTTTGTTTAATTTCTATTTTTTATAATTTCATGGATTCAACATGTCCAAATCCAAGATGAAACCCTACAAATAAGTAGTCCAAATGCGGCCTTATTTAGAATCATGTCATACAACCTATAGTGGCTGCAATAGTTTTCATGTATTCTTTTCCTGGTCCTTTTTAGAGAGCCACATAATCCATTTTGGCTTATGCGTGGAAACCTGTGGTCTATGGGAACCCAAATGCACATTCCATAGGAACAGTAATTGATACCAATACCGTGTCTTCAGAGACATCATGGGGAATTTTGAAACAACCCAAAACTCCAGACAAAACTAACTCTCCACACATATGGATCAAAATTGCCTCTTTTCATGGTATGATTAACCAAATCCAATCAACAAAACATGCACAAAAACATCAGAACCCATTATTCACAATTCAGCATCTCCATTAGTCAATCAACATTCAATACACACACAGCGATCAAGCACAACCCTAGATTCAATTGACAGTCTAATAATCATCCTCTTCCAATAAATCCTCTCCCGAGTATCAATTCAGTATCTATACATTCACAATCATCTCACTCTTCAAAAAAAAAATTTGGAAACCCTAATCGCAATAAAAATTCAGAAAGCACATAATAAATCCAATCCACAAAGACATTACGGCTGAAATTAAGAAAAGCACTAATTATCATACTAATCCAGAATACAATGCATTATAATCATATCAAAACCCTAATTCTAGAAATACATCACAAAATTGGAAAACAAAGAAAAGAAAAGAAAGCCATGGAAAATTGCTGACCTTATTACTGGTACCCTCCGCCTCTGGCGTTATAGTCCTCCCCCACTTTTGCAGTCAAGTAAACTGGCGGAAAATCACCAGCATCAAAAGTCTTCTCTTTCATCATCTTCTCGACATCAGCCTTTTTGAGGATTGTGCGCTTAATTGGGGGTCGGTTACGGCGCTGGTCACGAGAGAAGTACTTGATGTTGTAGACAGTCTCGGGGTCGGAGGAGGGCACGATGGCCTGAGCGGAGGCGGTGGCCGGGCAAAAGAGCCTGTATTCGGTGGCTTTAGGGACGGCCAATTTGTACTCTGGGTCAGCACATGGGCCGGTGATCTCCCATGGCTTCTTTATGTAGCGTTTCAGAGTCTGGACGATGGATTTGGCTGCCGACGCCATTGGTGGTGGCAGTTGTTGTGGCGGTGGCCGGTTGGGAGATCCGTTTGGTGGCAGAGAAATTGAGGAAATTGTAAGCTTCCGAGAATATGATAAGTTGTTCGATGTGAACTGGATACCGTTGGGCTTTTTTGTTGGATGATTCGAAAGTGGACAGCTTTTCGGAATTGGGCTTGGTCTGGGGCCTGGGCTATCCTACCGATTGTAAGATTTTAATCCGAATCTGCCTAATTAAATATAAATTGATTTTTTTTTATTGATAATCTAAATCTAAAATTCAAATATACTGGTATTCGATCTGATTATATTTGAATCCTAATTACATACAATACCGAATACAAATAGATTAGTTAATAAAATTTAATTATAATTTTATTATATTTGTGAAAAAATAGATTAATTGAGTTATTCGATGAATTTTTTGATCTATTTTTTTAAATAAATTTGAGTTAAGATTACAAAAGTCAAGTTCATTGGATTGTAACGTGTTTGGATTTGGGTTTACTGGTGTTCTTGATTTCTTGTGATTGTAATATAAAATTGGGTAAAATATGTTGAAAATATATTTGTATCTATGTGTGTTTTTCAATAACTTCAATTTGAACTCAGATCGTGGTCCGTTGACAAGCCTGTCTGCTAATCTTGGGCCATTGTCTATTGGGCCTGCCCAAAACATTACAGAATCTTAGACAGCATTGTCTTCTGTATTACCTTAAAAACTGTATTTGCACAACCTACAAAAAAAATTAAACAAAAACACTTTTTAAAAATAAAATTATAATTATAAAATACGAAAGATAAAGTTATAAGTACTCGAGATAATTTATGTAATATCATGATTCATGAATACTCATAATCGTCACTTTTTAAAATGTGTAAGTTCAATTTTTAAATATAAAACTTCAACTTTAAAAATTATAATTATTATTATTCATTATAATATTTTAAGATCGATTATACAAATATACTTATTAGCGGTGTAACTCAAACAAGTTAGACGGATTAGAGGATCGATCAACCCTAGTTCAACCCAAGTTACAAAACTTTCGATCCCTTGAACTTAACTTTTAATTGAGATATTCAACCCAAATATTACCTAAATTAATTTCAGACTCAATTCAAGTTAATTGATTTGGGCTTAAATCAGCCTGTAATTCTTGAATTCAAGTTTGTAATTTGAGTTAAATTTCGATCTCAATTTTGGACATGACATAATAACTTGATTAATTTAAATTTCATAAAAATTGAATTCAATAATTTAATTTTGGGTTGAGTTAATTTGTAAATTTGAGTTGACCCCCATTTTTGTAATTCAGCTTGAACTTCGTGAATCCGATCATGCCACCATGAGCACCGCCTTAGGGGACACTTACGGTAGAAACACTTTCGTTCACTAAGTCACACATTTCATTTGTATAAAATGATCTACACACTCTTTTTGATTATGTTATTCAAACAACACAAAACTAACACGTGAAACTGGTAGAATGGAGTTTCGGGTTTGATTAGTCCATAGATTCAAGGGTGGTGGAGGCCATGGGGCAATGGCTTCAATCTTTAATATTGGGATAAATGATCGGTGAAAGAGAGCGTTAAAATAAATAACTATTTGTCAACGTTAGAGATTTTTGCTTAGGTGGGAGAGCTCAAATTTCTTAGATGCTAACTCTCGAATGAGATCTTTCAATTATAAAAGTCTCTTTCAATTTCAAAAAAATGTATTACTTTAGTTTAAGATTGGATTGAAATTACGTGATCATATTTGAACTACTTGCACTAAAGTACTGCAATGCAAAACCAACAAGGAATAAACTAGAATATGTCCATTTTTTTTTTAAGCAACCTAGCTGGTTATTGTGACTTTTCTAACATCCGTTTCTTCCACTAGGCATATCACATCATCATCCCCTTTTGTATTAAAAAAAAATTGTCCATTGTTGAGCAACTTGCATGAACTCTTTACACGTAGAGTTTTTTTTTTACGGAAAGTCTTTACACGTAAAGTTATCTCCAAGAATATATCTTTTTCGTCAATTAGTCACGGTGATGGATCAAATTATATTGTACTCTAATCGACCCACTTCCAAACACTTGTGTTTTTCGAAAGCATTAAATAAGGAGTTCATTAATCCATGATTTGGAGAGGGTATTCCATGTTCAACCAACTTTATTTGATCCCGAGTAATATTTTTGAGACATAATTTAAAAAACTAGTTGATTACAATTATTAAATTATCATTGTGTCCTAGTATTGAATGAATTCCAATATTAATTTAATGATTATAATACATTGAGTTTTTAAATTATATTATTAAATTATTTTTCAATAGCTTTAGTGCTTTGCTCAGGTAAAAAAAACCTTATTTGCAATGGGTTTAGGCTTCGTCAATTCAATTATTTTATAGAGAAATGCTATTTGGACAAAAAATGTTAGGCTAATATCAAATTATACCTCAAAAGATGATTTAAATTTTAATTTGCACTCTCAAAATTTAAAAATATCAATTTATACACTGAAAGACATAAATTTATATCAATTTACACGGGGGTTAACTGCTGTCTATTTTGTTGTTTAAAAAATTTGGGCTAATTGCACCTTCAAATTTAAATATTTTACATTTATGATCCAAAAATAAATTCATCAATTAATACTCGTTAAATACCTCTCAATTTGTTTGTATCGAATCATTTTCGTATCGTGTTATTTTGTGTTATGTCATATTATTTTTGTGTTGTGTTCAAGTTAATAAAAAATTATTTTTAACACAAAATATTTTTCTTATCGAATCAATTGCATTGTGTTGTATATTTCACATTTATGATAATTAATATAATATTAATTAAAAGAAAAATTAAAATACCTATTTTTTAACCTACAATACTTATTAAATAACTATTTTTTGTTTAACGTTAGATACGACATGACACAATTGATAGTAGTATTTAATGAGCATTAATGGATATAATTCTTTTTAAATTATAAACGTGAAATATTTAAACTTTGAGAGTGTAATTTATAATTATTTCAAATTTTTTTATCGGCAAAATGGATGACATTTAGCTTCAGGTGCACATTGAAACGAATTTATGTCTTTCATGGTGCAAATTGATATTTTTAAACTTTGAAAATATAAATTAAAATTTGAGTGATCTTTCAATGTGCAAATTAAGATTAATCTATCGCAACCATTAAATAAGTAGTAAGTTCTAATATTTATAAAGAGACCTACAATTAATAAATGATAATAATATTAAGAATCAACAAATATTTTTTTTCAAATACTATTTCTCTATTTTATAACCAACTAGCCAAGCCTACTCGGCAACTATTATAATATCAATTGAGAAATTAGTTATGTCTCTATTTAGTTATTGTATTTTTTTTTTTTTTTGAGCAATAGCTATTGTATTGAAGTTTTTTTTTTTTTTTTTTTTTTTGTGCTGATGGAAAAGGGATGGGGTACAAAGGACAGTTACTTATTAGTGGAATTATGGGATTTTGAGTGTGCTATAATATTCGATCACCGAATTTTAATGTATTTTCTTTAAAATAGATTAATTGTATGTTACTTTTCTTTTCAATTTATTTACCTTTTATGGTGTGACGTTTACACTCAATATGTTTTCCAGTTCCGAAGAGACAGCTGTTACCGAAAAAGAGAGAAGACAAAAAAAAACAATCGTGGCATTACGGGGCCGAAATTCTCTAGCCACGTGGCATCACAATCCACTCTCAGATTCCCTTTATACGACTCGTGTCCGTTTCCCAAATCCGAAAGAAGAAGGAGAGAGAACTGTGTCATTTTAAAACCAGGTTGTTTTTTAACCACGTGGATGTTTTGATACTATTCTTGCCCACCACGTGTCGCTTCGGTATCACTATCTAGGGGTATTTTCGTCATCCGTGGAAATTAAAAACCTTCTTCCTTCCAACTTTTTTTTTTAAACCTCTGGTTTTCTTTTCATTTTTCCGTCCTATGGGTCTCTCTGTTTGGCCGGCTGATTTTTTCCGGACAAACTCCGGCTAATTTTGAGAATTATATTCTTCGTGCTTCCTATAATTACCATATGCTTTACTTCTTTAACTAAACAATTTCATCTGGGTATCTTTCAGAATTGATCGATCTTTTTCTTTTATTTGTTGGTTTCATTCTTGTATGCTATTATAACATGGCGGAAGCTGAAGAAAATGGAAATACAGAGGGTGTTCCCAGGAAGATGAGTAGTTTCTCAAGGGATTTGTTACATAGATTTATCTCCGGAAACCATTTTCCGGGAAAAATCGTGGGTAGAAGTCGTCATGATGATTATGAGGAGGAGGAGGGAGGAGAAGAGATCGAGCTGAGTCTTGGGCTGTCATTGAACGGTCAATTTGGGGTGGACCCAGAAAGAGCGAAGAAAATAATACACTCTTCTTCCATATCGAACTTCATGATCAGTTCTAATGAAAAGAACATGGTGTGTACGGTCCCAGTTGATTTTGGTCCGTACGGGCCTTTGACAAGGACGTGTTCGCTTCCGACGGAAACCGAGGAGGAGATGAGGAAGCGAAAGGAGTTGCAGTCAATGAGGCGTATGGAAGCGAAGAGGAAGAGGGTAGAGAAGCTAAAGAATGTGAGAATTGTGAGAGATAACAAGGTTAAATTGGAAGAGAATTGCGAAGAAAATGGTCTGGGCTTATTGCAAATTAAAGTGAATGGTGAAAGGGCTAATGGGTTGGTTAATCATGGGGGGATGGAACCTACAGAGCCATTATCACAGGGATCAATTGGATCTCAAGGGAGTGGTTCTTCGGGTAGCTCCGATTTTGATTCTCAACAGATTCAAGGTATCCTACGGTTTACTATTTGTGGGGTTCCCTCTTTTCTTTACTAAAAGCTTCAAGAAAAATGCGATATTGCAATAGTATCCCTATTATACAGCGTGTATTTCTAGTTGTAGATACGTGAAAATCGTACTAGTTCTCGCCTAGTTGCAGCTTCGTTGTTTTCACTTGTTAGATTTTTTTTTTTTACCATTTTCTGGTTTGATCTTTGATTATACAGTTTAATCTGGATCTCGGTTTCAAAGTTTACCTTTCTATTTTATTTCCCCCGATTTTGTTGTATCTATGTGCTTTTGATTTTTCTGCAGGTAAAGTACTTTGGAATATGTTTTCCTAATGATTCATATTTTTTTTGGTTAAATATGTTCATTTTTTGTGTTTGTTTTTGGGGTTGGGTGTGGGGGTAGAAAAAATGGAGTCTTTGTCTAAAGAAAATGTGCTGAGAATGGGCAAATATAGTCTTCGGTTCAACCTAATCCTCTTCCCGGTCCGGTCATAGGCAAATGTAGGATGGTTCTCAAGATTTGAACTTACAGTGCTGTATTGCTTTTGATCTATATTGTCTGAAGTGATGTTAATATATATTGAACTGGGTTAGAGCCCAAAATTCGTTCTAAATGTATTATGCAGATGTTTTTCAAGAATTTCTAGATTTTAGGGTCAAAGAAGATATGAAATAGGGGTTCTTTGATATGCAGTAGATTATAGATGCTTGGAGACTTGAGGTGATCAAAAGAATGCATGAGTACAATGATGGCCAGAAGTGCACGATGCGGGAAATGCAACCCCCCCACCCCCCAAAAAAAAAAACAACCCAAACAAGAGAAGTTAGAAATATATTTGGTGGGATTGGTTTGGATAACTTCATTGTTGTTTCAAGAGTAAAGTTATAGTTGTTAATTGGGAGATTGATCTAGACATTTTTGTCCCACGAATGATGAGGCCGTTGTCGGGTATTAGTATGGTACTAGTTCGATCTTAATGTAGCAGTGTTCTTGTATTTACAGAGGATCTGGTCCAAAATGGTTTACTTTTTTCATTTTTTAATCTCTACCTTTTCCCTTTCCAAGATACATTTAAGCACCTCATATCAGAATGCTTATTCAATGTTTCTTTCTAAACTTTCATAGACAACTTTTTCTATTTATACAAACAGCATATTAACCTGTGTGATTCTGGAACGTTAGCTAATCCTTTTCTCCTAACATTGTTTGTAGTCTAATCTCTTGTGAGTCACATATACAGGAGCAGACAAACACACCAAAATGAGAACCCTTGTCAGCGTCCAGTCTCTGCCTCAACCGATTCAACAGAAACCCATAGTCCAGTTTGCTGGTGCTGCGTCGAAGGATGGATCTATGAAAGTCGAAGTTGCTGACAAGGAAGCAAAGGAAATGGTGAGGAATATGACGGCTGACATGCCTTGTGTGACTACAAAAGGGGACGGACCAAATGGTAAAAGAATAGAAGGTTTTCTATACAGATATAGGAAGGGGGAGGAAGTGAAGATTGTGTGTGTCTGTCATGGCAGCTCTCTCTCTCCGGCCGATTTCGTAAAGCATGCCGGCGGTGGTGAAGTGGCGCACCCCCTGAAGCATATAGTTGTTAACCCTTCTCCTTTCTTGTAATGCTAGGATTCGTGCCAACCCTTCAAGAAAAGGGGTGAGGTAAAAAACAAAAATTGTAATTTCAATTTTAATGTGAAATTTTCATATCCTATACATTGGTTTCTGTTTCAGAGCGTTGTTCGCAGGTACCCCTTATGGATTGGTTGTGAATAGGTGTGTCAACCGATCAGATATAGACTGGATTGTCATTTTTGAATCCGAATTCAATTACAATTTATGTGATCCGATTCGATTGTCTGACGGATTTGAAAATTTTAATCTATATTTGAATCTATTGACTTTTTTGAAAATTTGCTCCGAAAATTTGATCAAATCTATTTATTTACAAAGTAAAATTAACTTTTGAATATCTCACAAATTGTAATAAATGTCACTAGGTTAACAAGCAGCATAAACTAATATGTTAACCTCAATTTTAGTTAAAAATGAAGAAGACGGAAAAAAAATGTGGGAGGTGAAAAGATGTGGGTGGATATAAACTCACGGAATAGAAAATATAAAAATAGAGGGTATATATATAATTTGAATCGAATTTGATATATCAAATTCGAATCCATTACATATAACGTAACATATTTGGATTCCAATTTGAATAATTGATAAAAATTATTAATTCATATCTGACTAATCAAATTTGGATCAAAATTAATCAGATTCGGATCAAAATTTGATCTATTGACAAACTTAAGCTGTGAATGCCTATATGGTTCTATTCTCCACCCTCCCAAGGCTTTAATGAATTGACCAGGAAAACTTCCAGCATCTCCCACAAGCAGAATTTGTCCAGATTTAAAAGAGTATGGCCTGGCTGCAAGAAAAGAGTAGGAACAAAAAGTTGCATTTGTCTAAAAAGTTCTAGCTTTTTTAAATTCCTTTTTGTTTTCAATTTTGTACACACTAATGCTACTACACAATCACACAATTCAAGTAAGCACTTAAGACTAGCTTCTCAGAAACACTTCTATTCTTTGCTTTTATTCAACAACAACAACAACAACAAATAGGGATGAGAAACAAGTATACAACGTCGAGGACAAATATCTGCATTCTTCTGCAGATCCATCAGTGAGGCCCCCTAATAGGGAAAACAACAGCGAAAAAAGGGCGCAAAACTATACTACCATTTACAAGCAGCTATAATATAGACCCGAATCCTAACGGCCACTCGGACTGACACCCAAGAGCACTTGTGCCATAAAAGTGCGAGGCCACACAAATTACAACTGGGCTTGCCGTCTACACTCTGCTATGTCAATCAATTGATGCCTTCCATAGGAAAGCTAGCATGATGGGGGTTGAAGTTGCTTCAACCGTCTCGCAACTTGCTTCATTGTAGGCCTGGTAGAGAGAGAATCAACGGTGCACACAACCGCCAAGTGTAGAACTTCGACTAGATCATCATGGGGACCTGCATCCCACAACCCCTCAGTGAAGAACTCCTTGGCACGGCCTTGTCGCAGCAGCATGCATGCCCATGTCACAATGTTAAAACCATTGCCATAAGGAGAAAATGAAGGATCCAGTGCCTTCTTGTCTGAGATTAATTCAAGCAGCACCACCCCATAACTATAGACATCAGCTTTGTCAGAAACACGACATGTCATCGCATATTCAGGAGCAACATACCCAAACGTTCCTGCCACACCCGTCGTGGCATGGGTTTCTGAAGTTCCCAGGAGCCTGGCCAATCCAAAGTCCGACAAATATGCGTTGTACTCATCATCCAACAATATATTACTGGGCTTGACATCACGATGAAGAACACGGGGTACACACTGGTCATGTAAATAGGCAAGTGCACGGGCTATATCCAATGCAATCTTGTGGAGTATCCTCCAATCCACAGCCCTTGTGCATCTTTCCTGGATAAATTTTTCCAAATTACCACCTGGCAGATAATTATATATAAGAAACATCTCAGTTTCACTCGCATGATAACCTATCAAGGTCACAAGATTAGGATGGTGAAGCCTCCCCAAAGTTTTTAATTCAGCATCGAACTGCTGAACCCCTTGGAATCGTCCAACAGCAAGCCGCTTTATTGCTACCAACACTCCTGGAGAAATCTCAGCCTTGTACGTAGTTCCAAAACCTCCATTTCCAATGCAATTGCTTGCATTGAAGCTTCCTGTGGCCCGAACTACATTCTCAAATGTCAATGGAACCCCAATGTCGGTGAATACTGTAACTTCCTTTCTGACAGAACCCTGAACTCTGGATCTCGGATTCCATTTTCTGGTGTAGAAGAAGAGGACAACGAGGGCAAGAAGAACCGACACAATGGCTGATGCAGATGCTATGGACGCAATCTCAATTGAATTGAAACCACTATTCCCACTTTTCTGGTTTGGACTTGTTGATGGAGAAGCAGCGGAATTCTGTGAATCCCCCATACTCCCCTGCGGATCCGAAGATGTTGATGCCAAAGAAAACATATGACAAGACTGCAGAAAAGGATTTCCAAGGACACCACTACATTTCGTCAAATTACTATTCAATGGTAGTGGTCCAGACAAATTATTGAAGGACAGATTGAATCCCGAGAGTGTGGTCAAACTTGCAAAACCAGTAGGAATCTGCCCCGAGAGTTTATTGTTGTTGAGGTGTAGAGCAGTCATGTTCCTCAAGTTCACAAGATCTTTTGGAATACCACCAGAGAAAGAGTTTGAAGAAAGTTCAAGCACTTCTAAAGAGTGCAACTGCCCCAAGCTTGTAGGAATGGAGCCAGTCAGGTTATTGCCAGCTAAAGAAAGATACTTAAGACCCTTTATCTTGCCAAGATTGCTTGGAATCACACCTTGCACCAGGTTCCAACTAAAATTAAGAGCAACAAGAGACACCAAATCCCCAATACTATCAGGAATGGTTCCAGAAATCTGATTGCGAGAGGCATCCAAAAGTTTGAGAGATCTGCAAAGGGAACCAATTTCCATGGGAATGTGACCAGATAATTTGTTGCTGCTGACATTAACAATCATTGCTTTCAATTTGTCACACTTGTCAAATAACTGTTCAGGAAATAATCCAGTAAACTTGTTACAACCTGCAAGAAATGCATAAATAGTCTGCTCCCCTAATCTTTCAGGTGCAATAGGGATTGACCCCAAAGCACCAGTAAAGTTGTTATCACCAAAATTATGAGTTATGGCAAGATTACCACCATCTCCAAATGATGGCAAAGGGGACTCAACCTGAGTTAAGTACGCCAAAAATGGCAGATAGACCGATGAGGGATCTTGGGCTTCAACAGCATATGCATTTAATGATGGCATGTGAGGGCAAATGCCATAATCAAACATGGGAATTGAACCTGAGAGAAGATTACCATTGACATCAAACAAAGTCATACAAGGAACTGGAAGTTTGTTGACAAGCTCCCCGGTCAGCCTGTTCAGGCTCAGATCAAGGAAATGCAGCCTCTTGCAATTATTAAACCCCTCAGTGATTTCTCCATTGAAAGAATTCTGAGCTAAATTAACCATCTCCAAACTGTCACAAGCACCCCAATTGCTTGGAAACTTTCCATCCAGAATTGCCCTTGGCACCCACAATATCTTAAGTTTGGAGAGTGTAGTAATTTCCGTAGGCAATCCGCCTTCAAAGAAATTATATTCTTCCGTAGTATATGTCAATTGCTCAGATGAAGGATCTGCGTTTGAACTACCAATAGCAGGAAGAGGATCCAACACATTCGACAGCACAAGAACAGATAATGCAGAACAATTTCCCAGCTCAAGAGGTATCGGACCACTGAGGGTGTTCCTTGACACATCCAACACTTCAAGTTGGCTCAACTGACCAAGTTCAACGGGAATAACCTCTTCAAGGATATTAGAATACAAAAGAAGCGACCGTAACCTGCTACAATTCCCCAAACTACTCGGAATCCTTTCAAGCAAGAAATTGCCAGCGAGTTCTAAATGCTCAAGTTTCCCACAATTGTCCCCGATTTCATTCGGAATTGACCCTGCAAATCGATTAAACGACAAATAAAGGCCCCTCAAATCTCTAAAACCAGCAACAAACTTTGGAATTGTCCCATTCACCCGATTCCCAGCCAAATTCAAGACTTGCAGGCCCATACAGTCAGATAATGAATTCGGAATCTCCCCAACAATCTCATTAAAGCCCAAATCAAGAACCCGTAAGTTCCTCAGACCAGCGAAACGAATTGGCAAAGACCCACTAATTGAATTCCCTTCCAGATCAAGAACTTCCAACTTTTCCATGCCCCAAATTTCCACAGGAATTTCACCATTCAATTCATTGAATGGAAGAGACAAAACCCTAAGTTCTTTAAGCTTTGCAATTGACGGGGAAAGCTTACCCACCAATTTTCTTCTATTATCCCAACAAGCTCTTCTAATTCCAAACCCATATAGTGGAAATTTAGCAAACTTATCACAAGATAAAGAACCAGAATTACCTCCACCGGTAATATTCAGAGCCACAACCCGAGAGTTGGAATCACATGAAACTCCCATCCATGAACAATGATAAGAATTACTCGAATTCCAGTTCAATAGCATTCCAGACGAATCTGAGATTGAGCTCTTGAACTCCAAGAGAGCTGATTTGTCTGCATCGGAGCTCGAAAAGACGAAGCTTTCAGCTGTAACAATGACCCAGAAGAGAATCAACAGCTTTAAAGGTTTGCGAAGATGGTACCATTTGATCACAGCAGAACAGCCAACCATTATTGAAACCGCAACAGGATCCAATAAAAAGTCCTATTGAAAACGCTTAACTTTCGTCTCTCTCAAGTTTTTGTTTACAGAGCAAGTCGTCTCTCTCAAGTTGACGCAGCGCAGGAGTGGGTTTTGGTTCAGGAAAAACTTAACCCGAACCCTAATTTTGGGTCTGGTTCTTGTGAACAGAGAGAAGGGGGGAGAGAGAGAAATGATGAGAGAGAAAAGGAGTCAGTGGATTGATCTTTGCGAAAACGCGTTGTTTTTTCTATTTCATTTTTGGGTTAGTTAGACTTTGTCCCTCAGACTATGAAGTATTGTCATTTTGCCCCTTTAATTACTTAAAATATTTAAAATATAAATATTCCTTATCTTTTAAATAAAAAATATTAAAGTATTAGGACAAAGAAAAAAAATCACATAGTTTAGAGGATAAGATAAAATAATTTTTTTATCAAATGTTTAGTTAATATTAATCATTAGGTTATATGAAATATATTAAAAATAATTAAAAGTATAATTTGAAAAATGTAATCCTTGAACAGGGCAAAACAGCACAAATCATATAATATAGACAGTCAAGCATAATTAACCCTATATTTTGTTTTTTTTTTATTTGTCCTGTATTGTTGCTTCTCAATTATTTTTTTAAAAAAATTTCCGTCACATTCTTCCGATTATATCTTCAAAAGACACATTCTCTGTTATAAACTATTATATTTTCAATGACATATTCTTTATTATAAAAAATATCACTGACATTCTTCTAATTTATATTTAAACATGACGGATACCCTCTATCATTAAACCACAATTTCTAACTAAAACAAATTCATATAAAATATCAAAAATATCCCTACATAAACTTTAAATAATTTTTTTACATAAAAATTGATTAAAATTTGAGCCGATTAAAATTTATTTTCTTCATATTAAAATTTGAGCTAATTAAATTTTTTTTTACGTGTAAAAATTCGAGCGTATTAAAATTTATTTTTTATGTATTAAAATTTGAACCGATTTGAACTCTACTTGTTGTTTCTGCTGATTAAAATTCGTTTCGAGTCGATTAAAATTTAAAATTTTTACTTATTAAAATTCGTGTCAATTAAAATTTATATTTTTTATGTATTAAAATTTGGGCCAATTAAAATTTAATTTGAATTATTAAAAATAATTTTTAATTGGCTCAAATAAAAATTTAATAATTTAAAAAATATAATTTTTAGTCAACTCAAATTTTAATATGTAAAAAGTAAATTTTAATTCTCTCAAATCAATTTTTAATCGGTCCGAATTTTAATACATAAAAAAATTTAGAAAATAGAGGGGTCTTATTGAAGATATGTTTATTTATAAGGGGTGTGAATGAATTTTTTTCTCAAATATATTATAGACAATTTAGTAAAATTGAATTATAGTTAGCATTTTTAATCTGATTGAGCTGTCAATAAAAATTTAAAAAATAGAAGGGGTATCTTTAAAAATATAATAAACTAGAGGGGGTAAAATTAAAATTTTTCCTTATTTATTATTATTTTTTTTTTTTTGTTCTAGGTGTTGTGGGTTGTACGTGATATTATTTGTTTTTCTTTTTCTTTTTTTATTATCTTTTAGTGGGGGAGTAATGGTGGGGTCCAGTTTGACATATTTTTGTGGGATGTGATTCATCGGCACTATATTTTCATTTTTCATGTAATAAAGTTATTACGTGTCAATTTTTTTTGTCTTATTATTATTTTTATTAATTATATAATAAGAATTATAAATCAATCACATTAAATTTAAAGTAATGCTATAATAATGACCTAATGAGAATCTAATTTAATACAATAATTAAATTAATTATAAATTTTAATGTTAGGTAAACTCAATTTTAATCCAATAAATATCATTAATTAGGTCTCTAATCTTTAAATTTATGACTCTAGATTAACATAATTGTATAACTTAACTTTTTTTTAATCAATTTACATAATTAGTTAATTAAGGTTGTTAGATTAAAAATAAATTTCAATCTAGTGTTATAATTTATAACTAATTTAATTAGTATACAGAATTAGATCCCGATTAAGGTAATCAAATTAAGTATTAATGTTGCAGTAGATTTATTTATTTTTGTGGGGTACAGTAGGGACCACTGCCAGTCAATAAATGCATTAGCTCGTCGATGTTTCCTCTGAGGCTCAAAACTTTCGGGTGGGCTTGATTTGATGGGCTGTAAAAAGATTCCTTTCTTGTCTAACGACGTGGCTCTAGACCAGGAAACCCACGTGGGTTGCCATTTCTGAAAAGCGTGATGGCCCACTGTGGTCCCTCACCCCCATCTGTTTGAAATTTCTATGTTCCGGTACTAGGGATGAATAAATTGGATGAATGAAAAAGTACGGAAATACACGTTTCTTCCTCGGACGAAAGAAAAATATTTTTTTTTGTTTTTGTGTTCGGTATAATAGATGAAAAAATAAAAAGAAAGAAAAAATATATATACTTAATTTGTCATTATACCCTTTATACATATAAATAACTGCTTATTATAAATAAATTTAAGGAATTAAATGTCGCTCTAATTAGTTATAAAAATAAATAAACAAATAAACATAAATATGTATACAAAAAAAATAGTCAACAACCCAAACTACTTTATAAATAGACGAAACTATAAATTTATAACCTCTTTTTAAGTTTAAATTGTAAATTTATTATTAATTAGTGATTGAGTCATATATAATAAACCCCACTTGAATTTATAGTACATGTTCCATTTAGAAGAGAAATGAAAGAAATTTATTTGGCATTTAATTCTTGCAAAAGAATTTTTCTTTCTTGTTCGATATGAAAAAAAAATTACATGTGATTTAAAATTTTAAAATTTTATTATAAAAAAATTATTAAATAATGTCATCAAGTGTCTTACCATATATAAGTTATATAACAATATTTTAAAATTGTGCCCCTTATACAAATTGTACTTAATATGATAGTTATAGTGAATATGCAATTAATAAAGGTATAAATGTAAATTAACTTAATTACTTTTTGTTGCCAACAATCCTCTCCCATTTTCTGCCCATATTTGGGTGGATAAAAAATGGTGGGCCCAAAAAATACTCTTTTTTTTTCCTTTTTTCTTTTTACTTACTTTTTTTTTCTCACCAAACAATGAAAAATGTTTTATGTCCTCCCATTTTTTATCATCACCTTTCCATTCATCTGTTTTTCCTCTTACCAACCGGGGCACTAAAGTGGTGCTAATTTTTAATAATAATATTCATTCGTTAAGTTTTTTATTTAGTAACTTATTATATGCCATGTATGAATAATTATTTAATTGCATATGATTTAATTATTATTTGTTGTTTTATTAAATACTAGTTAAAAGGGTCGGTTGGCTAAATATGCCTCTCACCCTTTGTTAGTGAGTGTTGTATGGCTATCAAGACATATGGCCAACAATATTTGTAGACCTTCATAGGGTTTGCTCGATTGGCCAACCCTCTTTAAAAAAATAATATTAAATATTAGTTATTGTCTGTGCCTTAAGGCACAAAATAATAAAAAAAATAGTCAATAATAAAAGAGCAATACTATAGAGATCTTATTTGAGAATCTAATGATATAACTTTAATCAATAATTAGATTAGTTATGCGTTCCAATATTAGATAGAGTCTACAATCAATCTAATGATTGTACATCATTAGGTCCCTAAATAAGATTCTCAAATTAGGTTCAAATAACATTTTTCATAATAAAAATATTTGTATTCACACAAAAATCAAATCTCAAACATAGAAGAGAGAGAACGAAATTTAAACACCGGTTGTAGTGGTAGTAGTGGTGGGCGACAGTGGTTGTAGGAGACGGTAATGACTGGGGTGGATGACGACAATAATGGTGATAGTGGCAACCGTGGGTGGCAACGATGATAATGGTAATGAGTTTTGGATGACGATGGTGGTACTGCCAATCATGGGTGACAACAATGGTAGTAGGTGTGGATGGTAGTATGCGACGGTGATAATTGTTGGTAATGGTAGTGGTGGGACGACGACGATGATGGTAACCGTGACGGTGGTGGACGGTGACGATAATAGTGATAAGAGACAACAAGTGCTTCTGGGTGATAGTGTGATGGGTGGTGGTGGTGATAAGTGTGATGAGTGGTGGTGGTAAGTGTGATGGGGGGTGGGGGGATAGTGGTTTGCGATGACGAGTGGTGGTGGTGGTTGGTGGGAGTAGAGGTGGGTGACAGTGGCTAACGACAATGGTGGACGACGACGAATGATGGTGGATTGTTGTAGTGGGTGGTGGTGGATTCTGACGGTGGGCAACGGTAGTAATGAGATAATGATGGTAATGGTAATAAATATAAGAATAAGATGACGATAGTAGTGAGTGGTAACAATTGAAGAATGTGGTAGCAATCAGTAGTGGGTGGCGATGGTGATTGTGGGGATAGTGATGGGGTAGTGGGGGTGGGACAGTAACAGTGATAATGTTGTTAGGGATGGTGGTGGCCGTGGTGGTGGGGTGGTAGTGGTGATGGTAGTGGAATGGCAGCGGTGATGGTGGTGGAGTGGCGACGACGATAACGGTGGTAGTGGTGATGGTGGGACAATGGCGTTGGTGGCAAGGTGGCTACAATGGTGGTAGTGGGGTGGCGGTGTGGTAGTAGGGGTGGTGGTGGCGATGACAATAGTGGTGAAGGCAGAGGTTGTGATATTGATGTGGTGGGATGGTGGTGGTGGTAGGGTGGCAACAGTGATGCTAGTGGTGTTGGGGTGGTGGGAGTGGTGTTAGTGGTAATAGTGATGGTGGTAGGGTGGCGAATGGTGGTGGTTGTTGAGGTAGAGGTGGTGGTGGGGTGACTGACATTTTGTCTTGAATAACTGGATTGCCATCATCTCTGGTAAGCCCCAGTATGCATCCTTAAATGCTTACTGTTTCCACTCCCGTTTTCATGTTCCACTGTTAGTCTGGTTACACGAGATCCTTGAAGGATTTAACCATCTCAAATTGTAAAATTTCAATAAATGCATTGAGGGAATAGAACTGTGTGAATCCCTACAAAACGGGCAAGATAAGCACTTACTGAGTAATCCACATATCACAGCAAACATGTAGAATAAATATTAGCGCATCAACACAACGCATCTACATGCAGGGCCGGGCCTAGGCATAGGTCACTTAGGTGGCTACTTATGCCCCCAATATTTTTGGGACCCCAAATATCTTGAGTTGAAGGCCTTTTGTAATAGAGTGGTTTGAACTCAAATGACCTAAAAAAATTATAAAAGAGATTTTTATAATTAAACAATAGCCAATTGCGAAAAGAGGGCCCAACAAATATTCTATTATTTTTAATAATCTCAGAGATAGTTAGACCAAGTCACTTTCAATGTGTTAGACATCTGATGAAAAAAATGTCATGCACATGTAAATTCTCTCTCTCTCTCTCACACACACACACACAAATGCATATAGTATAAGTGATTGTTAATGTTAAAGAAGAAATAGCTGGAGTACTAAAAAAAAATTATTAGCATGAAAAATATTTTTAAATAGAAATCATACTATTCCTTTAATCCAATATAGGTTTAAAATATTAAAAATAGATCAAATGTTTTTGACTCTTAATTTAGTTTTAAAAGATTAAATTCTTTTATGGGGTGAAAGTTCTGAAAAAATATGGTTTTAAACTTGAATTTTTTTTTTAAAATGTGACCTATTTTATAATTTAATTTATTTTTACGAAAAAGTCCTAAGAATTTTCATATACAAAAACAATACATGGGAACAATGACATAATGATACATAAAAAGATTAGATTCTTTTTCAAATGCTTCCATTACTTATTGAACATTGTAAATAATGTCATTATGAGTTTATTCTACTTGAAGAAATTTTTTTGAATTATAAATTAATAAAATTTTATCTACAATCAATTATGTTATCAAAAAAAATGAAGAAATTAGCTATATTATCTATTAAAAAATTTTTATTAGTAAAATATCAATTTAAAAGTCTGATTAATATTTTAGCATCTCAAAAAATTAACAACATTTATTAAATGTTATTATTTAATATTATGTATATATATATATATATGTATGTATTAATGGGACCTTATTTAACATTTCGCCTAGGACTCCTGATAACGTTGAGCCGCCCCTGTCTACATGGCTGCACAATAGAGAATAAACTTAAAGAGCGTTAATAACTTTCTGGGTGCTACAGATATCATGGCTATAGCCTACTGTGGATTAAAAAAAATAAAGACTTAAAATGCAGTTCTCTTTCTGTGTTTCTCAAAAACAATATTATGAAAGAAAAGAAATGGATATCAAATAAAAGACGTGGATAAAACACGAACACATTAAACATATACTGTCTAATGATTTTGAAAGTGAGTGGATTTGTACAAAATTTTAGCCTTTTTATTTTTTTTTGGGATATTGAAAATAGGGGGTAGTGGCAAGGAAGATCACCCAACGACTACTCCAATAGGCTTCGACCGGTGGGATCATAAGACCTCTGACTGCGTTTGAAACATCTCTCGGGACCATACCTAACTACACTAGCATAGCGGTCAACCACCAAACTCCAATAGAAACTCTAAGACTTGAATTTCTAACCTCGTGATGAGGAATAAGGTTAGTACCTCACTAGAACACCCTACTTGGTGATCAAAATTTTAGTCTTAATTTCTGTGTTTTGAGCTCTTGAAAGGCAACATATATGTCAAACCCATATGTACCTCACAATTTGCTAGCATAGATTACAAAATTTCATACGTTTGTTAAATTGTTCGGAACAGAAACATTTAGGTTTGACACAAGGTTCATTTATATTTCCATTATGTTTCTAGCGTTTAGGGCATATCTTGTGTACGATGTTTCCGTCATTGCGGAGTCTATAGAGAGGTAGATTTATGCAGCCTAGCAAAGATATTGTTTATACAACTCAAACTCGGGACCTTTAAGTTACAATGGAGTAACCTTACCATTGCGCCAAATTCCGCTCTCGTTCAATTGCCAGTTTGGTAACCAGTTTATAATCGACACAATAATCAAATAAAATTGCCAAGAAATTTACTTACTTGAATATTGGAGAAAACCCTTGAACCCATCTTCAAGATACAATTGATTATCGGCTCTTTCACCTTTGCATTTTGATCTAATCTACAATAGAAACTAAAAGCAAACGCAAATCAAAATTAAAGAACAAAGGACTTTGGATAGATTTAATGCATCAGTTGAAAACACAGAACACGAAAGAAGAAGAGATTTTGAGCACCATTTTTCTAATACTTGGCCGTTGTGACATGGGAAGATTAGTTAATGTTTGACAGATTGAACTTTCGCCGAGCCGAGCTAAGTTCAAAACAACTTGAATTGTAGTAGTTTAATTATTTTACATATAAATAAGCCGAGTTTTTTTAAACTCATTTTTTAAAACGAGTCTAAAAAATGTTCAAACTCAACTCGTTTAAAACACAAGTAAAACTCGAGTCAAATCTTATCTAAGCCAAACCTCGAGCCAATTATCAGTCTTACCTCCAAATATATTTGTTTCTCCTTTTCAAAATAATAATTCCAATTTCTCAAAATCTTTATCATTACTTTAACAGACTTGGAATATGTGGGTATATTTGAAAATATGGTGAAAAGTAGGGGTTAGAGATATAAGATTGGAGAGACCCAAGTTTATCATGTTATCCTTGTTTTGCTGCCATTTTTGCTTTCACAATTTGAACCTGTCACCAGGAAAAGAAGATCTACCCCCCAAAAAAAAAAACAGAGCAGGGGAGCCACGGAGAAACAGCTATTTACCGATGGAATTCAACGTTTCATCTGCAAGCTCTATTTTCATCTTTTTTTTTTTTTATTTGGAGCAGGTCTATTTTCATCTTCAAGATTGCAATATTATAAGAATACTGGGTGTAACCATCTAAATGGTCCAGAATAGTGACATAAATTGTTGACTCCATCCATTACAACTATTAGTAGTGGGTTCCGACAAATATTAGAATTTACTGTCGGTCCCATAGTTATTGAAGACTTTCTAGTTGTTATTGGTATTCATTGTTAATGCCAGGAAATAAGTTGGAGAGTAAAGAACTAGTCAACCGATACTGGGGTCTTAAAAGAGCTTGTAAAAATTTTAATGATTCGTATATGAAATTTAGAACAGTTAAATTATAAGATTTAAATCATATAAGTTTAGACCATACCTGTGTAAGTCATGATATTCGATCTTCAGGTTTTTTTTTTCGTGGATGCGTAAGGTTTTTCTTTCCTTCTTCAAAGGAATAAGCGGCTCTCAATGGTACAAATTAAATTAAGTTACGAAGTGAATAAGAAACCTAACTTGCTATTTATGATGAATCTGATAGCCTCTCTCAGTATAGGTCACAATTAGATTAAAGCGTACATTTAACCACTTCAACCATATCAATTAAAAAAATGAACATAAGCTCATTAAAATAAATCACTTAACAATATTGAACTCATCTCATTGGACCATAAATTCAGCCCGTTTTTTCCAAACTCAAAATTACCTATCAATTAATGAAAGTCCAATATTAAAAAATTCCCACAGAGATATCTTTTTAATTTGTTACAAGAACAAAACTCACTATTCCAACTTCCAACATCAACTACTAGCCTATATGGAATCAAACTTTGCCAAATACTAAAATTGTCAATAGATTCAATTGCTTTGCGGGCAAAAATGAATCAGTGCACCATGCTAAATCATTTGTTCAACCAAGGTCACAAACTGTTGTTAGTCAATGGTACTTGAGTTCATCCATGCCTCCTAAACTGGCAAAAGAGGTGAGCAAAAATAGGAATACAATAAAGGTAATACCGTATTCTTCACCATTTATGTTCATATCTTGTCATCTTTCTTGAGAACTTCAAATTAACAAGACGATTTTATCATCATATAATGTGACTACAAATACCAGCATCTGCTAACACTGGGATTATTTGAATAGATTTTCATTTCCAAGAAAGTTTTCCTACAAATGAAAATGAATGGTTTACTTGGATTGTTGAACAATGGGGGGAAAATGGATCCCAATTCTAGATAATTTGTTTCCTTCCCCCGTCATTACCAGTGCAATTGAATCAATAAGTACAAAGAAAATTCTTTGGGGTTGCTAGCAATTTGGTATATACTAATATGCAGAATTGTCAGTGTTGTTACTGTTATCTAATAATAGCATAAAAGCGTGAAAATTTACCTCAATTTCGCTCAATAGGGCATATTGCAATGATAATCTCATCTTTTTAAGAAAATATATATAGTCTAGTTTGACTTGCATGCACTCAAATTCGATTCTGATTATGGAAATATTGTTTTCCCCAACAGGTTTTTGCAATGAGGAGGAGAAGGGCAAACATAAGGACTGAAACTTATGTAATAATGAAACCTGGACAGAATGAGGAGTTTGTTTCTAAGGATGAATTGAGGGACAGGTTGAAGGGTAGGCTCGAAAACCGGCCAAGCAAGGCCCTGCCACTTGACCTTGGTAGATTTGAAACCATCGATGATGCTGTTTCCTACCAAGTAAGGTCTGTCTGTGAACTTTTGAAATCGATGGAGATGTTGGTTCAATCCAATGGTATGAAGTTCGTTTGGAGTCAGAATCAAACATTTGATTTTGATGTAGACCCATGATAATTGCTAGAATGTTTTTGTACTGAAACAAAGATAACCAATGACATACAACAGATTTGTTGCTCAATGGTACCAACGTATGTAACTCTTGTATGGTATGAATTATTATAGAATTAAATGGGTTTTAATATAATTTTACTAGAAAGATGGCCAACTTGATTTTGATTTTAGCAATTTGGTTTTGAAAAACTGAAGCCCTTTGAATTTATGATTTTTAGGAAGTGGACATGAATCTAAAATAATAAGACAAAATGGCTTTTAAATGATTGCAATCCAATCTACAAAATAGCTTTTGACGGGCCCAAATTTAATTGGGTCAGATCCAATGAATCAAGTAGGCCTAATTTAGCTAAAAGATTGGTCAAGTTCAATTCGTAAATTTGACCCAACCCAAGGCCCAACGAATCCAAGAAGATTAAAGCACATGGAAAACAATAATCGAGATACTCACTCTCGAATATCAAGGTAACCTTTAATTGTACTTACTTATTGTAATTTTTCGAAGAATTAGTATCTTTATCTTCAAGTCACCGCCTTAACTAAAAATATGTTTATAAATTGTAAGCTCTCTTCATTGAGAGAGCATCTGTCTTTACATCTCTCCACACACCTCCTCTTATAAGTTTTCTCTCTCATATCTATTGTATCTCTTTCAGAATTAACCATTGTTATCTATCTCTGTTGTTCACCTTACTTCATTAATAAAGGTTCTTCGGCCACCGTTGTTGTTTCTCAAAGTGGAGTAGGTCACCCTGACCAAACCACTATATATTTGTGTGTTGGTCCAATATTTATCTTATTGTCATCGATTACTTTATTAATTGTCTCATTAATTCCCTACATCATTCACTCAACTATTAATCATATATAAGTCTATTTCGTGGATCATCAACCTCCTTATAGGCCCTTTCTTGACAATGTAGAACCCAAGTTGGGTCCATAAAAAAAAATATGTCGCAACCATTAGATTACAATTTTCATGAGTAAAGCAATTACCATTTGCCTAAGATCACAATATGGAAAGAAGTGTTGAATTAAAAAATACAATATAGAAAGATTAAGTTACAATTTATTAAAGTCGTGTTATAACGTTAAAGGATTTAAGATTTACGATTGAATAATATTAAATAATTATAACTTAATATTCAAAAGTTATAATTCGATCTTCAAAAATTATGTTTTTTTCTATAATATTGAAAAATAATTTTTGATAGTTAAATATTTAATTAAAAATTTGTTATGCGTTTTTTTTTCCCTTCCGTTACATCCCTAAATAATAAATAAAATTCTCTCGTAGAAGGTGTCATTGTGATTCTTCCCAGTATAATTTACTCTACAATTTTGCTTTGGGTCTAGTGTATTGGATATTAATTACTGATTTGTTTCCCTCGTTTTCCCACGGACACGATCAGTGCATTTGATTGCCGTATTAAAAATAGATCGATTAGATAGAGTAATCCAGTCTAATACAATACGGAAGAACAAAAGATTAGGTTAAATAGGATATTAGAATAATATGTAATTTTATCTAGTGTTTGACAATGCACAACATAAAACATTGGATAGTAACTATTTAATCAAATCGGTTGTTTGGTTAAAAAATTATTTTATCGTATTAATGTTGAATTAATAAAAATACCCTCAATCAATGTTTGTTACTTTGACGACAACTTAATTTTATCAGTTATGGGATTATAATAGTAAATATTTACAATAATACGATTGAGTTGGATTATAATATCACCTCTCTTAGTGGTATTAAAAAATATCTTCATAATACAAACGTATCGTATATTTTATCGTATAAAAAATATACGATAAATATACGTTTTTAAAATTAATACAGTATTAAATTTGTTTATTAAACAAAATATTAAGCCCAATTAAATAAAAAATAGTATAATTCAATATTGAATCCTCTCATAATACTTCTATCAAACGAGCCCAATATATATTGATTGATGTCTAAAATCTTAAAGGCATATTATATTTTATATCTTAAAAGATTTAAAAAATTTATTTTATATTTTTAAAAATTAAATTTCTTATATTATACTCTTAATGCATTAAAAATAAAATGTAATATTTTCGTTAGTTTTTATTACTTATTCTGCCAACATCAATGAGGCGGGTTTTGACCAAAAAAACACAACGAAAAATAATGAAAAAATAATATTTTTAATATATTGAGGATATAATGTGAGAAAATTTTAAAATAGGAATGCAAAACGGAAAATGTTAATTCTTTTGGGGGTGCAAAGGGAGATTCCATCAATCTTAAAACCCTCAAAGCATTGGCAGAGTAGAGGCATGAGGCGCGAGGGTTCTAGACGAAGTTGCGCATTTGAAAAGGTAGGAAACCCTAGCCCTTACCCTTTACTTTCCTTTGATATCACTTATTTCTATGCTTATTCATTAATGATGTTGGATAAAATTTTCAGTTGATTATACAAAGTGATCTGGGCTTTGAGTTTATCGATTTTTATCTTGTCTGAAGTTGATTTTGAGGTTATATTATGATGCTGTTTTTGTTGCTGTTAATCATGTCGTTTTGGAGAGTGTAAATGATATGAATGTAGATTCACTGTCTTTGGTTCTGTAATTACCTCTGCGTAGATGATTTGTGGTTCTTACTGCCTTATACGACTTCTATTAGTTCAGGAAGAGGCTATTTGGAAATAAAACAGATGGGTATGTCTTTTGTGAACAAGATGTTTGTTTTTGTAGGATGGGTATGTATTTGTTTATGCTGAGAATGGTGTTTTCTCGTCCTTTAATTATTTGTCTTTGGAGATTGTGTGTAGAACCCAACATCCATGGAATACGGGTCTTGTGTAACAAAAATGCACATAAACTCAGCTTAGACTCTACTCAATGCTCTAAATTGTCACGGAGGGTCTGAACTAGTGTAGGATTTAGTATAATCGATTTTACCGTCTCAGGATTACTCGGGTGGTGTTGCTGAATTCTACATGTTCCATATTAGACAAGTTAATGCTGTATTAATATTTCATTCCCTGCCCGTTGCATGGTTATGTGTGTTATTGGCTATTAACTCTAGTCTTTCTAATGTCTTTAATTCTCTCTTATTGTACTTGTAAAAGGGCGGCTTAGTGCATGAGCCTCCCACACTGTGGATTCTCTCTTGTTCTACTTGTCGTTATTTAAATTGATAATTTTTTCTTAGTTGATAATTGTGTTAATAAAAATTCTTAAAATATTGTATTTTACTCAAGAAGTCTCAAAAAGGGTCGTGGTTATTTGAGTTGATGATTGCATTCTATTATTCTTTTAAAGTATCTTGGGGGCTACCTATGGATGAAGCTTGCAACAATTTTAGTGGTTTGAGTCTTGATGCAACCCGTTGTTAGCTTCGGTGGTGTCTCGTCTGACCCAAAAGATGGTGTTAAGAGTCCCACCATGGTGTTAAGAGTCCCAGGTGGGACGTTATGCCTAAAGAGTGTCTTTGAAATATCAAACGAAAAAAGGTATATCAGCATGGAAAGGTGGTACAAACCAGTCCTAACTTTGTTTATCTCGAGACACTTTTACCACATATTAGTTTCCTGTTGAGGAAGCAATACTATATGTCCTTGGGAAGTTGGGAGATTATAGCCATTATGTTTTCCTGTTGCTTGCTTAATTTAAAATCGAATCAATTCCCCCTTTTCAAATTTCAATTTCTTGAGGGCATGGATGCATGGGGTTGGTTTTATTCTCCAGCTGCAACAACATGATGTGGGAAATTATGTAGCACTGAGTAATTTTCTTCTTTCTATGCTCAGGAATGGCTTTTGTTAGTAGAATTGGTAGCATTCTTAAACAGACAGTGAGCAAGCACACCAATTCGGAATTATCTGCCTCCAATACATCACTTTACCAGGCCATAAGATGCATGTCATCTTCAAAGCTCTTTGTTGGAGGTGCATAAATCTTTCTTTTCTTATGTAGATACTACATTTACATCTAGCTTGTGGTAATCACTTCACATTTTCTACTTCAGGTATCTCATATGCTACTGATGAAATGAGTTTGAGAGAAGCGTTTGCACAATATGGGGAAGTAGTGGAAGGTATGTGGATGTGTTATTGAGGGTCATAATCGGTCCATTTCACATCTAAAAGTTTTTCCCTCGTGTTCTGGTTTTATTTTGGATTTTTATTATTATCTATGTTTTCTATATTATCGGATATGATGTTGGCAGTGGTAGCAATAACATAGTACTGAAAAGATCTCATGTAGTGGCAAGCTTACCAGAAAATGGCAGGCAGTTATTGTGGCGTATTGTTGTGCATATAGGGAAAACTGTGGCTGCCTCATCTTTACATTTGTTCCTCATTAGCAACAACTGTAAACTCAGTATGCGCAACAAAGCAATTCATTTCATAAGTGGTCTTGTTATTATATGGAAAAGCTCTGGCAATCAATATAGTCATTCTTTTTCTGCAGCTAGGATTATCATGGATCGTGAGACTGGTAGGTCCAGAGGCTTTGGCTTTGTAAGCTATACATCAAGTGATGAGGCTTCCAGCGCCATGCAGAACCTAGACGGACAGGTACTACTGTGGCTCTTCTACCTTCAGTGATCTCTAACACATCATGGATATGATTGACAGATCACCAGATTTTTTTTTTCTTTTTTCCTTTCTGTAATTATCGAGATTGGTAGGTGACTAAGTCCTTTATACTATGATTTGCTTGGTATGGCATCTGGTTTCTGAGAGGATAACATATCTTGTGCATTTTCCGGTTATCTTAGGCTCAAACTTTCAGTTTTGGTAATTTTTCAGGATCTTCATGGGAGAAGGATAAGAGTGAGCTATGCTACAGATAGGCCTCGTGGTGGGGGATTCGGAGGCTATGGTGGTGGAGGTTATGGTGGAGGTGGTGGGGGTTATGGAGGAGGTTATGGAAATGCCAATTATGGAGGTGGTGGTAACAGCTATACTGCTGGAGATGGCAGCTACGGCAGAGGAGGTGGATTTGGTGATGGTAATTATGGGAGTGGTGGTGGCAGTGGCAGTTATGGTGGTGGAAGCAGCACCTTTGGCACTGGAAATAGTGGTGGTTTTGGACCTTATGGTGGGGTCAGCAACAGTGAAAATCCTAGGGTTGCTGGTGGTGGTGAAAATCCTAGTGGGTTTGCTAACACTGGGTATGGTGGGAACACAGATACACCATATGGAGGCGATGAACAACAATTAGATGGCAATCAAGATTTAATAGATGGTGGAAATGAAGGCTTTGGCGAGGACAAGTTGGAAGGCAGTTTCGAGGATAACGATAATGAGCCTGATGATTATGCCAACACCAAACGCTGAAAAGTTTGGCTTACCCTCGGAGAACTTGCTCTTGCTTGACCGATAGAAGCAGAGGATTTCTCTTCTGGACGGTGGTCGAAACTTAAATAGTTTTAACACAATTGAATAAGAATACTTTATTTATCTGCATTTTGTTATGCCATTAGTACTTTGTGAAGTTGATAAATTCGTGTTACCCTCTTTTCTTTTCTCCTCCCAAAATTCACCCTCTTTTATTACCTCTTTCTTGTTTTTTTTTTTTTTAAGAGTTAAATCAATGTTTGAGTTTGTAATAAATTAGCTTTCCTATTAGGATTTTTTTTCTCAACCTACATTGCATCTCGTCTGATTTGAACTTTGTAACCGAGGGTACCAGTTTGTTAGTCTGGCACTTTTTTTTTGTCAACTGTCAAGGTGTGTTAGTTAGTTTATGCACATTTTGATTAATTTTTTTTTCGATCGAGTCAAAAATAAGTTATTTACAGTAGAAGTAGAATTAGAATATTTGTAGAGGATAAGTCTCTTTTATGGTTCGAATTTATTATAACTTCAATTAATTATTACATCATTTTCCAATTTTGCAATATAACCACTTTACCCAGCATGAGTTTGTGAGTTCAGACGGGTACTCCAACGTGACCATCTCTGTAACCAGGGTCAACCGAGTGGTACACGCATAACATGTAGTCTAAATTAACAATTGACACTTGAATTACACTAGATTTTTTTTTTGTAGATCTCGATACTAACACAATATGCTGGTCCTACGGCACAAATTGACACCCTAATCTTGAATATACTGTGCATGATTTAGACCATATATCAAATTTCCTTCTTTTTAACTTGAAAATTGAAAATGACCAAAAACAATATTTAAAAATTGATAACCCATACAAGTAGTCAAATGATGTTGAGTTAGTTCGAGACAAACTATAAACTTGATTCAACTCTCATCGGTAACGTGAGAGGTTTTTCCTCAAAAAAAAAACCCTCAAATTTCTCCCTTGAAAATTAAACTCTTTTGTCCTAGCTCTGATTATATACCATTGGCATGCTACAACCTACCTTGCAACAACCAATGCTAAAGAGCTAAGACCCAGTGTTAAGCAACCTCTTTACTGTGGCAGGCTGAGAGGCAACTTGCAGTACGGGCAATTTCAACATCATCATAGCAACATGCAACATCAGGCACTTCCTCGGCACAAATGGAACACACTGGAACACACTGTCTCTAGGTTCACTCGTACTTGGTCGATATCCTACAATTTCCCACGACCTGAGGTCTACACAGCCCAGAATGGCTTTTGAACTGGTAGTGCATCCGAGTTGTCCTTAAAAGGTTCTTCAGTGGTTTCCTCAAGGTCTTCATCTTCATCTCCATACTCCATTAGCTTCACCAGAGTATCTGAGACAGCTAAGAAACGTTCAGTACAATATAGAATAGCATCATAAGCATTTCTAACATTCAGCAATATAATGCATGCTAGCAAATGGAATGATTGCAAGAGTGTTAAAGCAGTTTACTCTGGCGTCCAAAACACAAGGAAAGTAGCTTCTTCAAGATTTCACATGCAAACCATTCGTCATGCTTTTTAGCATCTAAAATTATCAAGCATATAGATTGGTAAGTATACCAGGGAGAGTCTCCGCATTTAATTTATCCATGGAATTGTCCTTGAGCGCTTTCAGGTCAGGCATCGACGAATTGAATTTTGGAGGTGGTGGAGGCATGGTCCTTGCTGGGGGCAGAGGCATGGTCCTCGGAGGAGGAGGTGGCATTCCATCAGATGAAGACTGGACTAACTTCTTTGGAGCTGGCATTGTTGAGATGTTTCTTACATCCAAATCTGATGTTAGTACACATGGCTTTAGAAACTTTGATCCCTGTAAGGATTTCTGAGAAAACAATCCAACCCCATTCCTCAATAACAGTGTAACAATGACAAATATGATGTCATGCAAGACAAAAAATAAATGCACATATACAAGCCATATACGTGCATATATATTAGACACAGTAATACGTATGCACATTACTGCATATATATTTTTCTGTCTACTTACAAATATGCAAATATATACTAGTACGAAGAAGTTAACAAGCATCTAATAGATGAGGGATGGAGGAAGACAATTACGTGTGATAGAATATAGACATGGGTATCAGAAAATGCTGAATTGAGTTATCATAAGATACTGGATATAAAGAGTTTTAGCAGAAAGTAGTCTGCAAAACATAAGCCCAGATACAAGCAATAAGCTTTTCCATCAAATGCAAGTTATAGAGGCGAAGTATAGGATAGCTGTGTATGTCAAAGACATCCCCCCTAGGAACTGCTGTTGAAAACAGTAAAAGCAAAAACTGGTGCATGTGTGTATATAGGCATTGATGCCATATAAAAAAATTAAACAGCATAGAATCTAGAATCAGGCCCAGATAAAAGCATTTGAAGCAGCATGCACCAATCCCATGCCGCCTCCATAATGGAAAACCCTGTGAAACATACAAACTTCCAACAGAGATCCAGTATCGGCCTGTTAGCTTCATGTAAGGTTAGAGAAAATACCTGGAATATAAAGTGGAAGAAGTCAGATACATTTAATACGAAATTATTCATTCAAAAAATGCCAGACAATTGATTCACCTTTGACAATCATGCTCACTTTAGACAGACAACATCAAATATGAAATATTCATCTTATGTCTTCCTATAACAAAATATGTGCTGAATATATATAAAAAAAAGCAAAAGAAACAGATTACTCAGTCCACTTCAATTTTTTACACCACTCATGGACCGCAGATATTGCCACCTACAAGTGCAAATCAAGCCACTTGCGAATAAATCAAGCCAATATCTATTACTGTGTGCCGATTATGAGTGGGCAACCCCATCAAACTTCAATGCAGCAGTATCCCAGCAATCCAAAACTCAGTTCAAGTCAGCTTATTTAAATCTCATACAAGTAATAAAACTGCCTCTGAGTGTCCTCCACACCCCATTTGTGGGAAAATTCAACTTAACTTTAAATAAATTGATCGTACAATATAATGGAAAAATGGTTTCATCTCCAAGAGTATCGTTCACTTTGATTATGCATACAGATAAAATGATTTATGTAGGGTGAGTGATTATTATGTACTGATAATGATATTTCAGGCTTCAACATCATTAAGGGCTTGTACAAATTTTTTCAAAGCAACTGTAAATCTTATCATGGCATTTGTTTTTGTCGAGAAAGAAACATGCTAAGTTTACAAAAATAATTAAAGGGTGATCTCTAAATAAGATATGTGGGTGGCACTTCAAATCAGTAACTTCCTAATCTACCACATAAAATTTCTACTTCTAGGATCCTATCTTATTTTAGAGAAAGTCATTAATACAGCATCTTTCACCAGTCGACACATTGTACTAACTCATGCAGCTCAAACTTACGAGGAGTAAGTGCATTCTATTCCAGTAAGTGATACCCCTAATTCTTACCCCCTCCCAACATGAATAAAAACAAAAACAGTGGGCTTAAAATTTCGAAAACTCTATATACCTCTGCGCTGTCCAATCTCAAGAACTCAAACGTTATTTACTTGAGCCCAAAAGCAATGCCCATACTTCACCACTTCAAGGAAATGAATTCTAATCTGATAGGACCCTCTTTACAATCTTATTCAGTTCATATTACAAATGCTTTAAATTGTTCACCTTTTATTTTATTCATTGAGGCTATAATTTTGTATTAGTTCTGCTTCAAGAAATGGCCATCTTATTTATCTTTTTCTTTCTCTTTGAAGCCCTTAAAATTCAATAGGGCACTGATAACTTCATAAATGTGCTTACATGGAGAGTAAACACATATACCTGGTGAGGTTTTGCAGGCTCCTTTGAAGCAACTGGTAATTCCTGAAATTTTCGTTTCTGTGGAGGTGGTTTATTCTTCTCCGAAGAACTCCTACTTGAATTTGATGCTGTGACTGCTTCTGCCGTAGAAGGTGCAACTGTAGAAGTGGCTGTCGAAGTTGACTGTCTAAGGGCTAAGGCAACTTGTTGCAAAGGTGTGACCTGAGGGTATATCCCACCATATCCGCTATAGCTTGTTCCACCTGTTAAGAAAGGCTGAGGATAGCAAACCACGTTTGATTGGGACTGAAGGTGAGGTACTGCCCCCTGGGAGAAGACAGGAGGGGGACCAGAAACTGTAACTGGGGAGTCTGCTGGAACCGGTACAGATCCACCATTCGATGATGTCAAACCAGTAACTGGTATAATATTTGCTTTGAACTCAGTGCCAGAACTCAGAATTCCAGCCAAAACTTGCTGAGGGGGTGGAACAGCACCATAAATGTTAGATGATGAAACCCTGAAACAAATAGTAGAAATCACAAGTTATTGACTTCGGCAGGCATAGGTACAGACTTTGCCAGGCATGGAAAGAAAAGCTTAATGTAGACCAACAAATTCATATAAACTATGTATGTAAGAAGCTCCAATTGATCAGGTAGAAAACTCCAAAGATAATAATGCAAAGAGATAGTAACATGGGATCACAACAGATGGAAAATCAATATTCCCCATTATATATTTACAGTACAGGATACAAATTTAATTTACCTTCTCCAATATTATCCATACAAAAAAAGCTATTTTCCCATCTCTTACTTTAAAGAATACAGAAATGCATCCATACCAATGGAATGCACACTCCCCTTGAAAGTGAACCACATTACCTGGAGGCACCACACTCTGCGCAGATTGTATGCAAAAGATTTTCAGCCAAAAGCTTTGCACGTTCTAGACTTTTTGGATTATTACTTGACAAGAACAAATGCAGTGGTTGCTGTCCCCCTGAAAGCAGAATGAAGGAGAGCAGATAATACAAATGAATTAATGATAACCTGGACAGGATAAACTACGAGGGCTTGCAAAAAGGTCACGTGGCAGACAACACACTAACCTTCACCCTGTACATTTTCAGCATTTCCAGAACCACGTCCTCTTAGCGAGACAATTGCTCCTGTTTCATTCACAATGTGATTTACGTACTGGTCCTGCATGTACAAAACCAACCAGCAGCAACAACAAACAAGCTCTCCCAATCGTATGGAGATGTCAGAGAAAGCTTTCAACATTAGAATCTTTCAACTTCATCACAAACAATAGAAAAATTGAAACGCAGTCATCAAACTCAAAATTCATTAAAGGGGGAAAAAAAAGGAAAAACCAGAGGCGAGGTGAATAAAGCAAGATGACTGCACAGGAAACCAGACGATATATAGGACAGCAAAAATATAACTGACATCAGCTTAGCATATATCATGGTTCAGTAATCAATATAAACTGAAAAACCAGCTTCCTTTAAAATTTTTACAGAGGAAGAGCAATCCATAGGTGAAGGGGGAAGGCCGGCAAGTTTAATGCATCAACCTTGTTTGGGTGGAGTAAGGTGAGCATGTGGTCCCATCTTTCACGTTGTGCTCCCTCCACTTGTGACCTCTCCCTCCCAATCCAACAAAACTCCCCCCCTACCCCCCCCCCCCAAAAAAAAAAAAAAACACAAAACAAAAAAAAAAAAGGGAAATGAAACTCATAGAAAGGAAGAGGGGAAAAGAGCAGCTCACATTTGGTCCCCGAATACGGGCAGCAATGTCCAATGATGGGTCCGCGTCAAAGCCCAAAAACACACATGTGCTTAGTAGCTGAGTAACCTGACTCAAATAAAAGATCACATACGTTCTGTAAATCTTATTGGTACCGAATCTTTGGATACATGTCACTGATTGTTACCTTCACCCCATTGGTTACAGAACCCTGTTTCAGCATTTCCTCCACCATGGCAGCGGCACGATCAACTGCTATGATCCTTTCTGCTGTTGTTTCCAACTGCAGCAACAAACCATATAGTACACCAATGACATTTTCCTTAAAAACAAACAGAAAAATATTTGCAACTGCAAATGGTTGCAACATTTTATGAGATAATTAAATAACATAAAATTTTTCTGAGTACAGAATATAAACTTCCTTATTTGTAATATCAACTAAAGTCAACATTTCATGACCCATCTATAGAATATCATTAAGCAGTATATGAACTACTGAATGGCACGATTTTTATTAGTTATTCAAAAGAAAGACTATAGCAGGTGCATCAAACCATATATTTTGAACATAACTTACAGCATACACCAGATTAGAAAGGTATAATAGCAATGCCAGGTGCATAAGTCTCCTGACTAATACTCAGAACTACAGCAACAGATTTGATGTGATTAAAATCACAATCATCCATTGCAAGTAGAAGTAAAGAATATTTACAATTCATTTTTAAAAAAGACAGTTACGATAATAGTAATGAGACATCTAAAAATCATGCATATATGTGTCATATATTGATTAAAACTCCTGTTCATTTAGAGAAAACACCCAAGTAAATGCCTACAACCAGGCCTTAGAAGTTTAAACATTAAGTTATAGCACTCAGAGATTTAATCCTACAAGAATTACAACTCAATATGAACCATTGCCTAAGCTGTTAATATAAAGTTGGGACAAATGGGCATCTACAGTTTATTTTAAATATAAATTATAACAGATTGCAGAAATTTTTACAAGGTCTAGGAAGTTTCAGAAACAGATTCAGATGAGCATCAAATAACTAATAATTGGAAGCAAAATTTAATCTGATGAAATCCATTTCAGGAATGTCAAATGTTGTGACCTGAATTACCAATGAAATGAGAACAGAAGTACTACTAAAACAGATGCACTACTAAAACAGATGCTGTGTCAGAGAATTGTTCCAATAATTTTATCCATTCAATCTACCCTCAAACAGGGAAATTGGGAAAACAATAACAACAATGGAATACTCACATGTGCCCCAGCAGAAATGTGAAGATATAGTGGCTTTTCACCATCGGGTGGTGCATTTGGAGGTCGATATTTGCCCCTGCAATGGCCATCCAGCACAAGTATTATATATAAAAATAACATGCCACTAAACGCCCTCACGACAGACCTTGATGATCCACTTACCTAGTTATTACCACAGCACCAGTGCACTTTTGGATCTGCAAGGTTAATAGAATAATTAGTCAACCACCAAATAACAACAATAACACTCCACTTCTAACAGAAAGACAATATGTTAAGAACTTTCCAACTATCCTGTCATGAAAACTGACACCACCAAAAAATATTAACCTCTTCCTGTGTTTGCCGCTTTGTGAGCTTGTAGCGTACAGTAGACTCCGCATCATTAATCACAATTTCTCGTGCTATCAACTCATCCTGGATCTTTGGCTACAACATGAAAAAATTATATCAGCCAAAAACAATGGGTATCCAAACCAAATAGATGGGTGCATGCAGAAAACAAACATAAATAAACAAGGAAATACCAGGAAAGGTTTGAGACACAACACTAATTGACTATGAAAATTAAAACGAGGAGACGTGAAAATATCGAGTAGAATTGCAAATTTGAAATGAAAGTGTAAACAAAATAGAGTAAGCATTCCTTTAGTTGAAATCCTTGTCACAAAATATTAAAGAATCACTGTAAGATTGGCAAGACCGGTGTGTCTTTCCAAGCACCCCCTCTCCCCATAAAAAAAATGATGGCCTTCGCAGCCCATCATATGAACAAGAATGGCTTGTAGCAAAAATAATACACACACCACCTCTTATTCATAACCTTGTCAAGCAAATGCAAATATGTGCCCCCCCCCAAAAAAAAAAAAAAAAACCACCTAAAAAAGGCAAAGAAAAGAAAAGGATACCTTTACTTAAATTCAACATGAATATCAAGAATCAAAGACAGATGATCCATTTGTATAAGATTTTTTAGCTGTTATCCATTCCTGGTGCATTATTGCACTTCGAGACAAAAAGAAAAAAAAAATCTAAAGAACATCAAATAGTTCCCATAGGCATCAAGCTTCTAGAAGCGTATATGCTATAGGAAATGAGAAGGAAATATAGTTGCTGTGACCTGTAGTGTTATCTTACTGGATTCATTTTCTGCACCGGTGTAGCTGTGTGTTGCTGTACTAAAGGCACTGGAAACACCTGTGGTGAAGTTTCACAGCTAGCAGTAAGCGGATTCATCAGAGAAACACCAAACATTGGAGATACACCCGGAATTGAAATTCCAGCAAGAGATCCCAATTGACCAAATGGAACAATCCCAGGTAATGCTATTCCCGCAGAAACCAATGATTCTGCAGGCTGGTCCCACTTCCTCTTTTTTCTGCAAAATTTCCTCGCAGTTATAATTATCATCCACAACCACTAATTTGCATTCTTGCTCATTCGAAACAAAACTCGAAAGGGTTAGTCACAAAATTGAAGCAAGTTAATTGAGCCCCAATGTTCATGAAGTGAACTATGTACTTGCCAACTTGGTAATTTATTTTTCCTCATTTTTTGATTGCAGTAAACAAATTCGAATATTTATATTGAACCCCTCTACTTCAATCATCAAAGCTGAACCCAGTTACCAGCAGAAAAATAACAAGTTTAGAACTTTAAATATATATATCTTGATGTAAAAAACTCGGAACTCAAATAATACACAATAAATACATAGGTAAAGCTTCAAAAAGAGCAAGAATCTCAATCAACGCTACCTAACGTAGTTCACACACATCATCAAAACCGAGAGCCGGCATCAATATAGACCTTCAATGATCGACAAAACATTAAGATTTAGGGTTTCAAATATTGAAAAATTGGCATTAATACCCCAAATTCCTAGTCCAATATATAATGCAGAGTCGAGAGCTCCCAGTAAGATACAAATTTGATTACATAAATTCATCAATTTAGTAAGAGAAAGATGAGAAAAAAATTATTTAATGAAAAAAAAATTGAGCACCTTTGTTTTGTGGTTGACGAATCTGTGTAGGCTACGGATTCAGCCGATGATACCCTAGGGCAATTGTCCTCTTCCGTCATGGTGTTGATGCGGTCTGATCCGATGGTGTTGTTCGATTATGTAAAGTATCGAATTGTGATGGGTGTCGAGAACCTTTGACTGGGCGGCCTGGTAGTAGTGGTGGTGGGTTTACCCGTTCACATTAGGAGACAGCGCTTGCAGTTTGGTGTCACTGGTTTGACTTGACCCAAGGAAAGAAAGAGGGGGCAGGGGTAAACCGGTGGTACACTGAAAACAATATTTTATTAAGTATAGTAAAGAAAATATGAATAAAAAGCTGGAATAGCTCAGTTGGCTAGAGCGTGTGGCTGTTAACCACAAGGTCGGAGGTTCAAGCCCTCCTTCTAGCGTTTATGGTTTTTATCCTTCCTTTTTTTTCCTTTCCGTGATTGTCCTTTCTTTTTTCCCCTGATTTTAGGGGAATTTGACTATGATACGAAGAAAAAAAAATTCATATGATATTTTTATTTATCATATTTTTAGTCATTTTGATCATACTAGTCAGTGCACATATGCGTTTTACATGGACTATTTTAATTAGCAAATGAAGTATACTATTATCTAATGCTCCGTTTGGTACGATGAAAAAATGGGAGAATGAAAAGTTGAAAGGATGAAAAGTTGGAAGAATAAATAAAACATCATGTTTGGTAAGGGAGGAAAGTAGGAAGGATAAAAAAGTGGATGAATTAACTTTCCTTCTAACTCACCAAAATCAATCCCTCCAAAATCGAAAGAAAAATGGATGAAAAATTAATTATTTGTGTTGAGATGTATCTTATTTGTCTATAATCTTATGTATACATTAATTTCATATAAAAATAAAATGATAAAATTTGTATATATATTTTAAAAAATTTTAAAAATTAAATTTTAAAAAAATTAAAAATTTAAAAAATTTAAATTAAAAAAAAAAATCACCTTAACTAAGGGTGAAAATTTTAGACTTCAACACGATGACACGACTCAAACTCGAAACAAAAATAAATAGATCAACTCACACTCGACACGACACAATTAGTTAAATGAGTTAAGTTAGGTTTGACTAATATTCAGCACAAACTCGTAATGACTTAACACGAATCTGACAGAACACGACTCGACTCTATTATCACCCCTAATTTTAGTCAGCACAAAAAAAAAATAGTAATTTTTATTTTTCATCCATCCAACCAAACATAAATGAAGAAAAGTGTATTTTTTTTTTTTTACATTCTTGAATGATAGAAAGTGTATCCCTGTTACTTTCCATCATTCCTACTTTCTATCCTCCCTACCAAACTAAAGAATACAAACGTGATTAGATCGATAAAAAGTTAGCTAATAAGTTACAATGATTCATAAAAAGAATTTTTTTTCATATTAAAAGAGTTCCATTTGTAGTACATATATAGATTAATTCATTTTTTCTTTTTTGGTTTGCCATCGTCATAATTCTTTTAAATCTTACCTTCAATGTGTACTTAATTGGTGATAATGTAAAGATAAAACATAATTTTTTACTACTTTACCAAACATTATAATGCGGTCTCAAGAATCTAAAAAGACCAAAATACTCAAATCCAAGCATCACCTTCATATTGTCAAAAACAAAATAGGAGTATGCTTTGGATTTCTTGTTATTCGTTCATTAAGATTACATTCACCTTTTTTTCTATTGATGAGCGGTGATTATGTAATTTCGAGTATTGACAATACCTTCTTTTGATAGATACAATGATTTGTGTATGTTTTTTTTTTTTTGGGTAAGTGATTTGTGTATGTTATTCCTACAAGAAAAATGAATAGGTGTTAATTGATTTATGAGGATTAAACCTAAAAGGATACTTTGTTTCCGCTATAAAAGTTTTCTTTTAAAAAAAAAAAGTACTTGAACTCCTAACCCCGTTGCATGTAGGCCATTTTTGCATATTATTGTTGTCCGTATTGCCAATATTTTCATTATTGAGATTTTAATAAAACAAATAGTCTCTTAGCATTTTTAAAATTGTGTTCGATAGAACTTTTGTAGATAAGTTTCTTGCATGGGGTATGGGAGTTGAATTTCTCTCGGAGCTCATGTAGCACTTACTACTATATTTTATTTCGTCTTTTTTTTTTTGAGGTTTGTTTATAGTCAGATTCTTACTTATGTATTTCATTTTGTTGAAATTTTACTAATATTGTTGGATTCGACATCTGAGCCAAAACAACATGATTAAGCTTTTAGTTCATTCACATGGCCCTTGATATCTTTGAGGCAAATTTGCTTTTAATACAATTTGAGTTGTGAATGTTCAGCACTAATGGCACATTACCTTGGCACAAATTATGAGCATAAGTCTACCGAAAACCAAGATTTTCAAAACATCATATGTAAAGTCTAAAAATTAATGTCTTCCCCTTCTTTTATGTGATATAGGATCCATGAGTTGAAATGAGGTTCAACAAACATATTCTATGAATATATTTTAGATTTAATTTTTCAACAACAATAAAATTTATACAAAATATTTTTTTGTCCATATTTAAGTATCACGTGACAAGTTTATGATAAAAAATCGTTAGCAATCTAGATGCTATATGCTTAAGGGATGATATAGAAACATATTCAATACTTTAGAAATCAAAATGATGCAATTGAAATATTAGGAACCAAATTAAGATAAATCCTATACTTTTGAAACCTCAAATACAATTAACCCTTAAATTTTTAATTCAAACATGAAATTTGGAGATTTTTTAAACTATTTTTACTAAATTCATCTTACCAAAACCCCTGTACCACCTTACCAAACCGACCCTTTAGCGCGTCTACAGAGAGAACATGGGAGCTTTGAATGCTCATAAAAATATGCTGACATGAAGTTAATGGTAACTACTAACATCCATCCTTGGAAAATCTAAGCTATTTAATTCTTATTGAAAAATGGAAACAAAATCACACATCAGGACAGTGTCAACTTGTACTCGATCAAAATAATGCTGCATATAGCTGAGTTCATATCCTGTCGGTAGTGTATAAGTGATATCTCATGTTGTGTTTGATAGAGTCGATATTTTAAGCATTTGACACCTCAAACCCAACTAAACTAAAGATCATTAGCTCCACAGTGGGTAGGCAGTGTCTTGGCGTAATAAGTCTTTTACTGTGATAATGACCGAATACCAAGTTAAGCCGAATGTGGGCCTTAACGTGACTTCCTAACTGCTGTTTTATCTATCTCATTAACTGTGGAATCCCCATCAGGACAGTGTCAACTTGTCCTCAATCAAAATAATGCTGCATATAGCTAAGTTTATATCCTGTCGGTAGTGTATAAGTGATATCTCATGCTGTGTTTGATGGAGTCGATATTTTAAGCATTTGACACCTCAAACCCAACTAAACTGAAGTTCATTGGCTCCACAGTGGGTAGGCAGTGTCTTGGCGTGGCACCACCGTAGCCCCAAATTGGGATTTTTCAATGAAAATTGGAGGTGTTTTTGTTTGTTCTGCATTGACTTCCTTTACTTGTTTGGGGCTCTGTTATCGGATAGTTCGTCATTATAGACCATGGTGGCTTCTACGCTGGCCGGATCATTGCCAATTGGAGGGACTAACATGAAATGCAGTACAGGAAACTTGGTGGGTCTAAAGGTTTCAGCAGCAGGAGGTGGTGGTGTTGGTGGTAGGTTTCCGTCGTTTCTTCCCAAAGAAGTTCACAAAGTCAAAGAACCGTTTGCTTGAACTTTGGCTCAGAGGATTCAAAGGCTTCCTGTACAGGTCTCTCTCTCTCTCTCTCTCTCTCTCTCATGCATGCCTAGATATGACTGCGTTTTAGCATTTGGTTTACTGTTGCTTTTGGCCTTTTGTTTTGTTTATTTGGATAATGTACAAGGAGATCAAGGTGTTCAACTCCTTATAATTAAAATGCTTGTCAAGTTCATTCAATTGTAACAAAAATATTATCATGATTTACCTTGAGATATGCCTAGTTTCACAAAAAAGGGTCACTCTAAACGAGGGTTCACACTCAAATAAAAGAAAAAAGAAGCCTATTCCCATCTTACCTATATCATGATATACAGTGAACATTGGAAGCCAGAAGCAGTTAATAAAGCATATCATAATTTATTTTTTTGTTTTTTGATTGCCAACGATGAGTTTTGAACTCTCACTCCTGCCCTTTATGAAGATGTCACATCAATGCTTAACTAGCTCCGCTACAACGCCTTTGGAATATCCTACTTTAACTTGAACTATGCATTCGAGTGACTATGTATTTTTTCAATTGTAATGTGGAAGAAAAGTTCAAATGGTACCTAACTATTTGCTTCTGCGATTGGAAAAAATTGTTGGTATGTGGCCCCTTGAATTGTGAGGCTCTAGTGATGTGCTTGTGATATTGCAGATTGGATTTTCTGAAAGTTGTATAATGAGTAGCTGTGTGAAGCCCCACATACAAAGTGAGACCAATCCAGTGGTCCTTCTCCATTGTTTTGACAGGTTTGTGGTATATGAAATTTGTACTGAATAATTAAGACTTAAGAGAAGAGATCCCTTATGAACCTTCTTCTTTACGTTTGTACTTAGCTCTTGTTTAGAATGGAGATGCACATACCCCTTGCTCGAAGAGGCTGGTTTGGAGACTTGGGCTGTTGATATTCTTGGATGGGGTTTCTCTGATTTAGGTTTTTCCCTAATTTAAATCTGCTCTTTAACAAAGATAATTACATATTTACTTTCCTGTTTTTCGATGTGCTTTATTTTGGTCCGCATCTTGTTTTGTTGTGTCTCATTTTTTTTCACTTTAATAGAAAGACTTCCGCCATGTAATGCAGCATCAAAGCGTTATCATCTGTACCAGGTATTTTCATACATTTTTGTAGTCCTATTCAATTGCATTTGGTTTTTCTATCGCTTGGCTTCATTCACACTGGCAGGACTTCACTTTATGTTCCTTGTAGCTATACTAGTATTTAACCCTCAATGTTTGAACTTCTAAGTTGGATTACTTACATTTATATGACAGCTTTGGAAGTCTTACATAAGAAGGCCGATGATATTAGTTGGACCAAGTCTTGGTGCTGCTGTTGCAATTGATTTCGCGGTCAATTTTCCGGAAGCTGTAAGAATTTGATTCAAGTCTAACTCTAAGTACATATTCATGCTGCATGCAATGTTGATCCATAGTCTGATTCATTGTAGTCAATTCTTAACTCTGAAATACAACCCCACATCCCAAATATATGTTGTTGGCGAAGTTCTTGTGGTTAGCTGTTGTAGAGCTTCCTAATAGTAATTCCAATAGGATTCAAAACCTCAAGGTGATTTGGGCACAATATGAAGCAATGTGGGATCCAAGTAATGTCTCACAGGAGGTTATTGGAAAAGTTTCGAGTGATTGAATTGATTCTTTTTCCTTGCCCTTTCCAATGAAGAGTCTTCTTAATTCTACATAATGTAGAATTCAAAAATATTGTAGCTCCCTTTTTGTCAGCTAAGTGGTGGCTATCCCTCTCCAATTTGAAGAGTGTTGAGAAGGGGTTGAAAGCACACCTGCCTGTAATTTATAAAGTAAATTGAGAGCTCTCTGCCTTACAGTCTGCAAACTGTGCTGGAACTACAGAATGTGGAAGTCACACAGTTTTCAAACTAGTTTTTATCATAGGAGATGACAAATTCAGTCGACAATGTTACATCTTTTGTTCAAGGGATTTTGAGCTAGATATCACATGTACACTAGATATGCATGTATAAGAGATTCTGAAATCATTTTCATGCAATTACCATTAGAAGTTTTGCACTACTATAGGCCCTATGTGGGTCTGAGATCTAAAATTTGTTAGCTTGGTGCCCCCACACTGGCACGCATGTCTCTCTTTATGATCTTGTTAGTGCTTATGAGCTATTCTCGCATTTTGCAGGTTGAAAAAATGGTTTTGATTGATGCAAGTGTGTATGCAGAAGGCACAAGATTCCTGGCAAAGCTACCTAGAAGGATGGCCTATTCTGTTGTAAGTCATGAATTCCTTTATTGTTAAGCATGCACTGCCCAACCATCTTTTTTTTTTTTTTTGCACTAGGTTTCTCTATTGAAGAGCATCCCACTACGATGGTATGCGAAGTTATTGGCTTTTGATGGTATATCACTAACTACGAGTTTAGACTGGACCAATGTGAGCTTGTTCTTTACTCTTTTTTATTGAAAAGCTACAGTTAAAAAAACTGGAAACTTACATACTCTAGAGTTGTATTGTGGCTCATTTGCAACGTCAGCCAACTTAGGTGTTTGGTGAGATCTAATTGAGTTGTCATTGTTTTTGTTACAAATTAGGTCGGACGCCTACACTGTCTGTTACCTTGGTGGGAAGATGCTACAGTTAATTATCTTCTTAGTGGGGGTTATAATGTTACTGGCCAAATAAAACAGGTATTGAAGAATTTCAAGTCTCACTTGTATAGGCATTTCATGTAATTACTGCCAAGTAGCTACCAAAACGCTCATTATCCTGCCGATTTAAGGCTCTCATGCAGCCATGGCATTTGATGATTGCATATTCCAATGAAAATGCTTGCTGTTCAGGCTGATTATAAGCATGCATCCATCGGTCATCTTTGTTGCATGTTTATATTTTGTTTTTTTTCCACAATTACTCTATGACTGCTTTCTCCCTAAAATAATTTGCAAGGCCGGGAAAAACGAGAGTTTTGATGTCACCACACTCTTTGATCCCATTGAAGCTACCTGAAGTTTAGAGTTAATAATACGGGACTTAAACGTGATGTGTCATCAACATAGGACCAACTTCCAAGAGACTTCATTATTGTTATGATGAACAAGTATGGTTTTGAGGATATTGTATGGAATCAAGCCTGCCAAATGATGGTCTAGTTCTACCGCTGTGGCACAGTCAAGAGTGCTGGTTTCATACACAATTCTTTCTCATGCTTGATTGATCAGAATTTAAGAAATCTGTGTCGTCAGCATTTTCCTTCATGATTTAGAGACTCAATAAATTCTCTGCTTCTGGTACTAATGTCACAGTAGAACAGCTATAATGTTGGTGGAGCTTCTTTCAAAACAAATATTACAAAACATTTCTGATTATTATCAACTATGCTTTGATTTGTCGTTATACAGGTGAAACAGGAAGCACTTATTATCTGGGGTGAGCATGATAATATCATCAGCAACAAGCTAGGAGCTGTCAGTCCTGAACTTTTAGTCCTTCATATATGAGGTCCAAATTAGCAAACGGTAGAACAAGAACTAACCCTTATATGCATACGAAGTGCACACACTGCTTTTAGGCTTTACTGGAAATATATACTTTGGGAACTAGGCATCAGTCCCCCACTTCCAAATGAAGAAGGGTTCAATATTTTAGCGACCTCCTCGACTGTGAAGGTGCTTAAAGCTATTAAACTGGAAGAAACGCCAGAACCCAGCATGATCTTGCTTATGAAATGCTTATCTCACATCATTTCAATTTCATATTGCATCCTAGATTTAAGTTTTAGGGGCCTGTCAACTACTAACAACAAGTTTCAACCTCAAAATACTGGTAGTTGTATAAGTTCGTCTATGTTGTGTTTGTTTCGACTGTTTCTGACATTTTGTGGTTGAACTATAATGCAGAGACTGCAGAGTGAACTACCAAATGCGATTATGCGCCAAATACCAGAATGTGGTCATCTCCCTCATGTCGAGAAGCCCCACTCAGTCGCAAAGCTGATTTCTGATTTCGCTCGATGTGGTAACTGTGAGGAAAGGCAAATTTCTAACTCCAGTTGATGATTTTCCTTTTGAACACTTCACCATGTCTTTTATATAGAATTAAAATGTTTATCTCAAAGCAAAAACCAAAACGGAATAGAGGTTGGAGATGCAGGGTATCGAACCCTGTACGTCTCGCATGCAAAGCGAGCGCTACATCCCCTTGTTTGTAGTTTAATAAACCTGATTATCAATTATATTCTTAATTGTTGTTAGCTATTATTTGATGAGGTCTGAAGATCCAAAAACAACAAACCTCTGCATATGGGCTAAAATGTTCAAATGGGTTTTTTTTTTTGGGTAGGACAATGGATTGTGCAGAAGAATATTGAATTGTATCTATCTTTTCGTAAATTTTGTGAGTTATATTTTATTATAATTTGCTCAATTCATACGTGAAGTATTTATAATTGTACTAAAATTAATGTGGTGTATATATAATTTTGTATCAATTTTGTTTTAGTTTGATAGATCATGTAAAAAGTAGCAATTCTAATTATAAGTGCGATGATTCCCAATACATGTCAAAGAAATTATAATCGAGAAGAGGAGGGTAAGATGGAGTTGTGTTTTCGTAAACCGCTTGATTTAGAGTGAAACTCATGATAAAACCTATTAGCAATCTGGGTCACAACTGTTGGGATTTAACACGATTTAAATTCACTAACAAACACACACAATCGAAGAACAAATCAAGAATATAAAGTAATAAGAAACAAGAAAGAACAAGACACAGATTTTACGTAGTTCGGCAATTTGCCTACGTCCACGAAGCTGCAGGGATTTCACTATTGAGAGAGTTGAATACATAGAGAGGCTGTACAATCCACGATTAACCCTAATTACCAAAACAACAGGGTTTATATGTCCTACGCACTGGGCTGAATAACGGGCGTTGCTCCCGAAACAAAGCTTGTCCATGAGCGCTACGGCTTGAGCCTATCGGCCCAAGCTTTCGCTCCATGGATTAAGCCTCAAAAAATTTTTCATTAAAAATCACACAACATTACCTCGGATCGGGTCATTCATCCGGATCACATATACAAACTAAACTCCATAAAAAAAAACCAATAACAACCTTCATTTTAAGATTTCAAATGAGAATGAGGCATTTGATGTAACCTAGGAAAATCAGTTCATATAAAAGGCATCATGCCTGATGTTACGATTGTAAGGATCTTTCCTTGAATAATTTATGTCGACTAATTTTTTATAAAAAAAAGTCGAATTTGTAGTGATGGCAAATACTCACGTACCGCCGCTCCACTTGATAGTTTTTAATGTTTCTTTAGAAGGTTTTTCTGTTTGTTCTTTAATCTGTCACTTCGATTGAAAGGAGCTTGATTGGTTGGGTTGAAGTAAGAGGGGCATCAAAAGTACCCCCTATCTTTTCAATCCAACTAGATTACTTCTTTTCAATGTTTTTATATATAATTTGCCTTGCAATCTTATACAAATCAAGGGTAATAATTGACTATAAAATTAGGGTTGATAATGAGTTGTGCTGGTTTGTGTGGTGTCAAAATTTGCTCAATTCATGTCTTACTCAAGACACTTTTATAATCATGCATATTCGGATTAGTATTGTAAATAAGATGTGTTTAACTAATTTTGGATCGACCTATTTATCTTAGAGTCTAACGGGTCAATTCGTCTATGAATCAAATCCATTAAAACGAAATCATACATTCTAACGCTTATAAAACACGGAAATAATAGATATTTTTGTTTTTCCCATCACAATTTAAAAGCATCAGCAGCAGTGAATTGGCAAAAGGACAAATAAAAGGCGTAGATTCCCAGCTTAGACACAAATAGAAGCTAAAGCTTTTGGACAAAGCCATGAGCCCAGACATATCAACTACTCCCTCAAGCTACCAATAAAAGAATAATGACACTCAACCCAAAACCATAAAGATATTTGCTGAGTCCAGAAAGTGAACCAGAGAAGAAGAATGGGCAACCCCCATATTTTGATGATATCTTATCCAGCACAAGGCCATGTTATTCCCTTGATGGAGCTTGCACAATGCTTAGCCCAACATGGCTTCAAAATCACATTTGTGAACACTCAGATCACTCACAAACGTGTTCTAAATGCAATGGCAGGAAAAGAAATTTTAGGGAATCAAATTCATCTAGTTTCAATCCCGGATGGATTGGAAGAAGAGGATAGGAGTATTCCAGGGAAGTTAACTGATTCAATCCTCCGAGTCGTACCGGGGAATCTTGAGGAGCTAATAAAAGAGATTAACGAATCAGTGGATGACAACATATCTTGCCTTATTGCTGATATAAGTATTGGATGTGTTCTAGAAGTTGCTATGAAGATGGGGATCCGGCGAGCAGCCTTCGTGCCTGCAGCAGCCACTGTAAGGGTCTTGGGATCCAGCATTCCAAAGCTAATTGGTGATGGAATTATCAACAACGATGGTGAGACCCTTCATCACTAAAATTAATTTCTTCTACAAGAGCATAAAACAGTAGAGGTCAGCAATTTTTTTCTTGGGTGACGATAATTACTGTAAGTGCTTAAAAGCCAATTTCAGACTGGAGTGGAGAGAACCAGAAATTTATCTCAGATAAAAGTACTCTGGATAAGCATGGTAAACCAAATGAAAAATTTAGGGAAAAATAATGCATAGTTGGTCTGAAACAGTAGTGGATAATTAACAATGATGCTCAGCCTATGGTGTACAGACTATGCAACATATTGTACCATCGAATCACTCTGGTAGAAATACAAGATGCATGAAAAACGAATAGATGGGCTTAATTTAAGGAATAACACTAAGAAGAATAACCAATTACTACATCTAGCACAAATATCCAGTTATTTTGGCTCAATATATCAATCATAATAGGCGTAAAAGAGGACTACAAAAGTTGCGTGGCCTTGCAGGCTTTGACAAACTAGAAATACAGGTGTTCTATTATATCATTGATTTCGAGTGGTCGAAAGGATCAAAATTGATTTTGTGAATGCAAAAAAGCAGTGTAAAAAACAATATCAACAATTAACCAGTGACTCATGGAACTCAGGATTGTAAGTTTAGAGTAGGGAAGAACTGAAGAAGCATATGTGGAGGGCTGTTTGATCAATGACTTCAGTTCAAATGATAATTGCAGGAACTCCAACGAAGAACCAGACGATTCAGCTGTCACCAAACATGCCCGCCATAGATACAGCAAATTTTGTGTGGAGTCGTGGTGGCAACATTGCCATGCAGAAAATGATTTTTGAAACTGCGGTAAAAAGCAATGAAGCTGTGAAACTTGCAGACAGGCTGATTTGCAACTCAAATTATGACCTGGAGCCCGGAGCATTTTGCGCAGCACCAGAGATTTTACCTATTGGCCCACTTTTGGCAAGCAACCGGTTTGGAAATTCAGCTGGATACTTCTGGCGAGAAGACTCTACTTGTCTAAAATGGCTCGATCAGAAGCCAACCTGCTCAGTCATATATGTTGCATTTGGCAGCTTCACAGTTTTTAACCCCAACCAGTTCCAAGAATTAGCACTGGGGCTTGAGCTGACCAACAGACCATTCCTGTGGGTTGTGCGGCCAGATATTATGGATGGCACAGACAGCGGTTACCCAGAAGGATTTTTAAAAAGAGTTGCAGCTCGTGGGCAAATGGTGAGCTGGGCACCTCAGCAGAAGGTACTGAGTCATCCTTCTATTGCCTGCTTCGTGAGTCATTGTGGTTGGAACTCTACAATGGAAGGTGTAAGCACTGGAGTCCCTTTCTTGTGCTGGCCTTACTTCGTCGACCAGTTCATTAATGAGAGCTACATTTGTGATGTCTGGAAGGTGGGATTGGGGTTTGAACGAAATGAGGGGGGTATCATCACCCATGAAGAAATTAAAACTAAGATTGAACAATTGCTCGGCAACAAAATATTCAAAGCCAGAGCTTTGGATCTCAAGGAAATGATAATGTGCAGCATTAGAGAAGGAGGTAGCTCGTACAAGAACTTGACCAATTTCATTGAATGGATGAAGGCATAGAAATGTGTTCATGCTATGATCAAACATTGATGTAAAAACCCCTAATTTTGTGAAAGCAAAATGCAAGAATAGGGATTTGGTATGTGATCCTTTCTCTCTTGGATTATGACAAAGCTGATATATATGAATCCTATCAAATTACCCATGCTAGAACACCCTGTCGATGTACCCAAATCAGCTTGTTCAATTTCCATCATGGGTGGAAAGTTTCAGAAGATAATCAAGTTAAAAAAAAAACCTCTAGTCAAGTTACTGCTTCAAATTTCAATGCCCTTGATCTATCATTGGAAACAGACAAACAATAGGTCTAGTTGGTACTCAAAGGGACTTTATCCATCAAAGAATGGCAGATATAACCAAGAAAGTTGCAAAAGTGAAACTCTTATCTCCAACAAAAAGCTCCATGCTTCTGGGGGAATGACACATTTTTTATGAAGTCTGTGGAAATTTGATTCAAGACGCCAGATTTATCGTGTCCCGAAAGGTGTAAATCTACTTCTTCTGCTTAAACAACAATAAGAAGCAGAACATGATTCAGGAGGCTATTAGACAGTTCAATCCAGCTAGATGACCATGACTTCTCCTTTATATTATTATTATTATACATATCTAAGCTGGCTTGCAATCTCACACTTCTAGATACGAGAGATCTTATTTACTAAAATTTATATTGGGGAACCCTCCTGTCTTTAACATTACTAGTCTAGCCAGAAACCTTAATAATGAAGATGGAAAGGAAACAAGGACAATAATTGACATCAAAGCTCGTGGGAGAAAAAGACTACGACAGAAAAAGATTCAAGAATTTAGGACATTTTCATTAGTTTTCGTTACTCATTCCGTCAACTTCAATAGATCTGAGAGGTTCTATGGATCGCCGCCAGTTGATGGGAGTTGCTGACGTAGGCGCTGATTGCTGTAAAGGGTTGTGTTGGTCTAAAAGAGTTGTGTTCATTGAAATAATGTGGCCTTTCTTGAGGTATTTTGAAGGATTAAAGCCAAATTGTATAGCTTTAGAAGCTAATTCTTTCGTTTGATTCCTGTAATTCTAGTTTTATTCTATAAAATTCTTTTCTTTAAAAAAAAAAACTTCAATAGAGTGGATTTTGACGAATCAATAAAAGGTAATGGAAGGGCTTCATTGAAACGTCAACTTTAATATATTGAAGGTGCAATATAAAAAGTCTCATCTTTTAAAGTATAAAAATAAAAAAATTTAAATCTTTAAGGGTACAAATGAGATTCCCCCTAGATTAATACCTTTTGGTTAAAGAATAGTTATTTATAGAGTTAATAACACTTTTAGTTTCTAAAATATACCTGTTTTGTCAATTTGGTTTTCATTATATTAATTTTGTTAATTTGATTCTTAAAGTTTTAATTCGTGTTACTTTAATCTCTAATCAGACAATTTGTTAACTTTTTTTTAGAGAAGTGATCATGTGTCATTTTTTCAGATTGTATCACATGTCCAACACGTGATCATTTTGTCAAAAACTTAAAGGTCAATCTAAGTATGGATCATTTAAACACGAATTGAATATTTTTGTTATCAAATTGACATAATTGATATTTTTGGGATCAAACTGACAAAAAATACATATTTGAAGGGCTAAAAATGTTATAAGCTTGATTTATGCGTTACCTCCTGTTCAACTAATTAGTGGCGTGATTAGTACGAGTCAATCGATAACACAGATGCAGTCTTGTGGATTTAAGTTACTGAATGTCTCTTGCCATTCAAAATACATCAATTATTATTTATTAATTAGAAAGTATAAATACGAATCCAGGATATAGATACGAATTTTTGAATGTTCGATATGTATTTTTTAATATTCGATGAGTATCATATCCAATACGGATATATGACATTTATGAAATATTTGTGTTTCAGAGACTGCTACCAAAAAATCCTTATACGTCGGAATTTCCATTGAAAGAAACTCCCATGCCGAAACAGATGTTTCAACTGCAAATTTACCGTGGGCTGGCTTTGGTGATTTTACCACACAAAAAGTAATGTTTGAAGCCTTCGTAAGAAGTAAAAAACAGTACAAGTAGCAAACTGGACGGACTTTTTACATATAATTTTATTTAGAAATAATGAATATTTTTGTAACTTAATATTTTTGTACATAATATTTTTGAATTAAAAGTAGAGTTAAAATGGATAAAAAAAGGTTCAAATCTCCCTCCCTCTTCCCAAAAAAAAAAAATAATAATAATTTTATTTATAAATAAGGGATGAACTGCATCATAATAGAATGAAAACATCACAACTAGATAACACCTACCCATCTATCTATTATTTGCACAATTCTACCCTTTAAAATGTGTATGTTTAATACATGCAAAATAAAAGAATACATTATTTATAATATCCAAATTTTTAAAACTTGAAATTCCGGCACTGTGGGACCTATTTCTATGTTTTGAGTGAGCTGGGCCACGCTGGGCGAGTTCTTGGGCCGAGTTTTAACGGGCTTTTGTGGATGGACTATTGAGTTGGGTAATTAGTTTGGGATAAACCCTTTTTTGAAGGATATTGGGCTCGGGTAGGACTATGGGATTTCGAGCCTATTTTTTGGGTTGGATAATGAGACCCGTGGACAATCCAACCCATTAACACCCCTATTGGCAAGCAACCGGCTTAAAAAGTCTTCGGATCACTTTTGGCCGAAAAACTCAACTTGCCTTATATGGTTGGACCATCAGTCAATTCAGTAATCTACGTTGCATTAAATATTTTTTCCTGATATCACCATTTTAATGAATATTTTTTTTTGAAAAGTTGGACGGATGGTTGGTTGGGGACGTCAACATAATATCTTAAATCATCCTTCTATTGCTTGTCTCTTAAGGTATTGTGGATGTAACTCTACAATGGAGGGTGTAAGTGCTGGAGTCCCTTTCTTATGCTGGCCTAACTTTTGCTGACCAGTTTCTAAACCAGAGCTAAATTTGTGATGCTTGGAAGGTTGGATTAGGGTTTAACCGAGAAAAAAAGTGGTATCATCAATCATGAAGAAATCAAGAAAGTGGAGCAGCTGCTTGAGGATGAAACATTTGAAGCAAGGGCCTTGGATCTTCAAGAAAAGGCCATGAATGGTATCAAAGAATGCGGCTTCTCCACAAAAAAATATCAACAATTTCATTCAACGGTTGAAGGAAAGAAAAAATAATTCAAGCACTAAACACGATTGACCTCCACCACCATTGCCAAGCAACCACTCCTATACAACCATCTCCAACATGCCACTGTCACCATCACCATCATCTCATTCTCTCTATCACAACCCCACCACCATCACCACACCGTGCTCACATCTGCTGTTGCACTCCTGAGGGAGGTGGCAATAGTGCGAGTGGGATAATGGCGGTGGTGGCAGTGGGTGGTGGTAAAGGTGGGGTATAGGCGGTGATGACGACATGATGGTGGTGTGATGGAGATGGTAGACGTGGCGGAGGCTGTGGTGATTGGGACATTAAGAATAGTAGTAATAATTTCAATGCTATCAAGATTATTTTAATTATATTTCATTTCATTCCAATGAAAATGTTGATTTATGACAACATTAAAACGGATTATCAATTGTATTTGACTCTTCATCCTAATTGTTGTCAAACATCAAAATAATAATATACTTTTCATTATATTTTCAAGGTCATTCAATTTCTACTTTCATTCCCGAATAAAAGAATTATCGCCTACCAAAACCGAAGTGGAAGTCTGAGACAGTCAAACAATGTATCTACTTGTTCGTTGATGCCAACAGAAAAATGTTGTCGATTGTTGCCCTTCATTGAAAGGAATGAAAACGACAAGCAAGAGAAGCGGCAACACAGCGGCCGCTCAAGTAATTTGAGATTTAAAATTGAAACACCAAATAATCTTTTTATTTTTAGTATTAATTTTAAAAAAAATTAATTTATTTTAAATTTTTTATGTCAGAGAGACAAAAGAAAGCTGCGCTAGTAAATGTTTTAACTTTTGTTTTTGTCTTTTATCAAAGAGAGAGTTTTAATTTCAACTTTTATTTTTGTTTTTTAATTTTTTTTACCAGAGAGAGAGGAGTGGGGTAAATATAAGTTCATTTTTGAGTACTTTTTTAATTTTTAATTTTAAGATTTTAATGTTGTGAATTGGATCATGAACCCAAATTATTACAATAAAAATTTCGATTGGATTTAATTTTTTGAAGCTTTTTTTAGGCTTAAAATTTAATGGATTAATTTTTTTTTTTTGTGGACTAGTAATGTATCTAAAATTATGGGACCTTCTACAAATTTGAGCTGAGTTTAACTTAAGGGACTTATAATGAGTTTAGTCTACTAAGGAAACTTATTTGGGGTAATGTTATCAGAACCGGATCGGACATCGAGCTGATGAAGGGACCAAATTAATGGTTCATTGGTTCAACTAGTCGAATCGATCATCTAATAAAAAAAATTATATCAACTAAAAAAATATGAAACATATCCATAATACATATATAATTTACTATAAAATTAACACCTTTAACACATAATCTTATCAAAAAAAAAAAGTAAAATAGTAAATAGAGTAGCAAGAAGATATTTGGAAATTATTTCCCTTATATATAATGTGTATAATAAAGGAAAAGACAAGACTGGTCTGCCTTTTTGTGTTTGCAAGATGAAAAAGTTGTATTATTTTTTTAGATTTCAAATCAATGACAAAAAAAATATTAAATTTGTGTAAGTTGGTGTAGACTAGTGTTCATTAGGTGGTGGGGTGTGCGTGTTCAATAGACGGGGAGAGAGGGAAATAGACATAGAAGAGATAATATGAGATCATGAAAATATTCGTCGTCTGAGAGTTAAGGCTGTTCGTTACCTGAGTTAGAGAGATGGAGTGAAAAGAGTCAAGGTTGTTTGCAGCCTGAACTGATGAGTGGAGGGAGCCTAAGTTCCGAGTTGGTCACCTAAATTGTTACTTGTCGATCTTATCTCCAACTGTCTTGTTTACAAAATTCGTTCGATTCACGGTTCTTATTCAAAATCGACCGATTTTACGATTTTCAAGTTGTTTGATTCGTTAAGCAGTTTAACTAAAGAATCGGACCGTTTTAAGTCCCAGCTCACGGTTCAACTGGTCTAATCGACCGATCCGATCCGGTTCTGATAACTATGCATAGAAGAGATGATATGAGATCGTAAGATTATACGTCGCTTGAGAGTCAAAGTTGTTCGTCGCCAGAGTCAAAGAGATGGAGTGAAGAGAGACAAGGTTTTTCGAGCCTTGTGTTGCCGAGTGGAGGTCGCTTAAGCTTCGAGTTGGTCATCTGAACTGCTGCTCGTTGATTTGATCCCCAATTGTCCAGTTTACAAAATTCGTGCGATTCATGGTTCTTGTTCAAAATCGGCCGATTTCACAGTTTTCAAGCGGTTTGATTCCTTAGGCAGTCGGATTGTGTTTAGGTCCTAATTCACAGTTCAACCGACCGATCCGGTTCGATTTTGATAACTATGATTTGGGGATAATTTTTTTTAATCTTATTAATAAATAATTAAGTCTATAATTTTTTTAAAACTCCAAAATATCCTTCTAATGATTTTTTTTTTCTTTTAATGACTTAAAAGTAATGTTAAACATTAAATCAATTTCTTAAATAGTTATCCCTTGATTCAAACTTGATGAAAGATTTTTTTCATAAATTTTGAAATTTAAATTTAAATTTAACATCATTACCATATCTCTCTCTCTCTAACGAGCATGAAGATGGGTTCTTCTTCAGGTTCCAAATCTTCGTGCTTTTCACTCTTTTCGCCACTTCATGCATAGCACATGCTCCAGGAACAACACCAAAAATCTCACCCACCGCCACGCCCACTTCGTCCCCAATAGTGGCGCCACCAACTTCGTCATTATCTCCAACCCCAGTTCCTGCACCAGCTCCGTCACCCAAATCACCATCTCCATCTCTGACTCCTACACACACCCTATCACCATCTCCTTGCCAGATAGTTCGTCTAACTATTGTTACATGGTTATTTTGTGATGGTGTGTACTGAGAGAAGAGTGAGGGAGAGATAGAAAAAGTGATTTTGAAGGTTCTAAAATACGAGAGAGGCCTCCAGAATCAAATTAGTGTGCGTGTTACTATTTTTTTTTTAAATATTAATATTGAATGTTATTATTTTTTTAAAATATTAATTTTTAATGACTATTTTGTTATATTTTTTGATGAGTATGTTATTGTTAGTATTGATTGTTACAATTTTTCTTGACTATGTTACTACTATTATTTTTTTAAATATTAAAATTTAATGTTACTATTTTTTATTTTTAATGTTATTATAATATATATATATCTATATAATAAAATAAAACAAAGTTTAAATCCAAAAGACAAAGAAAAGTGCATATCGTTTTAAAACAAAATATAAACACATCTGATAGACAATATAATTTTAACATAAAATATAATTTAGATCATAGTGATATGACAATCTATAACGGAACTATATTTTTCTTTCCCGTCTGACAACATTTCCTAACTCTCCCTTTACTCTCTTAGAGACTTATCACCAATGAGACTCTCAAGACTTATCTCAACCTGAATTATATTTCTGATTTGTCCCATACGTCGCTCACTCACTCCCTCCCACTCAAAATACATCTCTCGATGAGCCTGCATTTCACTGTCTCTCATAACTTATCACTCTCTGCTGCCTCTGTCGCTGCCAGCTACCGCCACCGCCAGCCATCATCACCACCAACAATACCATTCTCTCTATGGGTCACCGGACCAGCCAGTTGTCGGAATAGCTACGCCAGCCAAGTACTCCATCTCTCTCACCTTCCCTCTAAACTCTCACATATACAGATTCGACACTCACACATAGATTTGGCACACACACAACACAGATTCACTCACACACATCTTTAGTTGATTTATTCTTTGTGATTTCTGATCTTAGATTTGGGACAAGACTATAACCTGTTGGGAAAGAAACTTCACTAGAAATGGAAATTCTTTGAATTTTTTGTTTGATTTCATTTATTTTTTGGCGATTCTTGAGTGGACAGAGGGTTTAAATTGGACAAAAATTCTTAAAGAGCTACGGTGGTACGACTGCCACCACCACCATTGGTTGTTTTGAGTTTGTGATTTTTTGTTGAACAAGGTTACTGCCACCCAATTTACGAAATGTTGATACTTGGTGCCATCTTTCATGCAAGTGCCATCTTTGGAGCAAAACAAGGAAGATGAAGCAGTATCTTCATTTCATTAAATAATGTCGGTAACTTGAAAAAACATTCACTTTTCAACTTTGTACTGTATTTTCCCTCATGACCACTGGCAATGGTGAATGATGTAATGTTTCCCCCAAGCATTTTTTTCCTCAATTGATTGTAATTTTTTTTATTATTTTGTTGTATATATATATATATATATATATTTTTTTTTTTTTGCAATATCCTCTTTTTTATTACTCAGACTATGAACGATAAAGAAGGCTAATTTGTCATTGTGTAAGTTCTTTTCTTTGCTCCACCACAGGGTTCATTTTTTTTTTTGCTTAGTTATGCATGTTTTATTTACTTTATGATTTTTAGTTAATGTCACTAAGTTTCATGTAAGCAACTCTACTTCAATTTGAAGAACTGAATTTTCTATTTGAACGGAGTTAGAGTGATTATAATATGTGCTTCATTTGGATAATGAGTAATCCTGGTGGATTTTTTGTTTTTATTTCATTTATTTTTTTGGTTTGATTCCATTTGTTGATTGATTCTGATTCTCAAATTTTTCTTCCGATCATTGTAAAACCTGTGAATTCACAAGCCCATTAATCAAGTTATCAAAAAATAGAATTGGAAAGCAAAAAATTATGGAGAAAGTATAGAAAATTATAGAAAATAACCTCTACGAGTATGAACAAGGTTAACCTATACATTGTAACAAACACAGTTTAGTTACCTGCGCTCAAATAATTTTTTATTTTTAGTTGACTTGGGTGGTTAAATGATAGTTGTTTGTATATTTTTTGTACTAAATTATAGAGAAAGTGAGATCAAGATGCTCTAATCATCTTCTACATCCCCAATATACCAGTTGTGAAGGGAATTTAGTGCAATTAGTTTCTTTTGGTTTGGTGCAATTAGATTCTTTTGGTTTCGACCACTTTGGTGCAATTATGCAATTTGGGCCCTTCTTTATGTACTATGGACTTCACAAGCAATTCATGGCATTGATGGTTTAATCTTAAACTTCACAATTTTGTTTGCTTTAGCCATGGATTACCATAATTCGAAGTGGTGAGGTTTTTGAGATTTTGTGCATTAGCAACATTGATGCTCATGTTTATTGATAGAGAAATCTTTACTCTGAAAGCAATATTTTATTATTTTATTTTATTGCCCAAACATTAATTATTTTTTTTTGATAAGACATGTTAGTACATTTATCTTTGAAATTGGGTTTAGTGAGCGATGAAGATTTCACCTTTTGTCAGGTATATTCTTAAAGTCACATCAATTTTTTTAAGTTTACATTCTTTAGCATTGCACCTGTTGTTGTGACGAGCTCTATGCTTTGCCACCCATTTTTGTGGTAACTAACATGAATAGGTGAGAAGTGAGTTTGGATTCTATGTTTTTAGGGAATGAGTGATTATTATACAAATATCCTTCTACACAGTAGAGGATTTTATGGAGTTGAACTGCATACTAATTGGAGGATCTCAGGCTATATATATTGGATATTGCAAATTAGTTGTGTGTGTGGTCTGATATTCATGTTGGTCAAATTGTGTGAGAAAACGTCATTGGTGCTGCATTTACTATAAGCAGTTGGTCACTTTATGATTAGCAAACATAAAAAGTTTTACTTCCCCTATTTCCTATTGTTTCATGATGTACCATATATTATGAGACTATTCTATAGTAATTGTATGGTTTGTTGTCTTATTTACTACTACTTGCGGTACTTAATATTGTAGTAAGTTGTATTGATGAATTTTTATTTATTTTTTAATATGGTGCATTCAAACACAAGTCTTAATGCTTTGTGGGGGTACTATGCAATTTATGATACATGGGTTGAAAGCAAATTAGATTGTTTATATGATTGATTTGTTTATACATGTAAAATTTTAATTCTTAGTTCAAATTTAAACACACACGCATAAAATCCCATTACATGTTTGATTTTGTTTGAATTATTATATTGAATTGGTTATGGAATGATATTATGAGTATGACTGTAACGTGAATTGATATAAGTTGTATTTCTTTAATTAAATGTTTGGTTATATAAGTATGTGCACATGGTAATATTGTTTGGGGGCCATATTTTTAAGGTAAATTTTGTCGATTTTTTTTAAAAAAAATGGCTCATATTGATTTGTAATTTTTCTCAATTTTCTTGATTAGTTATTGTGTAATACAGAATATTGGGGCGTGAACAATTCCTTTCGATTTTTTTTTATGAGTTATATAGTGCCTTTAGGTACGGACAATTACTAGTATATATATGTGTGTATGCGTGTGAGAGAGAGAGAAAAAAAATTAATAAATAGACATATTCTATATATATATATAAATAGATATGAGAGAGAATTTTAATGTTAGTTAAACTCCTAAATTTTAAAAATTGTTAATTTTTAAATTTATTTTAATTAAATATAATAATTGAGGATATTTTAAACAATAAAGATCAAAATAAACTTTATATTAAATAAATTTCATTTTTAAACTTCTCACCAAATAAATCCATAAAAAAGACAGGACCTCTAAATTTTCCCATTTTTTAAACCGTTGAGCCGGCCCTGCTGGAAGAATAAACTTCTAGCACACAACTTCTTCCATACTTCCAAGGGAATGACACACATACATAAAGAGATAAAAGTCCAAAGATTAAAAACACCAGAGATCGATAAAAACTTATGGGTAGAATTGGTATCCCCAAGGAGAGTGGTGACTGCTGAGAAGAGACAAGCACTACACAGTTGTACTACAAATGAAAAAAGAGTAATGATATGCTTAACAAATTTTCATTCATAATGATTTGACATAATTTTTTATTATTTAATTAAATAAATTCCATTAATATTCAAAAGGCAAAAATTATATCACATTATTTAAAATAAAAAATTTGATAACTAAGTATAACATTTTTCATGGAAAAATCCAACAGAACCGTCGTATAGATATAGACAAGTGGACAACACCTTGAACATTGATACATACAAAAATAAATAAAATTTAGCCATAAATCTTGTTTTAATTTATTTTTAATCATTGACCATAAAAATAAAAAAAATAATTAGTGAAAATAAAAATAAAATATCCGGACCCTTCGGTACTTATTGACTTACATAAAAGAAGAGTGTGTAGTTATTTATTTATATGAACAAATAATTCTTATTTATCTACATATTATTAATTTGTGATATCACATAAAAATACTGACTTAATATCACTGCTATAATGAATATTTTTTTCTGTCATCCTTGTCTACACACCAACTATAAAAGGATTATGAAGTAAAGTTCAATCAAGTTCATATTAGCAAAATCTGCATAAGGGTCAAGCAAAATATGAGTCACCCACATGTTATCGTTATACCCTATCCTGCGCAAGGTCATGTAATTCCATTCATGGAAGTCGCTCTAACCTTAGCCAATCAGGGTTTCAAAGTGACATTTGTGAACACAGAGTTCAATCACAAGCGGGTCATAAAAGCACTGTCAGAGAAAGACGATGTTCATAATCTTGTTCATTTAGTTTCTGTCCCGGACGGATTGGAACCCTTTGAGGATAGGAATGACTTGTTGAAGTTAACAGAAAAAACCACAGAGGTCATGCCTGGGAAGCTTCAAGAGCTCATAGAAAAGATTAACGAGTCGGACGACGATGAAATCGCCTGCCTTATCGCCGACGGGAGTATGGGATGGGCACTGGAAGTTGCCGATAAGATGGGAATCAAGCGGGCTATATTCTGGACTGCAGCAGCCGCACAGTTGGCCTTGGTACTCAGCATTCCAAAGCTAATTGATGATGGAATCATAAATAATGATGGTGAGGCCTTCTATTCCTCTCTACCACACATACAGGGTGTTACTATCCTTAAGTAGGATATGAACTCGTAGATCACCTATTATGAATTCAAGTAAAATTTACGGTTTATAAATGGATATCTCATTCATATACGAGGTGAACTAGTATCGTGTGAAATCAAGTGAAATTGTACCGAAAAAAGATCTCAATCCTACACAAAAAAATCCATATAGCTAGTATTGTATGCAAAAAACAAGTGTTTTTGATTTTGTTTCTTACTAATTGTTCTAGAACTAAATAAATTTTATTAACACCTATCGAATTGCATGATTTGAAGAGTCATGTTATTTAGACCTAAAAATTTAACCTAATTTGTTGACTTAATGGTATCGTTTTATTGGAACTATTAGATTAACACCAAGTTTTTATGTTTGAAGGGTTCTATAATCAATCCAAAGGTTATAGTGAATTAAATCGACAAATTAAGTCAATAAATTAAATTTCAATACTATTGTTCTGATATAAACAGGAAACAACTCGAATTGTCGCAAGATGAAAATTGAACGACACAACTCGATTGTAGATAGATACAATAATTTAACTGTTTCTGCATGGACTAGTATGGTAACTTGGAAAAGTATCATGAACTAGGCAGTGTATCAAAGGGTGGGCTTGGGTTGGAAACAAGCAACAAAGTTTTTTGATCTTCAAAAGCAAACACATGGCCCAAAAAGAAAATCATATGTTTATACTATAGAGCTAATTATATGCATTAGTAATTCAATTCTATAATTACCTGATAAACTTAATCACTGTAAAAATAAAGACAAATATAAAAAGTCCAGAGAAAAATTAATCAGAATTCACAAAAGAAGATAAAAAGACAAAGGTGATACACGAATATAGTATTAAAGTTAGGTTAGTCAAATCTAGCTAGTAATTATAATAGAAATTACTTCACAGCTTGCACTACAAATAATTAGGACTTGAAGCATAAAATTGCAAATGTCTTTTGGAAATTTCCATTGCAGGAATTCTCATGAAGAACAAGATGATCCAATTGTCACCAAGCATGCCAGTCATGAACACTAAAAGTTTATTGTGGGCCTGCATTGGCGACTTGACTATACAAAAAATTGTTTTTGAACTTGTTTCACGAAATTGCAAAACATTAGAAGCAGCAAATTGGATGATTTGCAACTCGACCCATAACCTGGAGCCTGCAACATTTGCCTTATTCCCCAAGATCTCACCTATAGGCCCACTATTGTCAAGCAAACGGCTAGGTCATTTCTGGTCAGAAGATTCAACTTGTCTGGAATGGCTCAATCAACAACCACCCCAGTCAGTAATCTATGTTGCATTTGGGAGTTACACTGTTTTTGATGAGACCCAGTTTCGAGAATTGGCTCTAGGAATCGAACTCACAAACCGACCATTTCTGTGGGTTGTGCGTCCAGATATAAGTAATGAAACAAACGATGCATACCTAAAAGGTTTCATAGAAAGAGTAGGCGATAGAGGACGAATTGTGGGTTGGGCACCTCAACAGAATGTCCTAGATCATCCTTCTGTTGCTTGCTTCATAAGCCATTGTGGTTGGAACTCTACCATGGAGGGTATAAGCAATGGTATCCCTTTCCTGTGTTGGCCTTATTTTGTTGACCAGTTTTTTAACGAAAGTTACATTTGCGATGTTTGGAAGGTCGGATTAGGATTTAAACGCGATGAAAGGGGTATAATTAGCCATGACGAGATTAAGAGTAAGGTGGAGCAATTGCTTGGGGATAAAACATTCAAAGCAAGGGCCTTGGATCTGAAAGAGAAGGCTGTGAATGCTGTCAAAGAAGGTGGATGTTCACAAAAGAATTTCAGCAATTTCATTGAATGGATGAAAGGAAAGGAAAATTAGTGCAGGCTATGAACAGCCTTGACTTAATTTTATTGTAATTAAGAAGCAGAAGATTTCCAAATCTCTGTTTACGTTTTAAATCTCAGTTTACGTTTGGATTAAATTATTGAAATCTTTAGGCACTCGTAAGGAGGTGTTATGACTGTAATACAACTTAGCAGGAGGTTTATTGCCGGATAAAATTTGATTCCAACCAGAACAAGTTGCACGACAAGAAAAATAGGGAACACCGACACTTAATTCCCAGCGTTTGTGTGTAACACCATTAATAACCGGCGTTTCCTTACACGCCGGCACCTTTCCCGACGGCAGTATAAGCGCCGTGTGAAGCAAACGTTGGACAAATGCCGAAAATTATCTTCCAACGGGGGGAGGAGGGCGGCTACCATCATCCCGTTTAGTTGAAGGCGGGGGATCGGGAGAGAATGCTAACAAACACGATGAATAGTATGTATAGTTAGCGGGCTAAATAACTTTGAGTCCGTCCGTTCATTCACTACTAAAAAGCAAATGTGGGTGTTCTATTAACTAGATTGAAAGTGGGTTCAATCTCACATTGAAATTTATATATATACACGAGTGTCAATTGGTGTCGTGTCATATCGTGTGATTTATCTGTCGGTATTTTTGTGTTTTGTCATTATTGTCAAGGAGAATGAAAAAAAAAATTAGTGTCTTAAGTATCAAACATTAATCTAGATTATTTATTATGCTTATTTAATAATCGTATCAATTTTAGAATTGTGTCATCTCCAATTCAAGTTAAAAGGTCAAAGTTGACACCCTAATTGTATCTAATCTAACGGTTAGTTTCATTGCATCAAGACTCTGCTTAGGCCTTCAAATTAGGTCCTTATGTCCTTGCACATAAAGGAATTCATATTATGCATTTTCTTTCTTTTGGTTGACTGGTTTGTAGTTTGTGAAACTATCTATGCCGCCGGATACCCAGATCATGAAGCCAAAAGGCACATAGCTACATTATTATCTTCCAATAAAAAACGGACAATATAATTAGATGCAAGTACAAAACATTATTGAAAACAACAGAGATTGATCGGTGAAACTTAAACCAGAAAAAAGAGACAGGGAAATTAATAAAGCAAACGGCAACAATGTTGTCCAAAATAAAACAAAAATCACATAGATTCCCAACTATGAAACTCTGCCTAAGCATCTGGGGAAATGGACAACACCTTCACATAGGCCCTCTTGCTATAAACGTAGGAAATGTCTGAGAGAGAAAAGAACCAAATATCATGGGCAACCCACATGTTATTGCTATACCCTATCCAGCACAAGGTCATGTACTTCCATTGATGGAATTCGCGCTAAGCTTAGTCAATCACGGTTTCAAGGTTACATTTGTGAACACGGAGTTTAATCACAAGCGGGTCATGAAGGCATTGTCGGAGCAAGACAATGTGCATGATCTGATACATCTGGTTTCGGTCCCAGACGGATTGGAACCATGGGAGGATAGAAATGACTTGGGCAAATTATCGACAGCAATGGTGGAGGTCATGCCTGGGAAGCTGCAGGAGCTCATACAAAAGATTAAGGACGATGACGATGATGATGATGAAATCACTTGCATTATAGCTGATGGAAGTTTGGGGTGGGCTCTAGAAATTGCCAAGAACATGGGAATCAAGAGAGCAGCCTTTTGTCCTGCATCAGCCACTTTGTTGGCCTTGGTACGCAGCATTCCAAAGCTAATTGCCGATGGGATCATAAACAACGATGGTGAGGCATTCTATTACTAGGTTTTGATAATTCTGCAACTATTGTTTTTGATTATTTGTTATTAACTCATGAGTATGAGTAGAATTTACCCCTATAAATCGGCTTACAAAAAAAATATGTCTAAGAATTGATATAAATACATTTAGTTTTTTTTTTAACCGATATGGGATCCTAACCTTCTATCACTTTTATAGCAGATGTCCACAACTTCTATAGCAAATGCCCACTCTATCGATATTGATCCAATAGTAGCCCTTTCTTTTTGATGGTTTCACTTACACATATCAGTATTCAATGAGATATCACTATATCTAGACAAAATATCAAATCATATTAATCCAACCTATAAGTCGTTCCTACCATGAATCGACCACAGAGAGCCACAACTCAAATTGATTTCGATCTCACAATCGATGTGGTTAGTTAACTCTGATATAACCTATTATGATGAATCCATGGGTAGAACTTGTCCTTGAAAACCAACTTGCAAAGGAAAGGTGTCCAAAAGTTCATATACACACATTTGGTTTTATTTTGATTTGATGTGAAATTGTAACATTATTAGTACCTCCATAAATATCTAAGAATTCAGCTAACTATAGAGTCTCTCATGCAAACATGTCTTTTGGAAATTTCCAATGCAGGAAGGGTCATGAAGAACCAAATGATTCAATTGTCACCCACCATCCCAGCCATGGACACTACAAATTTAGTGTGGACCTGCATTGGCGACTTGGCCACTCAGAAAATCATTTTTGATGGTATTGTAGGAAATAACAAATCGTTGGAACTGGCAAATTGGATGGTTTGTAACTCAACTTATGAGTTAGAGCCAGCAGCATTTAACTTATTTCCAGATATCTCACCTATAGGCCCTTTGCTGGCAAGCACCCGGCTTGGAAAGTCACCAGGCTACTTCTGGCCAGAAGACTCAACCTGCCTAAAATGGCTCAATCAACAGCAACCCCACTCTGTAATCTACGTTGCATTTGGGAGTTTCACAGTTTTTGACAAGAAACAATTCCGAGAATTGGCTTTAGGGCTTGAACTCACCAACATGCCATTTTTGTGGGTTGTGCGGCCAGATTTAACTAGCGAGACCAACGACGATGATGTATACCCAAAAGGGTATATAGAAAGAGTAGGTAGTAGAGTACGAATGGTTGGTTGGGCACCCCAACAGAACGTGCTAAATCATCCGTCTGTTGCTTGTTTCTTAAGCCATTGTGGTTGGAACTCAACCATGGAGGGTATTAGCAATGGCCTCCCTTTCCTGTGTTGGCCTTATTTTGCTGATCAGTTTTTTAACCAGACATACATTTGTGATGTTTGGAAGGTTGGATTAGGATTCAACCGAGATGAAAATGGAATCATTTGTCGTGAAGAAATCAAGAATAGAGTGGAGCAATTGCTTGGCGACGACAGTTTCAAGGCTAGGGCATTGGATCTGAAAGAGAAGGCCATGAATGGTATCAAAAAAAGTGGCGACTCACACAAAAATTTCAGCAATTTCGTTGAATGGATGAAGGGAAAAGAAAAGTAGTTGAGGCTGCTATGAACAATCTTAACTAAATTTTATGATAAGTAAGCAGTGGAAGGTGTCCAATTCTCTATCTATGTTGATTTGCTAGTACACAAGTCAAAACAAGTTACTCTTGTATTTAAATTTTTGCAGTTCAATTTTATCCTGCTTTATATATATATATATATAATATGGAAAAAAATTTCAAGCATAACAATGCCATTTAGACATCACATATACAAAACAATGGAAGAAGCAAAAAACAATAGCTTATTATGTTGTGCTAGGGCTGTCCAAAATGTAACGGGCTGGTTTGCAGCCATAACACTCAACCACCTGAATTTTTTCAGTGTATTTTATTATTATATCACATAGTGTACATTACTATAAAATATTATACATGTCCAATAAAATCACTGTGGTCTATCACATTATTAAACTTTTTTTTTTTCGAAAAAGTAATTGTGTGTCCCACAAACTATGTGTTGTGATAATTTTTTATTGGGTGTGTACACAATTTGATATTGTTCTTGGGCTAGGCTAACTCGAAATGACCCCACTCATAAAAAAAAAAAACCAATCTCACTTAGTACTTCAAAAAATATTTTAATTCTTAATTTGTACCATCAAATATTAAAAATTTTAAGTTGTATCCTCAATGTTATGAATTAGTAGAAATGTGTACCTTATCCAGACTATAGTATAATTTTTCATCATAAATTAAAACACATGAGCAAAATTCACACACTATTAGTGTCTCATGTGAGTTACACATGATATAATTAACCTTTATTTGATTAATGAAATCTTATTTTCTATACACAAAATAGTATTAAAGTGATTGCAAATAAAAATTGTGAATTTAGCCCAAAGAAAAACAGAACATACATCCGACCCCCTAGAAATTTGTGGCTTAATCAGACAGTTCCCTCAAGTTTGACAAATTACACCAAAATCCCCTAAAATTTGTAGCCGTGTAATACTGCCATCTCTGCCTTTAAAAACCATTTAAAAAAACGTTATATGATATTAGCCTAATTTCAATAAAAAAAAAAACCCAAATTACCCATCATGATTCCCTTTACAACAATCCATTTCTTCCACCACAAAAAACAGGTTAAATCAAATACTCACCACCCACCAAGCTATGGCCTCAACCACACTACCTGCTGCCAACAATCTTCATCAGTTTCTGTTCCTATAATCACCACCAGACGGTCCAGACCCAACACCGATTCCAGCCACCACCCTCCAATTACTACCCCCAAAACATTTGCAAAAGATATTCACATCATTCCAAACTAGCACCTGTGCCAGCAACATTGAGGTAATTTGAGACCCCAAAATCATCGTCAGTTGCCCGTGGTGAGAGACCTGCACCTCTTTAATTATCACAAACCAAACCACAAGATCAAGCAACCACGCATACCACCCGGAGAAAATTTTGACCCAGAAATCAATTCAAACACCAGCAATTTTTTTTTTTTTATCATGAATTCGAACACCAGTTGGATATCTATAAATAAACAATCGCACTCAACAGATCAACAACTAAAATTAACACAATCACCGAACCCTACTAACGACGTCATTGCCGTTTCGACACAATTGATTTGAGAAAAAGGAAAAAAAAAAAAAAAGAGAAGTAACGATTTGGCATAAACAGAAACAAAGAGGTGATACTAGTTTGTGTCGACGATGCCGATGGATTGGGTTGGTAGTGTCTACAAGGGATTTGGTAGGGGTGCAACTTGGGTTGGGTAATCCGAGCCCAACTCGAAAAATTTAGAGTTTGGGTAAGGATTTTTAATAGATTTGGGTCAAAAAATTTTAATCCAAATTCAATTTGAGTTGGACTTGGGTTAAGGCCTCGGTTTCATGGGTTCAACCCAAACCTGAAAAATTAAAAAAAATTATATATATATATATATATAAAGCATTAGCATTGATTTTTTATTTTTTGTGTAACAACAGATGATCAATAATCGTGCACTATTATGAATGAAATATATGAATTATGTTTTATGAATTTGTAATTATGTTAAAAATTTGGTTGAAATTATTGGTTGTTAATTTATGTGAATATTATGTAATATATGTATTAGGTTTAGAACAACAAGCCTATTTTGGGTTCTACTTGAACTTAACCTGAATTGAACTAGTAAAATAATTCAAAATCAGCTTGAAATCATTAATCTGAATTTAACCCAAACCCGTGCCGAATTAAAATCGGACAGTGCTCGGGTTGGATTAGAGTTAGAATTATAGTTAAAGATTATATACCTAGGGTTGAACTAGAGTTGACTGTCTAACCTGCCCAACCTGCTCGAGTTGCACCCTAAGATTTGGTGGTGTCGGGTGCCGGTTATTTGGTAAATCAACCCCTCTCAGATTGGCCATGGGGGTTTTAGGTGCTCCGGGATAGTTCTTGTTTTGGGGGCAGAGAGTTCCGCCTTGGGAGGTATAAGTTTTGGACCTCATGGTTGATTTTATTTTATTTTAGTTAATTTTGTTTTATTATATATTAGAGGATGAAATAGTCATTGTGCAACTTCCGTTATGTCCGTCCAGTGACCATTACTGATAAGGGGTCTCGATGTAATTTGTCGAACATGAGGGGTCAACTGATTAAATGAAAAACATTAGGAGGTCTTGATGTAATTTATCCTAGTCATAAACATAGTAAGGGATTGTTATTAATTGAGTAATCTTCCATAAACTTAAAAAATAGATTTCATTCATACATGAAAGTATGCACATATTAAAAAAAAAAAATATCGAGTAATGCATTTTGAAAAAATTATAGTAAAAATTAATTTTAAATGATGTAAGTAAAAAAATTAATTTTAAATTTAGTATAATGGGATTCATTTTTTAAACGTTAGAATATTGTATTTTATCGTGTCTTCAGGCACAACTTATGACTAGTTTATGTATATATGGTATATTGATACATAAGTCAAAGTATAAGAAATAAGATTATGATAAAGAAATAAGAAAAAGACAATATAATTTTATTGCAAAATCTTGATCCCAACCTGGCAACAAAATGGAATCAAAACACAGGTATAAGTCTGACTACAATCCCACATTGACAGGCTAACAACAAGTAGAATCAAAACAGAGCTATAAATATCACTACGAAGGTCAACCGCATGGAGGAAGCACATAGGCAAATGGGATGTAAGACAGCTTGTAAAAGGGTAATTTGAAAGAGTGTATGAAAAATTAGCCGTTGTTTGGTAATTATTTTTGTTCTGTCTTTTATGTTTTTGTTTTTAATTTTAATATTTGTTAAAATTAAAAATAAAAGTATATTTGGTAATTGTTTTTAATTTTGTTTGCTTTTGTTATATTGGAGACAGAGACAAAAAAAAGACAAACAAATTGGAAATAAAAAATTTTTGTTAATAAAAATTTTTGTTCTAGAAAACACGTGCATAAAATTGTCTTTTTTTGTGAACTTATTTAAACTCATCTCATTTCTCTCTTCTCTCC